AGGAAGTTTGTGGAATCTGTGCTCAACTTTGATAACCATTCTGGATGTGAAGTTTGAGCAATCTTAATAGTTGCAAGTGTTTGTGTTTAGCATACCTGATCAGGTGTACATTCAATGATGTTTTCATCTTGTTAAGTACAAGTTGTGATCACATTATTTGGTATTTATTCAGTATTAAAATGCCTTTTAAGTTTAAATTGTTATCCTGCAAGCGTGTTTGTGCGTATCAACGTAGGAACTTCTTTTTTTTCCAATAAAGGTGGTTTTTGACTGAACATGTCTTGTTATAAAGGCATCCTTTGTAGTCCATAGATTCCTTTTGATGTGTGTCATTGTCTGATTCATTAATGAAGATGATTTGGTGCTATGTTCATACACTGCTCTAAGAACCCTATTTGCTTTGACTGGAAAAACATTCTCTTTGTGTTTTTGAGGAGACTGTGATAGCATGAGGGTGGTGTTTTTGATTCTGCATTTGTTACTTGCTGTGTTGCATTACATGTGTTTTCTTTTTCTGTTATAAGAACTTGTTTCTTAGAGGTTCTTTTGGTCCTGTTGATTGTGGAGCCTTCAGAGATGTATACACATGTTGCTGTGCAGTTGTTAGGGGCTGTTTCTTCAACATGTTTACCGTGAATTCTGTGTTGCTGGTTGTGAACTTGTATGATTGCTAATTACCGATTTCCTGAACATCTCGGAGAGCTTACTTTAGTGTAGCCATATCGCACCTTTGAAACTGTCCTAGCATCTCTAGAAAAATCTGAACCAATGTTTTTGTATTTTTTTTGCTGGAGTTTCGTGCATGTTTTATGACACTTGAGAGCTTTGTCATGCATTCAATATAGCTGTGTGATTGTTTGAATAAATTGCGTAGGACATTGGAGTCTGTGGTGGGGCCTGGTTGGTCTAAACCTCATATTGATCAGTGAATTCTTTTTTTTTTTTACAGACATTAATTATTGTGACATTGAATCTCTGTAGATCACTCAATCTCATTGATTGTTTTAATTGATGTCCCATTGTGTCATGCCGTAGTTTACCATGAAGCTGCGGGTACTTAGTGTAGGAGTTTAAGGGAAGAATATCCAATTTGAGCTGTCTATGTCAGCGTTCGGTTCCGATTCACTTCATGATTGAGAAAGGGGGGCCATTCCTCATCCCAGTTTTCTGTGCCCTTTTTTCCGGATAAAGAAACTACAGAGCAATATCGGATTCTACTTTTCCTGGCTATATCAGCTAGTGCAAAGTGGTAAACAGAATTCGTAACAAAAAATTTCAAAAATAAGTTTTTTTTTATTGCAATTTGTCTAGTATTGAATGATTTTCTGCCCATCATGGCTGAATGCTGCTAATGGATTGGATTCATTTGGCTTGTGTCCAGTGCCAATCCATTCGTCGGCGAATATTCGAGCTCGTTTTGGTGTGCTGATGGAAATTACTAAACTGTAAGAGTCTGGAGTGTGGCACATTCTCAAAACTCTGAAGTTACGTGCCAGCAAAGAAAGCAAATTAAGAGCTTGTTTTAACTACTAGCTGAGGGTAATGCTAGGTTTTGCTCTTGTGTTTTATGTGATAGTTCGTGCATGCAGCAAGAGGTTAAAGGGGTAGTGAAACGAAATTTTAGCGCCGATCTTGTTGCATAAATATGGGCTAGGGACAGGCACCACCTCGGAAATATAAATATTGCGCTGTAAAACACAGGAGAACTAATTTTAAACATAATTAAACGATTTCAAATTCTCATCTGGTGGATGGGGGGAAGTTCTCGTGACATCACTTGTGCCAAAATAGCAGCGCCGTTCTGCGGCAATACGGCGTGCCGGCAGAATTCGCTTAGGCCTGAACGCGTTCGCAAAGCCTTGGCGGAGAAAGCCAAAGCGTAGTTGGCCACAGTGACCTCGTTCTCGTTGCGGCTCTTTGCACGACACGGCCCGAGCATGCTTCTGGCACGGCCGGTATTAGTTGCTGCGAGTCGCGAGCTGCAAGCCGACGTTAAAAAGGATATGTTTGAACTACGAGGGTGTCAGCAAGAGCCACGCAAATGCCAAATACCTGTTCACACTCGGAGCGGACACGCGCGTTTGATCGAAGTGCTGGTTTCGCTCTGTTAGACCGCGTTTCGGTAAGCGTTTCTGGACCGATATTTTACGATTGCAACTCGATACTGACATGACACTCGGCAAAGAAAGGTTAGACCGACATCGCGTAGCTCCCACGAACTGCTATAGCTCGACACTGACGTAGCGTCGAGTCAGAATAAAAATGGCATACTAATAACAGAGTGTACATACTGAGTTGCCAAGGTAATTCGTATGGCGTTTATTTGAGCTCTATATCACACAAAACAAGGAGATAGAATCAATGAGAGTCCCTTTTCGACGACAGCGTTCGTCACCGCTGTCTCGGAAAACAAGGAGATCGAGATGACAAGGGGAAAATATTGACCTCTGAAATTTAGTTCAGGGATCAAACTACTCATCCGGTAAGGGTCCACAAGGGTCGCGCGGGCATATTCCATTCAGCAGGCCAGCCGGTCATGGACAGACGGTCTTGGCCAAGGACCGCCGGAGCAACGGTGCGCCGAGTCGATGTTGCTGCTAGGCCTACTATATTCTGCCGAGCTCGCTCGGTCGGCAGAATCGTGGCTGTTGTAGCTCTTCTCGTGTGTTTGTGGATCCTGCGTTCTTGATCGTCGTGGTCTGTTTTAAGTACTCCTTTCTTTTTTCTTGCTGGTTGAAGTCGGGACGCACGAGAAGAGCACGAAGAAAAATAAATGTCCGTTGGTGGCCGATACCAAGTAACTGAGCGACGCTGTCGGCCTTGTTGATTTGATCGTAAAAAGTGCGTAAGACAGCTTCGGAGCTGTCGTAGGATTCTGTCGTAACCTGCGCAAAGGTTACGACAATTTCGTTTCGAGAGCACGGGTTTTCTCTCAAATTTGTCGTACGCACTTTTTTCGTCGTGAATTCGCTTTGAGAATCCGGCCTCAGAGCTGGTTTTGTCAGTGCTGCCGTGGTTGCCGGCTTGCCGTGGTCCCGTGGTGCAGCGTGCGTGCAGCCCTTGCACATCTCAAACGGCCACGTTGTCACAGGTCGTATATCGTCGACGCGCCACCAAGTGGCAACGCTCGTAACCATAACATTCACGCCGTAGCCTTTCCCGACCGGCACAAGTGACGTCACGAATGCGCCCAATATCCCAAGACGCATCGCGCTCTCCGATGGCCGATTTTTGAGCGCGCGCCCAATCGGGCCCATCAGGGTGAAAAATATAGCCATCCGTTCAAAATACAAACGCGCGATTATGATTTATGAATATCATTGATCATATTGAACCTATTTCTGACCATAATAGGTGTATTTCAAGTTTCGCTTCAGTATCCCTTTAACACTATTACGAGCATCGGGATTTAGTTGTAGAAAAAACACTTCTAAAACAAACAAAAAAACATTCTTTTAAAATCGTGTTTTTGAAGTGTGGCGGGCGCTTATCATCTTTTCCAGAAGCTTTTTTGTAAAATGAGTTTCTTTTATCTCAAAATAATGAGCTTAAGACATAGTGAAATATGTCTGTGCACGTTTTTCGCTATTTCAGAAAGACTGTTTACACGCTGCTTTTTTATAGAAGCAGTATCGCCACTGGCAGACATCCAATCTCCATAGTTTTTACAGCGGAGCTGTTAAGGGCTAGTTTCCCCAAGGTCGTGTCCCCCGCAAAGAAATGTCGACACAAAACTCTGGTTGCCGCCGTCGCTCATAGATGGCGGTAGATGTCCAGAGTGTTGTGTTTGCCGGTTGTCTGCTTGCCAGCGTCGCTCATAGATGGCGCAACGTTTCGAGCCCTTCCACTCTGGCTTGCCGACTTGTGGCCGGCTGTTATTTCATTCCCACCATAGCACAGCTTTGCTGGTCGTCCTTCTTCACCAAAGTGGAAAGGCTAAAAGTTCTTTTTTTCTCTGGTAAGCATGTATGCAAGGTATCCAATGAGGGCTTTAAATGCGTTAAATATGGCATCAGGTTTTTGAGATGCCTTTTATACTTCCCACAATAAATGATTTTGATACTGGAAATTTCAGAAGCGTCAAGAAGCTTGTAATCCTTGGGGAAGGGGAACAAGGGGGGGGGGGGGGGACAAAGGACAAACAAATCTTTAAGCACATCTAGGTGATTGGGTTAGTCTGAAATAATCTGCCTGGTCCTAGTATTGAACCAGGAACCTCTCCATTTCCTGTGGAGCGCTCTACCAACTGAGCTAAGCAGGAGTTGGACGTCGGTAGAGCAAACGGGGTTTAACAGCTCTAACACCAAAAGTGAATGGCCTGCATTTTAAGGTTTACTGCATGAGGTTATTTCTTTTTATTTCAGTATTTCAATTGGTGTTAGTCCTTCGCATATTCTTTGCAGATTAAACTTTCAATATTAACGAGATGAATTAGACTACATCAAAACCAAGTATGTCTTCGTAGTCAGATTTTAAAGTCTGATAAGCTATGTTTATTTTATTTGAATTGGATCGCAAGCTATATAAGAGCTCTAGAAGCAGTGTTGTCCCGGTACTTAGTGAAATCGAGGAGAAAACTGCTCATGCATTTGATTGAGATTCTTTTACATTTACTGTTGCATCTTTGTTTTGATGCTATCATCAGGTGGATACGAATCGGAAGACACGAATCACTGAATTTGCATTGGGTTAATGTTGCCCTTCAGTTATTGGGTGAAGTTGTCCGATGTGGATGGATGCAAGCGGCCACCAGAATTTGGAAAGCTTTCATGTTGGTAAGCTTTTCAAGGCCACAAGAAGGGAGTTACATGTCGCACTTATGGTACACTACCGCATGATTCGCCGAGACATCAACTTTCGGAGTTTGTTTCCAAATTGAGCGGTTCGTTAGATTCTTGCCGCACAAACCCCACAGACTCCAGTGTCGCGCATTAGCGTTGCGTCATTCCTCGATTGTCTAAATGTGTTCTGTTTTTGCTCTTGCGACTCTTCCTAAGCAGGTTAATTCCCCAAGTCGCAATTATGAGAAGCTTTCGAAGGTGAGTCTGCACTTTCTTAGTTACATTCCAATTCTGTGATAACTAGCTTTTTGCTGTTGCGTGCACTTCATGTCCCAGGATGTGAAGTGCTAAAAATAGCAGGGGTGCGAGCTCGTTACTGATGTTTTGTATTGGTGTTATCTGGTGCCTACGGAAATGGCCAGCTGAACAGAAATAAATCTACATGTTAGAAAAAAAGGAACTAAACATACAAAGAAGAAACAAAAAACGTACACCGCTGGCCATTTTTGTAAGCATCATGAACCAACTAGCTCAGCTTCAACTTGTTACCTGGCGACACCAGAGAAGAAAAAAAAAAAAAGTGTTAAAGGGACGCTTGTGCCGTTTTTTGGTTTACATCTAATTTTAGATATTTGGATGGCACTTTTGCAGAGGTGTTGACAAAGTATGTGTGTTAGGTGTTTCGTGGCGTCAGAAATTGGGAAAATGGGCACAAGCTTTATTTATTTATTTATTCATGGTACCTCAAAGGCCCAATTAAGGGCATCACATGAGGGGGTGTACATTCAGTGTAAGTATCAATCAATTATCTCCATACACGCGGTTCCTAACAACGCCCTTTGATTAAAACCGTCGCTACGCCGCAGTCCGATAGCGACGACGACGAAGGGGAAGGATGAGGGGAAAAGTTCTGACTAGTGGGCAGGCATGACCTTGTAGCTGGCGAAAAGTTTCTTGGATGGCATCTGAAGTCATGGCTAGTCTCGTTCTTTTGAGTGACTTCTGCAGGAGTCGTTTGACCTTCGTCTCTCGGCGGCTCTTTTTCCAGCGCTCGAACGAAGAGGAGGGAAATTCGAAAATTAAGCTTTTGGAGCTTTTCAGGCGTCAGTTTACGCACATAAATACAAACAAATTGCTGAAGTAAAATTCTACACTTTGGTTTGATTGAAAGTAATGCGTTAATTAAAAACGTTGAAATTGTTGCGACTTTTTAACCTAGCTCGCCCACCTGCAAGGTGTGCTCCGAAGGCCCGCTTCGGCAAATCTTGCGTTGTGCAGTCGCAGTTCCTACGAAGGCAAACGCAATGGATCGTCGACCGTTCTGTGCTGGCGGCACCGCGAAGCAGTGGCAGTGATGGCTCGTGCGCTTTGAGAACCAAGCGTGGGCAAGGCGCGCGACAGGCTCCAGGTACCATCGCGACTCCGCGGGTTCAGAGCGGTCGCCGACCGTGCATTTACCTTCACGGAGATCGCAACTGTACGTCTCGACATGGAAGTGACGTCTCCCCCTCCCTTTCCTCCGTTGGGGGTGTTGTTGCTTGCAGACGGCGGACTTGGTGAATGCCAAGGCTACGGAAGAGGACAAGATCAAGGCAATGATGACACAGTCTTCGCAGGAGTACGACCCTTCCAAGTGCGTGGGCCAGTTAGATCGGAGTTGCGGCGAAGACTCGTTTCGATGAACGTTTTGCCTTCGGTGCGGTGGACGTTGGAAGCCTAGATCTGCGAGCCGACTTTTGTACATTTGTGACTAACTCCTCGTGATCAAATCAATAGCTGTTCATGAATAGACCAAAGAAGGGGGGCCGAACGGATGAACATCGTGAAGTTATCGAGAAAACCAGAACCTTTAGTTTGGGAGAACGTCTATTATGCTTTCCTGTTGCCTGTAATTTTACCCAGCCTATGCTGTTTTTGCAACTTCGATTACTTGGATTCCCGGTGTAAGGCAGCAGTTCGAATAGTAATGAAAGTTTTTCCAGCGTCTGATTTAGGCTGTGCCAGATCTCCGTAAGCTCGGTTGTTTGCGTTCACCTTCTATGTCACAAATTAAGTTTTGTGGTGAATTGAAAGGTCGGGAAATTTACCGTATTTTCCGGACTATAGTCCGCACCAAGTGTTTGGTCCGCAGGGGCAAATTTGGGGTCATAAATAAAAGTTTTTGCTTAGACAGTCCGCACCCGGCGCATGGTCCGCACACCTGGTGCATGGTCCGCACCTGTAGCTTAGTCTACAAGAAAATCTTATGAACCGGAGACCTTAACAAATGTCTGCTTTCTTAGCTCACAAAGAAGCTTGTATATTATACATAAATCATAATTAATTTACTCTTTCATTCACAAAAACCGTCTTGTCTCGTCATAATCAACGATATTGAAACACAAAAATCCTGTACCTAGAATTTAAACTTTTAAACATGTATAGTTAGTGGACTATACCGGAAAATGTGGTACATTAAATTAAAAGAAAAGGAAATGGGCAATGTTGTGCAGACCTCTAAGGAAACAACGGTACAGTCGGCGACCAAATTTTCGGACACATTAGATTATTTGGGCGTTTTCGCCGAACCGTCACTCACCCGATAGAGTTAATGTATAACATTGACTGAAATTTCAGACGCCATAAAGCATACTGCTCGATATTTCTAACTTAATTTGCGTGATTTGCCGTTCTTGTAGTCTTTGAGCGCGAAGGTTTTGTTTTGCCGACAGGCTTAGTATAGGGTGTATTCACTGGCGGTCATAGCTGAGCTCGTTGCTGCTTTCAAACCACCAGGGAAGAGAAAGTAGGGAAAGCTGCTTTTTGTACGAATTTTGAGTGAAAGTTAATCTTCTATAATCTTCTAGAGGGAGAATAGCAACGTTTGGGAAAGCCTGGGACGTACAAAGGAAAGTCCCGTTGAGAAGAGAGTTTCTCCTTCCCTTCTTCTCTTGTGACTGCTCGAGAGCTGACGGGAAACTCTTCTTGAGCCTGCGCTGTGAGCAGTTACCTCAAATATGGCATCCAGCGAATGCTCCCTATTGAAGCGAGCTTGGTGGACTAAACATTGCCTCCAAATAGTGCCAACTTCAACTTCGCTGTTGGTGCCAATGAAGACGCTGACAAAGTGCAGCACCATGATCAAACAGATCAACAAACAAGTGAAAAGTGAACAATATAAAGTGAAAGTTGCATGAGGACTTAAAATTGACATCAAGCAAGTGGAAAGTGGCCAATGTGCACCGGAATATGTGCAGAAATTCGATATTTTGGCTGAAATCAATTTTTCGGGCCACTTGATTATTTTGATAATTTCGGAGTCCCCTTTGAGTCCGAAAAATCGATCAGCGACTTTTCACCTTAATGGGGACAGAAAGGCTAAAAGGAGATTTAAGCACATTCTGTTTAGAGTCGGCAAACTAATGTTTGACACGCATAACGCTCTGCGTGCCAAACACGACGTTGGGTTAACGTGCCAATTGCCGAATCATTGTTTGGCTAGATGTCAATTCACCCGCCGTATCACGGCAACCTTTTACTGTGTCTTCTTTTCTACGCGTAATGACCGTGTCCTCGGGTATGAGAGCGAGGCACGACCGTAGTCGAGCTCGACGGGTGGCGCAACTGTCCGAGCGATCGCGTGACGCAGGTACGTCAAGAGCCGCAGCATGACGGGGCCGCTGCCCCCCAACTACACCTGCTTCCGGTGCGGAAAGAGCGGCCACTGGATCAAGAACTGCCCCACTAACAACGTGAGTCCGAGCGTCCCGCCCCCGCCGCCAATTTCGGGCGCCGCGGACGCGCGCAGCCGGAGGCTGCGAACGACTCTGCGCTTTTACAGATTGAGGTGAAGCGAAGCACGGGGATCCCCAGGAGCTTCATGGTGACGGTGGACGGACCCGACCACAAGGGGGCGCTGCTCACCAGCACCGGGGAGTTTGCGGTGCCGCTCATCGACCAGTGAGTGCCGCCTTGCGTTCGTACACACCGCTCGACCCCTTTTGATCCCTGGAAGCATTTGACGAGGGCACTGTCTGGTTGCGCGAATAGCTTGCGCACGCTTCAATTCGGACATTTCAAGGGGGTGGGGGTGGGGCCCGGCAGTTTGTCTGCTTCTTGCACAGGGGTTGCAATGATGTCACAACGCCGAGCTGCTATTGGCTGATTGAAAAAAAAATAGTGGGTAGACCTCAAGGCATCTAGCACTGAGGTCTACCCACCATTCTTTCGTTCGAGGCTGATCGGAACTCGGTGTCGTTCTGACGTCGCCACAACCCCTGCGCAAAAACCAGACGACTTGCTCTCCGCATAACTTGCAAGTCGAGCAGGCAGTGTAAATAAAAACAGCATTTTTAGCATGATTAGTTTCATTTTGCTTGTGTGAGCTTAACCAACATTTATTTTGTATCATCCAACTTGTAACTTGTAGGGAACAAGCTGTTCTGCCGCCATATTGTTCCACATTACAACATCTGACGTCATATTTTCAGTGTTGCCGGTAAAGCTCCTCGGACCAGTTCGAAAACTTCCAACGACTTTTTTTGGGAGAAACAATTTATTGTGACTTGTAATTTGGGTCACTAGTTGGAAAGCATCTTTTAACGTGTTGAACCAAGTTTGAGACGAATCATTGATTATCGAAATGTTTCTGAATGTTGCTAAATATTTTTTTGGGGAAAGTTTGTGTTGTGACGTACATATTCTGTCCTTAACCATAGTTTAAGCTGTACTCTGGCGATTTTTTAGCCTCGCCAACCAACTATATTTTCGGGATTCCCGGTCTTTACGCTTTCCAATATGCTATTGAGAATCTTGAAATTCAGAATATTTACTGTGAAATCACCAAGTGAAGATGGTGCTGAAACTAATGTTCAAATATACCCACGCTTTTCTGTTCTGTGACATTAGGGGAAGGGAATGCAGGCTTGCAGTTCGAGCTGGCAGTCTGAAAATGGACTAAGCGGAGCATTCCTTTTGCACCGCTGCGGGGGTGCTGGGATGAGCTTCCAAAGCATTCATTCGCCGCATTAATGCTTTGGACGACTCTCTCGAGTGGCTGACAGGCGCCGTCCGTCGTTCGCCCATATTCAGCAAGGTTCGGTAGCGCCACCCGTAGTTCTGCGCCGACACCACGCGTCAAGAACATTGATCACTTTTTGAAATACGCAAATCAGCCACGCACAAATGCGATTTCGGGCTTTTTAGGTTGATTAGAGCTCAATAGATTGAGTTGTGACAATAAAACGAGCATCTGAAAAAGCACTTCAATGCCCTATAAGGTATGCTCAGCAGTTACTGCCAACTGTACCCTAGTTACCCGGGTGCCCTTAACCACAGTTGAATCCAAACTCGGTCACACTTAAACCGCTGTTAAGGGTGCCGTGCAACCGGGACACTAGCGTCGGTCGAGAGTGCTAAGCGTCGCGTTTCGATTGGACGCGCGTTCAAGTCGGGGGGTGCGAGGCGTGACTTATTGCGCGGGCGACTCTGCAGCGAGGCGTACAAGGAGGTGAAGAAGGAGAAGCCGCCCTTCGTGAAGGAGCCGACGCCGGAACCCACCCAGGAGCCCCAGCTGCCTGACGAGCTGCTTTGCATGATCTGCAGGGACCTGCTTCAGGACGCCGTGCTCATCCCCTGCTGCGGGAACAGCTTCTGCGATGAGTGTGAGTCTGTCGCTCCGCAGGAGCATGCACGCGCCGCCCACAGCTCGGAGGCCGGTTCGCGCACCCGCGACCGCTCAAGGCCCATTCACGTGTCGCAGCTCGGAGCATGTGCTGCGAAAGCTCACGCCTTCGAACTGGCGGATCCCGAGCTTGATTGCCCGCGCCCGTCCGTTTCGACCCGCTCTAGCGTCATACCAGCATGTGGTTGCGCGTCGCTAGTGCGCGGTGCATCTTAAAGGCGCCCAGGCTAGCTGTTGTACTGTGCTGGCTTCTCGCCTAAAGAGGAGTCACCGGACGCCCACCGAGGCTGGCTAACTTCCCGCTATGCAAACGTACACGCGATGCAATTTTACGCACTTGTGTCTGGTTACGACCGAGTGGCTGGTTACGAACGGGCGGCTGGTTACGACCGAGCGGCTGGTTACGACCAAGCTATCGGGATCTCTTTCGAGAGGATGCGCTGGCACCGTCTGTGAGGTGACGCTGAAACTGCATTTGACCAGAGCAAAGGTTTTGTTGTATTTGCGGGATTATATGTATGTGCTATCTACGAGAAACGGCGTTTAAAACATTGTCAAAGGTTTTTTCGGGCCAAGAAATAAAGAATCGAGCGCGAGAATAATGTGGAAGATGTATAGAAACGCCCGGTGTTCCACGGCCACCCAATCGTTTGCTCGTCATGAGAGATCCCAAAAGATTTTAACCCGAATTTGGGTTGTTACAAGAGGGACGGTTATACGTAATCGTTCGAAGCACCGACGAAGAAAAAAAAAAATCTGCCATCCTCGCAGACCACAAATAAAGCGATCGGTACAAAAATGCACCTACCTTAATATCCCGGGAGATGCCTCACAACCAAAAGATGACCCATTTTTGGCACGATTTGCTATTTTTTTTCACAAACGCAGAAAGCTAGTCCACTTCTAGTAATTCCAGGGCCCTGGCCATTGATGACCCCGGCAGAAATGGTGTTGCTTGGCCACGGCGAGAGATAAGCGAACATTGGTGACTTGGAGGGACAGTCCGGTTCGTCGCCTTTCCCAGCGATCACAAGTTTCGTGGGTCACAAAATCTAAAACTAGCATTTTTTCTACTTTTTTTTGTTTTTTTTTCGCACGCCGAAAGTTGGTTTGCACCTTATTTTCACCCAATTTGCTTTCGATTTTAGGTGGGCTATCTCTCGGGACATTGTGGTAGGCGTAACAACAAAAGCCAGTACGCTGAAACATACGAGCGAAATGTTGACGTGAAAACCACCTTAATAAGGGGGGGACACTACCTGGGAATGTCAACTCTTGAACCGCGCACTCAGTCGGCGTGATATTTGCAGGTGGTGTATGTAGCCATGTAGAACAAGGGCATGCAAGGTTTCAACCTTGTGAACCAATTTTATCAGGTTATATACCTCCAGAACACGCAGCTTTGCATGAAATCTGCTCAATGAATCTATCGTTGAGAAATGGTCTTGATAACTACATACGTTTCTGGTGGAATGCATACTGGAATACCCGTTGGCAGTTAGTATGAAAAGGAAATAAAAGAGGTAGCATTTTCAAAGTAATAAAAAAAATTTGTGAAAAAGGCGTTTTTTTTTTTTTTTTTTTTTTACATTTTCTCATTTTCTCATTTTTGCAAATTACGATTTTTTATAATAAAGGAACATGAAAATGCAAAATCTAAATTCATAGTAACTGTCTTCATAAAATTTCGACTTATGAGCCGCAAAAATTAAGTCCCTCAATAGTTTCGTACTGAAACTATAGATTTTGTTGAGTGAAATTTATGCCAAAAAGTTGTCAGATAAAAACGCCTTCAAATTGCTTGAATCTCAACCCTTCCTGTAGCATCGGTGGACTGGAAAGAATTTATAAAAAAAAAAATAACTATGCAGTGTAAAGAAATTAAACTTTCTGGGAATACTGTCGAGACCGGTTATAGCGAGGTCAACGGGAATCGGAAATCACTTCGCCATATCCGCTATTTCGTTGTAACCTACTTTGGTTGTAACGAAGTGCATAAGGAATGGGGAATTGTGGTCGCTTCGCTGTAGCCGCTATTTCGTTATAACCGACTTCGTTATAACCGGCTGTAGATGTTGGCAGATGTAAATGCCTATGCCATTTTTCAAAATCAACTTTTTTTACAGAAACTTTTTTTTCATGGGTAGTGTCTCCCCTTAATGCAACATTGGTCTCTCTTTACATAGGCGTGCGTCAGGCCCTGCTGGACTCTGAGCAGCACGAATGCCCCGTCTGCCACGAATGCGACATCTCCCCGAACAACCTGATCCCGAACCGCTTCCTCCGCACGGCCGTGCTCAACTTCAAAAACGAGACGGGATACACGCGCGCCAAGCGCGCGCACGTCGCCCTGCCGCCGCCGTTGTCTGTTGTTGCCGGGTCGTCATCTCCGTCCATTGCCGGAACGTCGGAGTCGTCTGCCACCGCCACTGCCGCTGCCTCGATGTCGCCTGCCGCCGTGGGCTCTGCGTTAACCGTTCCCGGGACTACCAGTGGCTCTGCGTCGCCCGTCGCGGATGCCAGGTCTCCCGCGGCCGAGGAGAAAGGGGAGACAAAGGAGGACGGGGAGAAGTCGTCGCCCGCCCCGGCTGCAGATGATGCAGCGGAAGTTTCGAAGGAAGGAGAGGCTGCCGATGCCGAGCCAAGGAAAGAAAGCGGCTACCGTAGCCCAACCGGGTGAGTTGTGTTCTCGTATGCCGGCAGCAACATCCCTCCGGTTAATGTGACGGGCGGAATTGTATGTAATGCACTACTTGTACCTAGTTTTTTTTTCGATGGCGTTGTTTAGTTCTGGAGGGGAACGTGTACACCGCACGTACCCGACCCTGCTCTCACCTCGGCTTGCGCGTGTAACTTGCACGTCGAGAAAACGCCTGGTGGGCCATAATAATACTTACACAAGGTATGTCAGCATGGAAGTGCTGCGTCAAATTGCGCCATGAAGAAAAGTGTCCTTCATCTTGCGCCAAGACACCGCTTTTGCTAAGAATTGTGCCACACCTACATTGAGATGGGCAAAGCAACAACAAAATAAAGAATCATTGTTGGACGACTCAAATCTTTTGAGAAGTAGGAGGAAAGGAAAATGGTACAAATATGTATTTCGCATTGTTTCTATTCACTGTATAGTTTGTTTTATCTTAGGTCAGAGTGCAGTCAAAGGCTCGAACACATATAACCACAAGCAGATACTAAACGCACTGGTTACGGGACATTCGCTGCACTTGATGCATTTAGTCAATGAAAGACCACGTGCCGGAAGATGGACGATTGCCACGATGTCTCGCTTGACGCTTAAGGAAGGAGGTGGGGAATAAATATGAAATTTCTTATTTCTAGAGATATCTGAACGAAATTTACAGAATGCGTTTATAGCACAGACATAAGAGTAACTGCAAAGTTTCATGGAGCTGTGCATATTATTTCTCAAGTTACAAATATTTATCAAAATCGTCCATATGCATTCCTTATCCCAGGTCTGGAGAATTTGAAAAAGGTAGTAGCGGCGTAATATTTGTTATGATGACCCCTGGATACATTCCCCAGGGCATAACAGAGCCCTTTTTTAAAATTTCTTTGTTGAAAAATTTTAACGCAACTTTGAATTTTGTGTAGTCAATGAAACCCACATTCACCAAATTTCATTTTTTTATTATAAATTTTTAGTACAGTTTTCTAAAAAAAGGGCTCTGTTATGCCCTCATAAATTTATTAATGAACAGAATAAAAAAGACAGCACAAAAATCCATTCATCAGTTCCTGAGATATCGCTGGGACGAGCAGCCACGACAGTGAAAAAATCCATTTTGAGAAAACAGCTCTTGAAAGTTGCACGCAGATTTTCAGCTTTAGAATGACCCTGCAGAATAGTCAGAAGTGTTCTTGCGCACTTTCTTCTTGTTCCGCCTTTTCAAATTCTCTTGATGTCGTTTGCTGGCCTTATGCAGACGTAGGGCATCTTTTTCGGCAGCTCGTTGGAGGGCTAGATGGGTCGGCTGAAGTCCCACTGCAACCGATATTTCTGCAGTTGCCTTGTAGCAGCCGGCGTTGAACCTCAACACCGCTTCATGCAGTGCAGTTTGCTGGCATAGCTCCAAGTTCGGCTTGAGCAATATCACAATGTCTAGCTTCTGCTTCGATCTCCTCACGTGTCAGGAAATGCGTCCGTAGATGGGTGCTAGAAGACGCGCTCCTACTTGTCGCGGCAGGCGGAAGACGGGCGCTGGGACCCGCGATCTCGGGAGGAACCACAACGGTCGGCATGCTCGGTACTCCAGTCGTAAGCGGGGCGATGCGTTCTTCCTCGACAACAGCCGATGGCACAGAAAATCCATCACTGGAAATGTTGACGCGATCATCATTGACGGCACGCCGTGCAGAAACTTCCAACTTCGCCATCCGCACTAACTTCATAGACCGCTTCCGCGCGCCAAACGCGTGCACCGTCTTGTACTTCGAACCCCGCATCGTGTGCGACCACGGAACAGACGGGCACGCTACACGAAACTACTCAAAGAAAGTTCGGAAAACGATCACAAAAAGATGGCAAAAAACGAAGTGGAGCTGACAAAGCAAGAGCGCGTGCAAGCAGACCACTACCAAAAGTAGACAACGCAAGTGGCAACAGCAGGAGAAACGGAGGAGGAGAGCGCTCCGCGCGCGGAGAAATCGCGTCCCAGCCAATAGCAGTCGCGCGCTCCCCCGCACGCTCCTCGAGCGCGCGCTCTGTCCAATCGCGTTCTTGCGATTGCGACATGGAAGAACGGCGACCACGCCGTAACCACGCGGCCGACGCCATTTTGGGAGCTGGCAAAAAAAAGAGAAAGAATTCACATTCAAAACAACACTAAGATGGCGGCCGTCGGCCCAACGCGTCAAAAATGGCGAGCACGCGAAGTTGGGGTTGATTTTGACGTTTGACCGTCACTTGGATGCTATTCAGGCCTCGTAAATAATTGTTTTTAAATATTTCCCCGTTGTATTTGGTGCTGATAATTACAGAGAAGGTAGTTTATGAGATATACAACCGAAAAATAAGGTTTTCTAAAAATCGACTTTTTCGCGATTTTCCGGTTTTCAAAGCCCGCGTCCCCCCTTAAAAGCGCATACGTAGCAGCGGATGCGCTTTAAATTAAGGTGGAACGAAGTGTTGAGATTGCTTGTCAACCGCGCAGGAAGGTCCAATGCTGCTTTCATCACTGCTATAGTCTTCGGTACTCCACCACGAGCCGTGCATCCAATTGCCGTAGTTTGTCGATGGGCTTATTTCCGGAATGGCCTATCGCCGACCCCTGCTAATTTTACTTAGAGGTGATTGTGTCGTGTTGTAACAGAGAATGTCTTATAAGGCGGAGTCTTACAAAAAAGGCGGGCGCGTTATGCTTGACTGATGCACGGATCGAGTTCATGTAAGCAAAATACACTGACTCAACTCTCACGTCGTGCCACCGCGGTGACACTACTATCGGCACCGCGTATGTGCGGGCATTGTGTGACACGTCACATGACGGCAAATCCTGACGTCACGTGACGATGCGGTGTCACGTGACACGGCGACGCAGCATGTGCCCGCCTCATTTGTATCCCGAATCCGTCGGGTGCGATCAAGACGCGCGTCCTTTGTGACGTCCCTTGTCTCGTGTTTTGCGGCGTGCAGCTTCACTACCCTTTCCGCCTCTCCCCTCTGCAGTGCCCTCGTGGCCCCGAGGGTACTCGAAATAAAGGAATAAATAAACTCTTTGGTTGCCCGTTGTCGCAGCTCCGTCCCGGACAACCCTCCCGGCACGCCGTTGGCAGACGAGCGCCCCGAGGAGCCTCCGGGCGTCAGCCTGGACGAGGCCCTCACCATGTCCCCGCAGCAGCGTGAGCGCGGCGAAGACAGCGACGACGGCCGGCGCCGTTCCTCGTCGTCTTCTCGTCGCCACCGCAGTCCGTCGTCCAGGGGTCTGGACAATGGCGGAGGGGACAGCGTGTGCGCCATCGCCACCATCACGACGCGCGTGCCCAACTACGCCGGCATGCCGGTCAACGTGAGTTGGGTTGCTACATTTTGGGGCTGGTCCACTTTGGTTTGGTCCAGTTTAAATTGGTCTCGTTTTGGGTCAGTCCTGTTCAGTTCAGTCCAGTACAGTCCGGCCCAGTTGGTTTTACAACTGGGCCGGACTGGACTGAACTTTTATTTTACGACACAAACCTTCAAACACACTTCTACCAAACCTGAAAATTCCTCGAAGCGTTCACAAAGCCCGGTGAAACAACGGCGATCCCTGCGAGCTGTTTCTTCGTCGGTTAGGCTTAGCGGGTTCACCACTGTTAGATGAGCAATCTCGTAAAAGCGCTGGGAATACTTTCCACTGCGAATTTTTCTGTCAAAGTCACAAGCGAGGATTACAATGTTTTTGTGATCCTCGCTCCATCAAGCAAACAAGCACTTTGTAGGACCAGATATCCATCACCGTCATGCCGGACCCCGCAGACCGCCGGTGGCCATCGTCGACAAAACCATGTGATCCTTGTCCAAGTACCACGTGACGCCTGCACCACTATACCCGTTTTCACCTCAAGAAAAAAGGAAGTTTTGCTCCACGTCCCTACGCCGCGCGAAGTAGTTCTCACAAAATTTGGTCGTCGGACGCAGGAGCGGTGCTTTTGGCGTTTGAATCTTGTACGTCTTGATAAGAGAACATATATCTAATCTAAAATACACCTACATATATCTCAATTATCAGCATAAAAAGGGAAATCAGTAATGCTCCGCGAGGAGACTGACTTTTTTTACTGCGGTTCTTGAGGTGAAAACGGGTATAGAGACAGAGTGCTAGAGAGTGCTCCGAGAGGGAGGGGTGCCCTCGGAAAGAACCAGCCGATCAGGCCATTGCACTCTCTTTCCCCTACCCGATCGTGCGCTCCCTTTCCAGAGTTCGCAGAAAGAACCATGCAAATTCACCATGATCCTGTCCAGTTGAATCTGGCCTAACCGGTTTGGTGTGGCGGTACAGTCCGGTTCAGTCCAACCGGTTTGGTCCAGTCTACGTCAGTTCAGTTCTGTCTAGTTCACTCCGGCCTGTTGGTTCAATTCAGTTCGATGCAGTCTGGCCCGGCTCAGTTCAGGCAGGTTTAGTTCGCTCTGTTTTGTGTCTTTAACTGTTTTGTGTGTTTAATTTGTGTGGACTGAGTGCAGCTGTTCTTTCTCTAGATACCTGAATTACCGAAACCAGTATTTTCTACACAACTTGCCTCCTGGGTGGGTCCCGTGGCTGTCCTACCGTTCACTGAAATCAAAGTCCGAATAGATTGTGAGCTGTTCTAATGCCAAACGTTCTAATGCCAAATCATCTCGTGACTAAATAGCAAATTACGTCTACACCAATGGGCTGCAGCATTTCTGTTTTTGTGGCAAGTGTATTTTGCGTGTATTTTCACAGTGCAAGCCACTTTTCGGTGCGGGCTGGATGAATCATTTGACCTTGGGACGAGCTGAGCCTACTAATGCAGTTCTAGAGATGTCGAAGAGAAGGTTACGATGCAGTCGTGGTTAGATGGTTGATTTTTGAGTTCGAACAAGTCTCTTGTTCAAACCTAGAAATGGAGAAACAGGTGAGCCAGTGAACTTTTAGCATTGTCAGAACCCAAGGGCCAGGGAAACGAATCTCGCGATTTCAGAGTGTAAATATAAGGGTGCATCTTCCATGGTGAGCACGGCTTTCGTCTGCTACGAACCAGCTGGAGCCACAGTAGCCCTCGACTTTCATCAGAAATAGGCCTAACTTGGTAACATCAAAAGGGATAGAATACATTTTTCGTTTGTAGCTTTTGACTGAGGTAATTTTACCACACAACTCCAATACCTAACCACACATTGTTGCCAGTTCAAAGAAAATGCTTTACATGCACTGTTTTGAAATTTCTCGTTTCATATGGGTTGCACGGTGTTAGTTCTACAAAAGTGGACTCCTGAAGAAAAAAAATGGAGTTGAATGAGATGTTCTTTTTCCATTGCTTTGCTTCCAGTTGCCGGGCAGGTCCGGCCGCGACTCCGGCTTGGACAGTCCGAGGGGATCGGGAAGGGGTAAGCCTCGCCCTTTTATTTTCTCCTCTCCGCACCTTTTTTCCTCCAAGGCAGGCATTCTTAAACTCGTTACATCGAGGGATTTCCATCTCTTGATTGATAGCCAAGGAATGCCTCCCTGTCTCTGCATTGATGTAACAAAGCGGTGCAGAAGCCCACAAATATTTTGGAAAGTAATGCACATGTGCATAGTTAAGCTCCAATGAACACGACTCAGATATCTTAAGCAGGTGGTTACACTGAGCAATAGCTTCTTGAAAGGCACAACCAGTTTTTAAGCCTTTTGCGACTGCTTACGATTGCCCTGCGCAGCAGCACTGCCGGCCACTCATTTAAAGGCGTAAAACCAGTTAGTGAGCATCCAGGGGTACACTGGGGAACCCTGGGCACTATGTAGCCAGGCTTGGGAACTTACGCTCCAAGTCTGAAGCTTACTTCGGGGGTGGAACGGCTGCGCCATTTGTGCCATTTTGCACCAGACGCATTTGTCTGCTCCATCCTGTGCCATTTCGCGGAAATTGCGCCACAGCCAATACCTCGCGTCATTATGCAGCAAATCGCACGTGCGTCAAAAAAAATGTATTTTGTCTTGGTTTCGGTTTTGATCGACTCGGTTGGCAACAATAAGCGCGTTTAGCCTGGTCTGCCTTGCAATTCTTTGTTCTGTATATCCTTCCTGTGCGCGAAAAAAACTCGAGAATCGGATTCCAAGCACTACACCACCTGCGACTGGATTGTTATTTTTCAACCATAAGCGGTGAAGCAAGTCGGCCGAAATGAGGTCGAGTCGTCCAGCGTCAAATTGCCTGAGGCTCTGCGGCCCGAGATCCGGACGTCAGCCAGTTGAAAACACACTAGCAAAAGATTCCTTTTAGTACTTTATCGTTAGAAGTTGGAACCGCATCCCCACAAGATAAATCGTGATTTGATAGAACTGAAATTCGGCCCGATCGGAAACCTTGTCGCCCAGCAGCTCTCACACGAGCGGTAGATCTGCTCGGCGTACTGTAACCTTGCTCCTGCTTATCGCTTCGAATACGATAACTCTGTTAATCGTAGTCTGCTGCTTCGATATTGAGTTGCACAATAGGATAAACTCGAAAGTTGTTGCCTTGTTCCTCCACGCAACTGCACATCTGTTGCTTACGCACGTCACGTGGCTTGCCCATATACAGTGTAGACCGCATATAACGTATGTCGCGGGAGTCGCGAAAATCCGCACTATAAGCGGTACCGCGCTATAGACCATTCCATTTAGTGCTCTCTGGGCGGCACCATTTTGTTAGACCGCAGCACCCTCTCCACACATCCGGGAAGTTCAGCGGGTTCGGCGGGGTAAAGCGAGAGAGAGGGCACGCGCCCGACTCCGCTAGCAGACGACAAACTGGGAGGTTGCCGTTCTCCATCTTTGGGCTGTATCGGCAGGCTGTACGGAACATGGAACTCTCGCTCGTGGCTGCCGTTGTGAAGTGCTTCGCGTTCTTAAAATAGTTGTTGCTACTCCAAAGTCAGCCTATTGTTGTTCTATTTTGCTAAATGGTACTAGCATATATTTTTTCCGTTACTTAAATAGCAGTTGAGTCAGCCGGCAGTACTACCCTCAACTACTGCTTGTATTGCGGCAGGAGAGCACGTTTTATTTATTATTTCAGACTTCCACTCATGGTCGCTAAAGGCCTACACCAGTACAAACTTTTGTATAGTAAAAAAGGTACAGCAACCGGATTTACTTTTCGCCAAAGAGACCGGCCAATCTGGCACAGTTTTCCCTCTTTTTTTTTTATTTGCACGCAGCTAACGGCGCAATTGGACCCTGGGAGTCTTTTTATCTAGCATAGTATTACACGACAACTGGCATACCAAAATCTGCGCATCTGCGCTTGAAAGTTCCAAAATGACGCGATTTTAAACAGAGTTTGCACGCCAGCCGGACGCTAGCTACAGCCCACTCGGCAGAGCGGACGAGATGCTGGGTGAGAGGGGGAGTGCATTTTTTTCTCTTTTACCCTCTCTGCTATGACCCTAATGGAACGGTCTATAACCAAAACATCAATTATTCGGGCCAAAATACATGCCATGAGACAACTTACCTTTGTAAAATAATTTATTTCTATGTTAGATTAAAAATAAAGCTTAGTTTGAGGAAAGTCTTTATTTCAGCAGACAACGGCGTCGCGGGTTGCGGACGGACGTTGCGAGCGTTCAGGATTGCTAACCCTAATCACTTTTCTCCAGTGATGAAAACGTGTGAACATTCGCATCCTTTATACGGTACGCGCCAGTAATACCTTCAACTTGAGCACAGGCATGAAATGCTCCAAATAAGAAATCCGGGCGATGTTCGAAAACACAAATGCTTAGAAAGCACCACAGTAGTCGAAGTAAACAAACACGACGACACTGGCGTTTCTGCCGTCTTGAGAGTGCCGCCACGACATCGCCGCACGAGTAGGCGGATCTTCCCTTCTAGTACGTGCTGGGTTATAGCAACACACAACGAAAGTTCATAGTCAAGGATAGCGCTTTAAAGCGGAACGATGAGCTTCCACCACGCGACGATCACAACCGACGCCATGTTTGTAGATAGAAGCAGCCGGCCCGCGACCGGCACGCAACGCGTGTAAACACTTCTCCTCGACTTGCGACTGGTCTGTCGCTGCAGTGGGACGCACGCACGTGAACGACACATGCGTGCGTCCCTTCGTCACTATGGCAACTGAAGCCTCTCTTTTCGCTTCTCCCCGCTTCTTCGAGCCACGACCAACTCTATCTTTGAGCAACCTCCTTGCCCTGCGAGTGCCGCCTGCGGCTCGCGCCGTTATCTAGCGTCGCACAGGGAAGCGTGCTCGCTGCGCTGGCCGGAAACCGCACTATAACCGGTATTTCCCTTCGCGCGCCTGCATTTTAAGCGGTATGTAATTACATGGAGTTCTATTGGAGGCGAGCCGGTGGTTTAAAAAAGCCGCATTTACCCGGTCCTGCACTATAAGCGGTTACGTTGTAAGTGGTCTATACTGTAATTACTTTGTCGAGCACGTCTGGGTTGTGCGATAAGCAGTGCTGGTTTGTACAGTCAAATCTCGTTAATTCAAACCCTCTTAATTCAAACTTCTGGATAATTCAAACTAACATGCAGGTCCCCTCCTATGCGTCTCTATGGGAGAAAACACCCGGTAATTCAAACTTTGCTTTATTCAAACAAATTTTCGGTCCCCCTCAAGTTTGAATTAACGAGATTCGACTGTATTTTGCGCAGCTGAAAGCCACTCAGAAAATATCAAGGACACTATCTTCAAAAATATACGGTACTTTCTTTTTGGTTCTCATTAAGGCTCACGAAGTTTCAAGTTTTCGCATCTGTTACACTGCTATCCCATCTACCTAGGTTCCTAACCACTCGTGTTCATCTGTGCTGCTAAGCACAATTGAAATTGCTCTCGTGCTCGTCTAAGGCACAAGCTGAAGTGCAATGAAAACTGACCTGAGCTGCTCCTAGCCTGCTCCAGAATTTCGTTTTAGCTGCTCCCAACCTGCTCCAAAACAGCTGTTTCAGCTGCTCCCGTGGCTGCTCTCAAGTGCATTTCATGAGTTCCACCCCTCTTGTACCTCGAAGGTTTCGTCACTTGCGTGAGCTATGTCATGGGTGGTTCCCTTGGCACCGACGTTCTCTTATTCATTGCTCAGTTCAAGCGCCATCCTAGCGTGTCGGAGCCATGCATTGATGCACGGCGGAGTCAATAGCTTGTTTGTTATTTCTGACAAGGTCTGTGGGCATCTGCTCTGCTTCAGTACCTTAAGGGGGGACATGGCCTGGGGGTATCAACTTTTGAACCCTTTATTCAAATTGATTGAAATTTGCAGGGTAAATGGAACACTGCAGTCCTCGGACTGCAGAAAGGTCTTCGGTCGCAGCTTGCAGTTAGCAGCTCCTCATTCTTCCTTCATTTTCGCACGCACGACTTTGTAGCGGTCGTAGTTCCGGCCTGCCACTAGGTTACCGATCTCACCGGCTACGGATTTGACGACGTCTCGGCGAAATTCGCGTGTAACCCGCACCCCAACTTGACTTTCAATTTTGTATAGATTTCGATGCGGGTTATACGCAAGAAAATAAGGTACGCACAACACCCTTGTCGCAGCAGATATTGACATTTTTAACTGAAATTTCGTAGCATGTGGGTTGCTCTTGATAAGCAGTAGAACTGGTTTTGTCGTTCGAAGAACACACACAGTTAAAATCGCCCATGAAAATGAGACGCCGCTTGCAGTTACAGTAATGCTGAATGCTATCAAAAAACCTGCACCTTTCTTCAGTTCTAGTTGGAGCATACACGCAAATAACACGCCATTCTAAAGAAGAAAAAAGTGGAAGCCGTTTACAACTCCCTGTAACACCAAATTAGAGCGCAGCTCTTGAGGAGGAGGAGGGAAGGGTACTGGGGGGGGGGGGGGGGGTGAAGTGACCTGGGGGGGGGGGGTCACGTGACCTTCGGGGGTCACGTGACAATGCCGATGATGTCATCAGTGACGTCACTGACGTCATTGATGACGTCATCAGTGACGATGACGATGCAAACTCCGATGGCATCATCAGCAATGATGACGATGCGGATGTCGGTGACGTCATCAGTGACGCCAGTGATGACATCATCAGTGATGATGACGATGCGGATGCCGGTGAGGTCATCAGTGACATCACTGATGACGTCATCAGTGACAATGACGATGCGGATGCCGGTGACGTCATCGGGGAGGTCACGTGACCTCGGCGGGGGGGTCAGTGACCCTGGGGGTGTCACGTGACTTTGGGGGAGGGGGGGTCACGTGACCTCCGGGGGAGCACGCGACCTCGGGGGGGGGGGGGGGGGGGGGGGGTCACGTGACCTTGGGATGACCTTGGGGGCCGGGTGACCTTGGTTACGGCGACGCCGGCGCCGCTCAAGCCGGGAACGGGTCCCTAAGAGCTGCGCTCTAAAACTAAAATCACATAATACAAATTCTCCCGACGCACACATAGTCACGGACTGGACTGTAGCTCCTAAACTATTACGAATAAGCAAAAAACTAATCCACTCGTATGCATCGTTATTAGGGCATTAGCAGCAGTTCATGAGCACATATGGTGAACAAACAAATGAATACTAAAGTTGGGGTTCTCGTCAATGCGTCAGGTCCCCCCCTTCACCGGTCCAGCCGTCACGGAGACTACGGAGACCACCGCCGGTCAAGGCACGACTACGGCCCGGGGAACAGGTGAGACACCCCGACCTAGTGCCGAGGTGGCGCCGGGATCGTCACGTGTTTGCTCGTTTGTTTGTGCTTCTCGTCTGACTCGTCCTGGTGTTTTGCGGCTGTCTTTGTGTGGCACTTTCTGCTTTGTGCTTTTGCTTTGTACGTGGCCAAACGGATGGGTGGTCCGAACGTATTGAACCCCGCTTTAGATGAGCGGTAGAGATCGTTTTCGGAGGGTGCGACTGTGTAGTTCACTGCATAGCTGCTTCCAATAATGCTTTTTCTTTTTTTTCTTTTTTTTTTTTGTAGAAATGTTTTGAGAGGGATCTTATTGTGATTGATACTTGCAACACAGACTAATTTTTTTCCACAAACTATGTGTGGAAGACCAGTTTGGTGTTTGATTCAGTAGATTCTCTAGTAATGACTGATGGTATAATGAAGATATTAGTTTAATGAAGCTAAGTCCAAGCATTCTTGTCCAGTTACAGACGCAGAAAACAGGAGTGCAATCAGCGTGATTCTCTTGCCACCAACAGCGAGACTTCGTTTTACTGTTGCATATGCAAAAATTTAATTTTGTGTTTATTTGTAACTTTTTGAGCGAGGCTTCTGTTTATTAAGATATTTTCCCCAAAACAAGCTTACTGTGTAACTTTCTATTTGGGTGGAATTGCATCATTATACCTCGCTAAACTGATGCGATATTCTCAAAACGAAATGATTGTAAGCTCTGCATGGCTTACTATGTGCATGACTTACGAACTCGCCGGCTAAGTTGTCGCGGCTTGATCAGATCCGCAGTGGGTTCAATCCTTTCGGTCCACGTTTCCAGTCAGGCGTAGTGAAGATGCTAAGCCTAACTGCTTAGGCTTAACAAAGATGCCAAGCCTGGTTAGGCTTAGCAAAAGTTGCTAAGCATGGTTAGGCGTGGCAGAGATCCCAAGCCTTCTTAGGCTTAACGAAAAGGCAAAGTCTGGTTTGGCCTAACTGCGAGGCTAGGCCCGGTTAGGTCTAGCAGAGGCTAAGTTAAGAGGAGACGTGAATAACTTATCTAGAGTCCCGACTAACGGCGTTGGGTCGTCTGCTGCGCTTCTAGATGTGAGGAACGTCGCCCGATGCGCGATCGGGGGGATGGCTGCGACCCAAGAGGACCACCCGACGACGCCTCCCACCCTAATTCCCGACCTGCAAAGTACCTACACTATTCTCTCCTTTGTCCTGGTGTTGCTGTTCTTCCTTTAAAATGGGCAACCAGAATGGCATGCTTGTTCTGTCTACTGTCTTCAGACGAAGTTCAACGCTGCATTTTGTGTAAAGCTGCACGGCCCTGTTTGTTGCATTTTCTTTTTTGTCGTGCATCTGGTATCCTTCGTGCACTTCATTTTTTTTTTTTTTTTTCTTTTGAGATGCTTGACACAGGCGAATAGTACCCTACACACTCCCTCAGTAATGAAAGGTGTGGTCTGTCTTGTCACTTCTCATTTTTCTATTGAGCTTGTAGCAGGCATTAAGAAGAGTTCTGAAGTTACATGATTTCATCATAGAGAATGTCGTACAAATTAGGCATGTCGGGTTAACCCAAGAGCAGGAATACATAGTGTTGCCGACTTTGAGGTGAAACAGTGTGCAGTTGATCCACGCATTGTACTGTAGACTCATTCATTCAAACTTCAGGAAGCCAGGAATTTCCTTCGAATTATCAGAATTTGGATCACCAGAAGTTCATCCAAATATGATGCAAGATAAAATAATGATTTGTTATATGGAGGGCTACACATACAAAGCAGATATTGGGTGCTTTCCTTTACACGGGCCTACTAATCGTAAGCAGGTATGCCACACATGAAACATTGGTCAAATGTATGAGATAAGGCTATTTATCCCCCCAAAACGTTGACTGTCGTGGCCCGTTTAGAAAGCACATGACGCATCAAAACCAAATTAAGTTCCACCAAAAAAAAAAATTCTCTATTCTGTACAGCTAACCCCGTTGAGTGCGTTTCTTACTGAAAACCCGTGAAAGCAAGCCCCGCGGGTGTTGCTTCTCCGCAGTGCACCAGCGCTCGGAAAGAAGCGCACTCAACGGGGCCGTGGGAACAGGAAGTATGAATCACGCGAAGACGCCATTCGATTTAAAGCGGCTTATAAATACATTAAAAACGCAGGTGGACTAACCAACATTTTGAAATTCGTTTGAATATCCGAGTTTGAATTACTACGAGCCTACTGTATTCGCAACTCTGGATGAGGCAAGGACACTTAGTGACTGAGCTGTAGATGGGAGAAGCAGTGAGTTGAACCTGTTGAAATGAATTGAATAAGCGGATTTGATTGAGCCCTTTACATTGGTTGGCAGCTTGCGCCACCTAGTGAACAGCTAACGCATTTGAGACGTAAACCATATGATTGGAGATTGAAATGCATATAGCAGGGTCAGGCACGTAGCCAGGATTTTGGTTCGGGGGGGGGGGGGGGGGGGGGGGGGGGGGGGGAAGAGGAGGTCCCATGACAAATTGCTGTATGAGGGGGAGGGGGGAGAGGAGGTCCCGGCAAAATCAAAGATTTTGGGGGGGCCTGGGCCCCATGGGCCTCCTTCCTGGCTACGTGCCTGGGTAGGGTTGCGGATGCTTTATTGGTACTTCCTGCCGAACGTCGTGAGCAGCGTCTCGCTTTTCTCTAAGGGGCCTTTGGTCCAATGTAAGGGGGTGGGGGGGGGGTACTTTAATGATTTGTCTGCAGTTTGTTTGTACAGTGCAACCGACTTCTGACGAATGTTGCCAAAAATTTACTTGTTACACGTATCAGCACATCTTGTTAAAATGGGCATGTTTGTCCCCCCCTGCCCCCCAGAAAATATCCATATTGTGAGTTGTCTGTAATAATGAGGCAAGAAATGCCTATATTAACCAAGTTTGTCCCCGAAATGTTCTCTATATAACAGTTTATCCCTATTAATGTGGTTTGTGTTAATGAGACATCACTAGTTTGCTTGATGGTGGCTTGAAATTTTATCTCCTTTCGAGCATTTGTTGCAACACTAGTTTGTTCTATCTGGGCAGCTCGATCGCACGGTCGGTGTACTCAAGTTGCCAAATTTGCAATCTAAACCATACCATTTCACCCAAACAAACGAGAAACGCGAAAAAACAAAACAGTAGGAATAGGTCTCAACTTCCACAAACACGCTAAGCTACTACAACTGGCTGCTGAAAAGCTCGACGGCGAGTGGAGCAGTCGTCGTCGGTAAAGACGTCTGCAGAAAGTCGAGAGCCGTGTCGTCCGTTTTGTTTCTTTGTGTTTCTCTCTTTCGTTGGTGTACAATGGTTCACCGACGTGCTGGAGTTTCCAAACAATACAGACCCTTCGGTCGTGCAGCGATCTAACAGTTTATCGTCTGTTGTACGATAAGAGGCTTGCCGACATTTTTGGCACGGTGCTTCAGTCTGAGGTTTAAATGGTGCGTCGCGAGTGCGATACCTAGAGCACGTATTCTGCCAGTGCGGGTAGCGCGTTAAACCTCACCCGCACCAAAAGTTGTCCGAGGGTGGCAATAAGTTGCGTCGCAGGAAGTAACCCACAGCACCACCACTTTCTGCTGCATTTACCTTCGCCGCCGCCACCACCTCCAGGGTCACAGCAGGCAATAATGTGATGGCAACGTGATGTCGTAAAGCGGAAACTGGGGGACCAAAAAATATCTGCCGTGTATTTCTATCTGTCGATCACTCTGTCGTACGCGGAAGTGCGTTTTGGTGCAAGGAATGCAGCTGGTGCTAACTTCAGTGTCTGCCTTCGAGGCACGCGACGTCGTGTCTAGCGTAGCCTGTCCTCCCTTTGTACACTTTCTTTTTCTTTTTAATGCGAAAGCATTTACTATTCCATGGAGCAAAGCCAGCAGCGGCTGTAACCGCAAAAAAACGCGAAAGAAATGCCCATTCTCCCAATGGTAGAGCAAAGCGGCTCCTAGATAGCCATTGGCAGCCGCCGCTCTCGTGTCAGGCGTTGCCGGAAGGAGGGGGGGGGGGGGCTGTTTTACAAGAGCGCGAACTCTGGGCCGCCAGCTGCAACCTCGGCAGTAGCGAAATGCGGCCGTCCACGCCAAGGCACCGCAGACGAACTAAGGGAGCAGAAGAACGACGTGCATGCTTTTGCATTCGCAACTTATAGAAAGTGCTTAGGTGTCTTCGAATTTTTTTTCTCCTTGTTACTCTTGAACTTTACGCAGCAAGCAAAATTTTTTCGAAGTGTCTTGGAGTCCTCTCTCCTATCTCTTCTCTTCTGTTTCTTTTTCTTTTTTTTGCAATTGCACTGCATGGTTGGCAGTGCTCGCGACTCGCATGTTTGGCGGGTGACCGGCTCTTTGCTCATGGCCGCCGTGGCGCTGTTGATTTTTGGGGGATTGAGACGAAGATGCGGTGAACAGGCTGGTCGAAGATGAGTTTTTGGCACCGTAGTCGTGACATACGGTCCTTCACCGTGCAATTAGGCGCCCGGTAGGACCCAGGGGGTCTGGTTTTGGTTACCGTGAGAGCAAGAGCGAGGCCCAATTCACCACGCAGAGCCTGTGAAGATAATGTTCGTAGACAGTGGCGTCCGCTAACGCGAGCAAAGAACACAATTCGTCTACTACAAAGCGCCATTTGCAGACTGAAATAAAACGAGAAAACACCGTACGTGATCTGCTAACAGATTTTAAAAAAAGTTCATCTTCTACAAACTGAGCGTTGCGGCTAAGTGAGATCAGACACGGGCTTAAATTAAGATTGCTCGCTATTTCACGTTGGAAGGTAACCGACAACCCGCGCTTCGTTTGCAAATCTGGAATTTATCCGCTGCCGTACACGAGCCGACATCGACGACGGACGAAGGGATATTAGGGACAAGCACATCGGAGGCGGCGGGATACGGAGGAAGGAAGCTTCGGGAGGTGATGCGACGCCACCAGAGGTGAAGCCGGGGTAGACTTCCGGTGTGGAGGGACGCGCCCTAATGATGACCAAAAAACGAACAAAACCAAGAAATGCTATTGGACGGAAAGGACACCCTTCTTGGGGGTGTTCCCACCGACCTCTACTTTCGGCTTCACTTGGGATTTTCTTGTATGGCTGGCTCGAGCAGGCATGTCGCCTCCTCTTCCTATCTCCATGCCGCGAGACTTCTCTCGCCACCCGTACGTCGGTGAGACGTTCTCGCAAAGACATTGTCCGATTCTGAACTGGCGAACGGATCAATGGTGTCTGATCGGTTGATTACGCATAAGCTGCGTTGAGCGTGACATTGTCTCGCACGTTCTCTCTGGCATGTGCAGCCTGCGCACCGCGGACTACAGGGGTGCCCCGCTGTACCCCCAGTACGGCCAGGCCATGACGGGGGGTGGCTTCCACGCCCCTCCACCGATGCACATGCCCCCGGTGCCGCCCCCGCAGGGCCACCTGCCTCCGCCCAGCCTGCCGCCACCACCTTTCCCCGGACAGGCGCCGCCCCCCGGTAAGGCTCTACGCAACCGCAGGGTCCTCCCGAGAACGAGAAATAAAATGTTTTTCTCGACGAACTGACGTGCGCGACGATGGATGTTTGAGCGAGAGAAAGCGTAAACGTACAAAGCAAGAATGGACGCAAGCCTGTCGTTCGTTTCGTCATTCTACGCATTTGAGTGTCTGGAGTGTTTGTTCTCTTCTGCACGACTGTTGCTCGCTCGTTTGGTTTTGTTCGAGAGATTTGCAAAGATTTGGACGAGCGGCTCGTGATTGAACGAGCGACGAACGCCGTAAAGGGCATTTTGCACTGACTAAGAAGCTGATGCAAAAAAGCCGAAATCCCACTGCGCAGCCAAATTGCTCTCGCTTGCTTTTGCTCGCAGTCCATGGGTCAGTTCACCAACATGTAGGCAGAGTTTAAATTTTGGGCAGTCGCGAGTCTGCAAGTGCACATAGCATGACATTATCGGCATAAATGAGCGATTGCCACGTATTACTGTCTTTCTCTGTCAGTTAAAAAGAATTTCATTGAAACTGATAGTGCGACGGAAAGTCCTCCTTCGGCGCTCACAATGTCATTAAACGTCCCATGCCTTTCAATGTCGTATCAGAGTAAAATGTGAAAAAGGCTCCGACGCCGCCTGCATTTTATCGTGCTAACAAAGCCGGTGGCAGCTTAAGGGTTCAGGGGAAGCTCCTCACACCCCTTCACACTTTAGTAGAGAATGCTGGAGATGAGGCCGCCTCCTCTCGGGCATTCACTCTGCTACAATAGAAAGAGCTCGGAGGAGTTTCCCCTTAACTCTCAACTCATCACCGACTATACGTTGCGCAGTGTGCCATCGCCCGATGCGATCAGACACCTTGCGATTTTCTCGCAGGTATGACCGCGGCGCCGCTCGGACCCCCGCACTATCCGATGACGACGAGTGCCAGCTACATCAACCCGGCAAAGCCCTTCGGAGCGGACGACTACCACGCTCGCAGGAGGTAGGCATTGAAGGGTGCTTGCTAGTTAGGTCCTAGATCCTGCATATTCCATTCTTTAGTTGTTAGTGTCTGAGGTGCTTGGTGCCTCAGCTGCAAAGACCTTTGTGACCGTTGCACTTCGATGTGATGTGGCTTTGCTGATGGTGTGGTCCTGGGACCTTTTCGCATGGTGGAGACAGTTGGTTTGATGCAGGGCTCCCAAGCAGCACAGATTTGGCCAGTCATTGGCCAATGGCTACCAATGAGACTTTGGCCAGTGGCCAGACAGTGGCTGATAACTGGCCTTTCTCTGGCCGCTGGCCATCAGCCATCGGCCGAATACTGGTCGATGAATGACCACTCTTTGGCCATTGGCCAAACGACCATCGCCAGCTATTGGCCAGTGCTTGGCCAAATTCCGTGCTGCTTGGGCTCTCAGCCAAGAACTTCGTTTTTGCGAGCGTGTCGAGAAATTTAAGGAAAGGAAATGGGGAATTTCTCGCGAGTTGTGAGCAACAGTGACGCATCTGTTAAAAGGTGGGTTTGGTTGTTTCTCAGCTGAAAAGTTTGAGTTTAATCATTGTTTTGTGTGAGATTTCTTAAAATTCTGTTACCCATTTCAGCTTGAGAGAGGTATGAACCGTGCAGCTATGACTTGAAACGAGCTGCATTGTCGCATAATCGGAAAGAGGGTTTGCTGCAGCAGCAATTGGTCTCAAGTGTGTTGACTGCTCTGCAACAGCATGTTCGATACATAGTATATGTGCGTTGTCCCCTGTGTCGTTGACACACACCTCCCCTGCCTTTTCCAGCAGGAGCAGACGTGCCGGCGATCCCCTGGAGGAATTCGAGAAGCACCTCCGCGACCTGCACCGCAACCGCCGAGGCGGCCGGGAGGGCGGCCGCCGACGCTCCCACTCCAAGACGCGCTCGCGGTCTTCCTCCTACAGCCGCTCCCGCTCCAAGTCCCGGCCCCGCAGCGGCGGCTCCCGTTCCTACTCCCCGCGCTCCTACTCGCGCTCCCCCCGCTCCCCTTCCCGATACAGTGCAAGCTCGCGGTCCTACTCACGCTCGCGTTCCCGTTCCTACTCGCGGTCCCGCTCCCGCTCGCGCTCGGGCGCCCACCGCGGAGGCGGTGGAGGCAGGGGATCGCGCTCGCGTTCGCCGAGCGCCGGAGCGGCACCGCGCCGCGCATCCCCCAAAAGCCCGAGAGCACGGCGGTCCCGCAGTGGCAGCTATCGGTCTTCTCGGTCCCCCGCAAGGTCATCCCAGCAGCGCAGGGGCCGCCACTACCACAGCAAGAGCAGGCGACCGTACGCGAGGTCGCGCTCGCCACGGTCCCCGCGTTCGTACCACCACCACCCGCTGCCGCCGCCGCCACCAATCGCCGGCGTTTACCGCGGGGGTAGGTCGCCGCCGCCCCCTCCGCCTCCGCCGCCCCACTTCCGCGGCCACCGCAGGGGCCCCGGCCACTTCTTCGGGGGCTACCCTCCGGGTGGCTACCCCCCGGAGCACATGGGGATGCCGGTGGAGTTCGACGAGCGCCACTACTTTCACCACCACCATGATGGCGGGGGCGGTTCTGGATTCCGCTTCCCAGGATTCCAGGGGGGGCCACCCCCCCCGCACCACGACATGAGGGACAGGCGGTACGACCCGGGGGTGCCGATGGCGCGCTTCCACGGCGAGCGGCCCCCGCGATCTTCGCGTGCCGACTACGCCCCGCCGGACGCAATCGCGGCCGCAGAGGCGGAGGCGCTGAAGGGGAGGGACGCCAGGGAAGGGAGGGGGAGAGAGTACTCGTACCGGCGTTCCGACGCCATTACTACTCCTTTAGTTGTGAGGGAGGGGGAGGGGAAGGAGAGGAAGGGAGGGGGATCTCCCCTCGATACGGAGGCGAAGGCTTTGAAGAAGCGGCTCAAGGAGAAGGAGCGTGAGGACAAGCTCAAGCACAAGCACCACCACAAGGCAAAGGAACCGAAGAAGGAGGTTGTCGAGGTCGTCTTGAAGAAGACGAAGGCAAAGGCGGAGCCGGCTGCACAGCCGCCCGCAGATCCAGTCCCAACGGAAGTAGCACCGGCCGAGGGAACACCGCTCAAGGTTGAGAAGGAGGTTGCCGCAGAGCTCGCGCCTGAGGCGGCGGCCAAGGAAAAGAAGCACAAACACAAGAAGAAGCTGAAGCTGCAGGAGGAAGCCGCTGCATTGAGGAAGGCGGCGAGGACCTCCGACGACTCGACGAGCCAGCTGCCGCCCGGCGCGGAGGACGAGCTTGTGAAGCGGAAGAAGAAGAAGAAGAAGCTGAAGGACAGCAAGCTACAGGAGAAGGGCCTCATTCAGCAGATGATGGAGGTTGCGCAGAGTCGTGCGGCCCTGCAGGCCGCCAAGGCCGCGAAGCAGCTGGCACTCCAACAACTGCCGACGGTGGCTAAGCAGGAGGTGGTGGTTGGGTCCACCGAAGAGCTCCGCGCGGCTCCCGGAGCCCCCGAGAAGACACTGCAGGCTGAAGAGAAGTTGCTGAAGCCGGAGGACAAGTCCTGGCAGGGAACCGAGGCGGAGCTCGCTTCTAAAGAGAAGGGTGCCGAAGAGGTTCCTCCGGCTAAGCCAGAGCTCCAGGTGGAACTGCCTGAACTCTCCAAGTGGGAGCGAGAGGACCTGGAAGAAGAGGGCCAGCTGTCGCCTGTGCGGAAGCCGCCTGTCGAGGAAGCGAAGGAGTCCAAGCCCACGCTGTCATCGGAGGTGATCATGAGGGCAGAAAATGTGCTGCTCCACAAGCCGCTGAAGACCGCCATCGTTGCGGCGTCTTCGATCCGTTCGACGGGAGAGAAGAAGGTCAAGAGCGCGCCGCCTGTCGAAGCGTCCGCGTCTGCTCCACCGCGGAGCACCGAGCCCTTGCACGCAACTGCCGAATCTTCTCCGAGAGGAGAGGAACGGGGAGTTGAACCCCCGCGGGAGGACAAGCCGTCTCAGGTCGTCGAGCTGCCGCCGGTGCGTGAGGTCAAGGAGGGACGGAGGGAGGTGTCGGTGCCGTCACGTCTGCGGGACAGGCTTGACGGAACGCTCCAGGTGACCATCACGTCTGACAAGGAGCGGCGGTCCGTGCTGACGCCAACGGACAGGGAACAGCGGAGCTTGGCTGAAGGCCAGCTGAAGCGGATAAAGCTGGACAGGTCCAAGTTCAGCGACAAGATGCTACGGGGCGAGAGCGAAATGAGCCAAGGTGGCCTCCCGTCCGACTCCAGCAAGCCCCCGCGCTCGAGCAGCCGAAGAGAGGACCGCGACCGGAAGCCGGATGACAGGTCCTCGGACCGCCGTCCCGAGGACCACAGACCGGATGACCGTAGGCTCCCTCCGGAGATGGGTGGTCACGATGGTCGGGTGCGTGGTACGAGGGAAGACCGCAGTCAGCGGGAGCGTGGGTCGTCCTCTCGCTCCTCGCACAGACTGCGGGAGGGCTCGCTGAGGTCAGGCGGGCGAGATGGCCACAGGGGAGGACAGGACCATAGGTCTAGGACGCCGGACGGAGACCGTAGCAGACGGCGCAAAGAGGACCGCTACTACGGAATGCCCCCGGAGGAGAGGCTCAGGCGGTCTTACGAGGAAGGCCGGCGGGAGATGATGGCGGAAGCCGAGCACGACCGCCGCCAGCTGATGGCAGCTGAAGAACACCGCCGGTTCCTCCTGGAAGAGTTGGAGCGCCAGCAGCACAGGGGCCACCACGACCATCGGCGGAGCAGGATGGACCCGGGACTCCGGTTCAGGCTCGAGGAGAGGGAGATGGAAGAACGAAGGTTTGCAGCGGCTGCTCGCCGAATGGACTGGCCACCACCCCTGCTGATGACAGCGCCGCAGTCCCAGCAGCAGAGTAAAGGGGACAAGCTGGAAAGGAGTCATCATCATCACCATCATCAGCCAGAGAGGGACAGGGAGAGGGTGGCGAGCTTCGCGGTGCCGTCTGCTGCTTCGGTGCCCACTCAACAGAAGACCGAGAGGTCTGCCGTGGCCGAGTTGAGGGGCAGGAAGGAGTCGACGCAAGACGAGTCTCGCTTTGAGCCGGACTACGACGAACTGATCGAGGAGGATGACAGTGCGCAACGGAGCAAGCGGAAGTCAGTCTCCACTCCGGTGGAGAGCGAGGCAGTGGTACCGGTCAAGAAGCCCAAGGTGGATGTGGAGCAGGAGTCTGCGAATCCGATGGCACCATCTGCATCCGCCACCGAAGAAGCGGTGGTGGCTGCTGTTGCAGAGGAGAAGTCCAGCAGTTCGTCGTCTGATTCAAGCGAAGACGAAGACAAGCAGCTTCACAAGAAACATAAGAAGAAGCACAAGAAACACAAGAAGCACAAGCACAAGCATAAGAAGAAGAAAAAGTCTAAGAAGGCAGAGAAGTCGGACTAGGTGTGCGACGGCGGCGGCGTTATATTGAATAATGTGTCTGTGCATGAATGTTTTGCTCGAGTTCTTGTTGAGGACTTGCTCATGAGCTCTTGTAAACTTTGTAAGAAGCAATCAGTTTATTTTTTTTTTGTTTTTCTATGCCAAGTCTTGTTAGGTGAAGAGTCAATCCTTTTGAAGAAGTGGACACCTTTTTTGGCGTCGGTGAAATGGCTCGTCATGTTCACCCTGTAAATAAAAATGATGTGTGCCGAATAAATGGAATCATTTTCCACGATAGAAAACCAAAAAATATTGTTGCCTTTTATTATTGCTCCTGTTTTTAAGAAATTGGCTCATTGTCAATTTGCATTTTGGCCAATCTGCTGGTTGTCCACACTTCCTGAAAAGGGAGCATTTCAAACTTGGTTTAGTAGGCCTAAGGGTCGGCATTGGGCCACATTTGTGCTGATGGGAAATTATCAATTTCCTGGCTAGTTATTTCAGATGGAAGGTGGTGTAACATTTGCTACATTGCCCCAATTTACGGCCGTGGCAGGGCGGTGTCTCCAGACTTCTTGTTGAAGGGTCGGATTAGCAAGCTTTTGTCTCGAGGGCCGGAAGAAAAGTATACAATCATGTCCCACCCCCCACCCCCTCAAAAAAAATAAAAGCACAATGTTATTCTTACTGCAAAAATAAATTTTGTCTCTGAACGCTCGGTCCCGCCAAAATGCAGTGATAGCGTTTCCTCATTCAAAAGTGGTAAGCGGAGAATGAGTGTTCGCTAATGCAGTTTTTGCGGTTAAAAATTTTTTTTAGTGAATACCTTGTATGTGGATATATACAAACTAACCAAAATAAATGTTAAGTATTAAAAAAAAAATGGATAAGTACATGTACATACTTCAAATTGAAATTTAATATTTAGCTAATTGTAACAATTGTGACCAAGGAAATGCTAGTGCTCACCAGGCATAACTCAAAATGCAGAAAAACTTGGCACGTTTGTGCAGTGCAAAAGACACGAGAATGAACGGTGACGATATGCGATAGTTGTGACAGGACACCAAGTGCAGTGTGATACGAGATGTTTTGGTGGTGGCTAAAAGTGCTGAATATCCTTTCATCTTGCTGTGGGCACTCCTATCAGGGGGTAGCGGTGACGTCAACGCCGAGCCCTGATTGGCTGATCGCGACCCCTATCTGAGCGTCATCTGCTCCTTTGCAATGTCGTCTCTGTCTGTCTTACCTTTCCTGCGACTTTCGGAAGTGTAGAGGCCAGATTCACGAAACGATCTTACGCCAAAAATGTGCGTAAGACAAAACTTAAGAACAAATTTGTATTCACGAAACGAAATTTTCGTAAGTTTTGTGCAGGTTACGACGAAATCCTACGACAGCGAAGCTGTCTTGCGCACTTCTTACGATCAAATCAGCATGGCCGACAGCGTCGCAGTCTCGACGACCCACGGACGTTTATTTTTTTATGCGCGCTTCTCGCGTGTCCTGACTTCAAGCAGCAAGAAAAAGTAAAAAGTACTTGAAACAGACCATGAAGAACAAGAACGCTGGATCCACAAACACCTGGGAAAAGCTCCAACGGCCACGATTCCACCGACAACGACCAAGCGAGTTCGGCCGTTAGGCCTAGCAGGCACTCCGCGACTCGGCGACCGCCTGCCCACGACCGGCTGGCGTGCTGAATGGAATATGCCTGCGCGACCCTTGTGAACCCTTCCCGTATTATACTTTGATCGCTGACCTCAATTTTAGATTAAGAGGTCAATTTCTTCCTCTTGTTATCTCTTTGTTTCCCGAGGCAACGGTGACTCGCTGGTGAAAAAGCGGTGAATCTCCGACAGACGCAGGAAAGGTAAAGCAGCCATCGCTTTGACTAGCAGACGTAAAGCAGATGACGTTAACTGCGCCAACCCGCCGACGCCGTTGAAGAGTGAGGGGTCTCGCTGCACACGAAAGGAGGGAAAAAGTATTTGGACACTAGCACGCTCACTCTTGGTTCTTAGCAAACAAACCTCGGCGCCTCGGGACACCTCGCCAGTAAATCCTTTGACTTCTCTCCTTGATGCGCGTCTGCTAGTTGTTAGACAAAACCAACGTACTGCTTGAGTTATTTCGTCTGCCCTCTGAAAGTCGAACTCGCTCGTAAAGACCTGCTCTTCCGAAAGTCGCAGAAAAGGTAAGACAAACGCAGACGATGTTGCGAGCAGACGACGCTGAGATAGGGGGTCGCGATCAGCCAGTCGGGGCTCGGCGTTCTGACGTCGCCGCTACTTCCTTTCTCATGCGCAGAAGACGAAAATAAGCCCACTTGCGAGGCGTATTGGATCCCGGCGACGTGTTGCCATTTTTGGCTCGTTTCGCATCCCACATCCAGATGTGCACACTCCTATTGGTCTACTGTGGCTGCCAGTGATGTGCCACCATTTGGGGTGCCGGTGGCACACTACCGTGACGAAGTAGATTACGCTCCGCCATTTTTGGTTCAAGTGCGTCCCGGCGTGCACCAGCTTGGCAGTACTTGTTTATAAAATCCATCCAGCGCTCTAGTGCCGCCACCAGCGCCACCTCACGGGTGCCCTTCTGTGACGAAACTGGTAGGATGCGAGCAGACGATTCATAATGTCAAAGCACGGAGTGGCTATGTTAGTTTTCATTTATGCCGATTAAAAATGGTTTATTTATTAAAGAAACATGTAGGGTATGACTTTTTTGTGAGTGATCTTTCTAGTGAATGAAAGCACCTCAAAGTTGTTTTTTTTTTTTTATTAAGAAACTTCAAAACCAAGCTTAAAGCTTCACATGACAGCTTGCACAGCGTGTGTCGGGCTATTCACGTCCTCTCCGATTCTTTTTTTTTATTTATTTATGGAGGCAGCTGTAGAAAAAGGTTTTGCATTCATCAGAGTAAATGACGTGCTGTCTTAGCCGTTTCAAAAATGTGCGAAAGGGGACGGGCAGGATAAACGAAAGATGTTTGTCCTGTCCATCCTCTTTGTCTGACTCTTTCGTATATGTTTGAATCAATTACCAACACGCTGAATCCGAGTTTTCTTAGCTGTGCATGCATGCACAGTTGTGAATTGCAAAGCACCGCATACTTGTTACAGCTACAGCTTGCCGATACCCACGCTTCTATCCAGTTGTGACTCGACAGTTGGCGACGAGCAAATGCTCGTCTGCAACTGACGCTTGGCTTTTCCCGCATCGAATATGTGGCAAAGAAGATCGTCACATATTGTGACTTCTGCACAAAAGAAAAGCAGAAATTTTCATAAATACTTAAGTTGTTGGACATGGCCCGGCAAATTCAGACGATTGATTAATTTGTTCTATCGAATTTTTTCTAAGAATTGTTTAGAAATTTAAAATCGCTCGCTGAGGAGCGCGTCACAGATTATACGCATTTGAGTCCATGAAATTAAACATACGAACAGTAGTAATTAATGGCAGGTGTATAAACGTTTGCAAGTCCGGCCTTGGGGCGCTGCCATCTTCCCCAGTTGGGGTGCACTTGGGTGTGGCCATAATCCGATTACTCTGCCCTTGGCAAGGCTTCGTAATCGGATTGCACCCCAACTGAGCAAGATGGCAGTGCCCCGAGGCCGGACTTGCAAACGTGTGTACATACCTCATTTCTTTGGGACACTGAAGTCGCTGACTTACTAGAATTAAGACTTCAATCGCGAGGATCGAGGTCTCGCATGTTTCGCGTCGCCCGAGTGTATAAGCAGTGATGTAATTGATACGACTCTGGAAGCCAGCCACCACTTCTTCCTGCCAGTTATTTTGAGGAAATGTTTGTTTACTGGTTTAAAAATTTGAAAAAGGAATTGTAATAATAAGAGGAACCAACAGGATACAGGTAGTGCCACTAAATAAGCTACGCTTCAGAGTAACGTCATTTGGCCATATTGTGGCTTAAAATGGTTGCCAGTTATCTGAAGCTTTATCTCAAATCACAGGAAACGCTCTTCCGTCCTCCAGAAATGTTTAAACAGTTTGGGACAAAGGAAAGCAATATTACATGAGCGTCTTAACACCGAATCTAATGCTGAAGAAGTCACACTTTTGAATCATGACGATCGGCAGTTGTGCTTGCTCTCCACAAGCACCCAAATGGCAGTGCCCACAACAATGTCGGGGAACAGAGAAGTTCATTTAGTGGCTCTAGGTACAGGAAGTCGCTTTCACTGAAGTGTTTACTCATTGTGTTTTCTACACGTGCGAGAAGTTCTCAAATTTTGCTTTCCTCTTTTCAGTTTGATGAGATTCCTTTCTCAGTTTTATTTTGTTCAATCAATAAAAAATAGACCAGATTCGCCATTGTAGATGCTGTGATGGGGTAGAGTGCTGGGTATTGTTTTTATCATCCAGCTTTTTGTACTGGGGTACAGAACAGCACATTACCATCCAAGCGCTTCGTCACCTCCAACGTTACTAAAACACTCGGTTGGGAAACTCGCCGTCGAAACCTGGGCCGCTGCCGCCAACCGAGACCGAGCTAAATACGACAACAGCGCCACTCTTTATCATTTGTACTGTGGTCACCGTGAGCTTTTAGAAAGCCTGTTTTTGCGTAAAAAAGACGTAAAAGACTCTTTTTATATGAAATATATTGGAGCTCAGTACAAAATGAAGGGCGCGTGATGTTTTTAAAATCTTTAGTTTGCAAGGTTTTGCGTCACAATAAATATTGCTTTATACAACCATGCCTCAGCGGTGCTTAGTTTGCAAGGTTTTGCGTCACAATAAATATTGCTTTATACAACCATGCCTCAGCGGTGCTTAGTTTCCAAGGTTTTGCGTCACAATAAATATTGCTTTATACAACCATGCCTCGGCGGTGCTTTCGGGTGTACGCGTCCCGACCTAGGTGCATTTTAACTTCGGTAGTAAGACGCGGCGCGTCCGCTGGGGAGACGGGGGTGGCACACCTGTAACCTTTTCCACTGTATCTGTTTCGGCGCCAAAATGGCCGATTAAAGCCAAAATAGACGTCACGTGCAGTTCCTCGAGTGGCTGCTGCAGGAGAAATGGCGGCGTTGTGTTCGCCATTAGCTCAGTGCTCGAGGACAGATCGGGGCCACTTTTTCCGAGCAGTCTCCATGGCAGTTTCCCAACTGAGTGGTTTAGTAACGTTGGACACCTCTCGCGTGAAACAGGCTTTGACACGTGGCAAAGCCTGGGTGTACATAATGTTACCCAAAGAGCGCATGAAACGAGCCGACGGATCCAAGATCTGCGCGGTCTGTCCTAGTGCTCTAGTCCGTCCTACCGGTCCTACCCTTGACGTCGCAAGCAATGATGATGACAGCTAAAGAAGCGCCCCCTGTAGTTCTTTCTGGGACGAGTTTGCGTATTTGGAGCGCATCTTCGTTGGAAAGACCATGAGGCATGAGTCCGTCGAAAGCATAGAGGTCGAAAGATTTCCGCAGGCCAGGATTTGGAGACCCCTGATTTAGGGGAAGGTAGTGAAACCGCTTCTTCCAATGCTCCGACGCTGAGCGCTGAGATTACGGCTCCTCCTCCAAACATTAAAAAAATACCGCACACCTCGCTGCAACAAGACATATAAAGTAAACGCAACATCTTTCGGTCCAGGATGGAGAAAGTGGGACCGGACATTTCATTGAACGCCGTTTCATTGAAGCCGTTTCATTGAATGCCGTTTCATTGAACGCCGTTTCATCGAACACCGTTTCATCGAAGCCGTTTCATCGAACGCCGTTTTATAGAACGCCGTCTTATCGAACGCCAGGGTGGCATTCCCGCTTCCTGAAGCTGGTTGGAGGTGCCCATCCCAGGTCTTGGAAGTTTTTGACTTGCATCGCCACAGAACATCAACTGACGGAAGACAAGCTGGAGGCGATGCTGAGTTCCCAAGAGCCTCCTCGCCAGATGGCCATATAGTGGCAAGGAATGAGAAGGTTCGCCTTTTTTATGAGAACCGACGGACCATGGCTGTGGGGGACTTTTTGAGAGAAATTCCTCATCATTTGAAACGGTGAATGGCTGTCGCACGAACACATGAACCCCCGAAAGTTTTCAAATAAAATTTGAAGTGACATACTCACTTTTGACTTTATTGAGTCTTAAAACTAAAAAAACAATGTTTCGTTGTAGTTTCATAAATAGCACCTCAGCTTTAGCTACTGCAAGCTTAGGGCAGTAAAAAAGTATCAATAGAAAGACATGAGAGGCTAGGAGGCTCACATGGCTAAAGTTGTTGCGCCTGCGCAAAACCTAAGTCGCCTTCTGGCCTCCATGAGTTGGAGTGCGCTCTCACCGGGAGTGCGACTTTTTATTTATTTGTTACATTACCCTCAAGGCCCATCGGGTAATACAGAGGGGGTGAACAGATAAGCACAATGTGCGAAACAAACAAAGATCGGGACAAATATCCTCATGGGTTACTAGCATCAAAATAAATTGTAACAGCTACAAGTTTGGACATTAAAAAACCAGACAAAAGAACATCTCACACTTTTTATTTAAAAGACATTCGATGAAACGCCCGTCAGCGATTCGATGAAACGGCGTTCGATGAAACGGCGTTCGACGAAACGGCGTTCGATGAAATGTCCGGGAACCTGGAGAAAGATGGTGACCCTTTCGCCAAAGTTGGTTGATTTTACAATTTGTGTGGCAACGATCAAGATGCCCAACTGTTGAACCAAAAGCATCAGCCAAAACTGGCCAGTTTCTTAGAAGAAAAAAAAATAGTAAAACGACAGTAAAAATGTAAAAACAAGGCGGCAGCTGCCAGCTACAGCCACGCGCCGCGCCGGCCGCGCTACAGCTGCTACTGCTGTTGGCTACAGCGCTAGTCACAAGACTGCCGTCATGACCCCTTCTTGTCTTCTAACCTAAATGATAGTCCGCTTGAACCAGAACACACGATGAGCGGAAATTCGATCAAATCGATGCTTTCGGAACGAAAGCTACGTACACTTTCCCGAAGAGGCATCGGTGACCAACTTCACTACGTTTCGAAACACTTGAAGCCGTCCTACCTCTGGGATCTCTCCGAGCCAACAGTAGCAACCGTCGACGAATGCATTCGGCGCTTCAACGACTCTTTCAACACTCGCCACCTCAGAAGCGTTCAAATCGGCGACTGCGATCTCCTCGTATGTAACCCCGAGCTAACGCTTCAACATTTGAAGGACGTGGTGTTCTCGAACAACGTGCGTTTTGTCGACGTATCGTCGACCCAAAGGCGACCGACGCTTCTGACCACTTTGCCCTCTGACCTCGAGGTTATGTTGCGCTGTCTGCTGCGTCAGCTAGATCGGTTCTCGCTAGAGGATCGCAAACTCTTGCGGCTTGATCTCAAGTCGGGCTGGAATATGTGCTCGGCGTTCGGCGTGTTTCTGGGGTTCCCGGTCGTGTACTGGTGTTCCGTCGAGTCTGACTCAAACTGCCTGTCGATGGAAGAGTTGAAAGTGCTCAGCGTGCGTTGCCCGAAGTCGTACGACGGCACTGAGAACTTAGATTTGGGCGCAAGCAACGAAGTGTACTCGTTTAGCTTTCCCCTGTGTTTGGAGCCGGAGTTGGGAGGGCACGTGCGGTGTTGGTTCGAAGGATTGAGGACTCGTTTTGCGGACCTGAAGCTGACCATGACCAGTAGGGTGTGTTGTTATCCGACAGTGGCGCTATGACGTTGAGTTTATTGTTTTCAAAAGACCCTATCTCCTCATCTAGTAGAATTGCAGATACTGCGCAGTGGCACGGGAAAATGGTGTCGATTTAGTAACTTATAATATGCGCACAGGGGTTGCAGTGATGTCAGAACGCCAAGCTCTTATTGGCTGATGGAAAAAAAAATAGTGGGTAGTCTTCAAGGCATCTAGCATTGAGGTTACTCACTATCCCATCAATCAAAGCCAATCAGGGCTTGACGTTGTTCTGACCTCATTGCAGCTCCTGCGCAAGAAGACGACGACTTGCTCTCCGCATCAATGTTTTTCTACCCCGTCACCCCTGAGCGGGAGGCACTCACTCGATCGAATGACGTTTTAGCGAACGCCCACGTTTCACCGAATGACACTTTAGCGAATAGTCGCTTTTCGCTAAAGTGTCAGTCATTTTTGGGTGGGCCAAATGGATTCACGTTTTTGTAATGATCCGCCGCAGACTGTTGTCGCAAAGCGCCGTAAGCGCAGTGCGGCGGATGGGTTAACGCGTGCCCTTGTTATTCGCTAAAACGTCGATTCGCTCGTGTGATAGGGACCCCCCCTGAGCTGACTGCGTGATAGGAGTTATGCACTTGCCAGCCCAATCAGATGTTTCCCTTTCATCACCTGACCCTGCAATCTCCGCGCGACTCTGGGTGGGAGCACGATCACGTGGCGAAAGATAGACGCACGAGCGCATAACTTCCGCCACATCCCATCCCATCACCTTAGCGGTGAACTGTGTTGCCATAGAAGTAGGCACGTGTTTCACGGTGTTTGTTGTTTTAGCGTATCCCAATATTTTAAAGGGTGTGAAGAGAGGTGCATGATTTTCAAAAAGGGTCGACGTACGTCCCACATTCCAGGAACGCTTGCTTACAAATTCCAAGTGTTGACTGAGACAATTCTATGGCAGCTCGATTTCGTTTTGTCCGCTCGCCGACATTCTCAAAAGGTCAACACTCTTGGCTGCAAGTTTTTAATGTTCACATTATTTTAATTTTCTACTTCATCTTACCCTACGAATGACTGCAGTTAAAACCGTGGGCTGCCATGTCCAGTCACGAGCCATTTAGAAATCGCACGGCGTATGCGTCAAGACACACAGACTGATGTGCACGTCCGAGTGATGTTTCTAACTGGCTCACGACCAGACCTTTCATCTTTGGCTATAGTACAATATCCCCCCCCCCCCCCCCCCCCCCCAAAAAAAAAAGAAAAACTTTCCGAGTTTTTTTTATTGCAAAATTAAACTATGCATTGCCGAACACTCATTCATCGCCAATATATAGAACTAGAGCACCGAATCGGATGCCAAAGTTTCAGCATTAACCATCATATTCAAAAGTTACATTCTGTGATGCACAGTTTATTTCTGAGGATAAAAAAAAACAAAAAAAACTGCAAGTTTTTTTGGAGACACTCTGTACTTGTGACAAATTGCAGCCAAGCCGACGTGTCAGCTGCCACAGTCACCTTGGATTATTTGATTTTTATGTTTTAACGCCAAAATGCAAGGTCTTTTCTTTTATGACCTCACATGCCCGAAACAGGGTTCTCCCGAGGAAAATTTAATTCTGCCATCCCTCATTATGTGCAAAGAAAGTTAAAACGAGACAGGAGGCATCTTAATGTTTCATCGCATATTATTTTGACAGTCCATGGTTTTCATCCCATCCCTTCATTGCACTGTACAGTGCGATGGAGACAGACCGTAACAAATTTTCATTTCATTTCATTCTATCTCGCAGGTTCCCCCAAGAACATTGTACCACTACGAATAAACGACAAAAGTCGATTTCGGGAGGCACAACGTTGTAATGTGGCGTAGCAGCGTGGATAGAGGTGCTTTGCCTCGGCGAAATGTGAAACGGCGAAATTACGATAATGTGTCATTAAAACTTGCAAACAGAAGTCATGTTTTTGTTTCTACGGGAATCATCTGGTTTGGTCGGAGGAATTTGATGCTCACGGACCCAAGCAGATGAGTCCGGAAGCACTAGAATGTCTATGCTAACGGTGTTGGACATTCCACGAGTAAGTTGCCTTCCCCAACCACTTGTCATTCGAACAGCGCTACTAAAGCTAGCAAAAAGCACGCAGGAGGCCACAGAACGTTTTATTGCAAACGGCAGTCAACAGAGGGCAACACTAGGCAGCAAGCAGGTAGCTTGGTCACTATGTACATAACGCGACACACTGTTGACGCGTCCTCATGACTAGATCCTTGCCCTTGACACCTACTCGTCGCAGAAAGCTGCGAGATTCATGGGGAGAATGCCGCTGGGAAAATTAAAAATGCGGCACGACTTTAGTCTGCATCGTGGAATTGGTCCCTCGCCTGCGCGGGAAGTAAATAACCCAAACGGATAACGCTGTAGAAGTTTTAGGTAAACTCTCAATGGTTTTCATGTACGGCTACATAAATCGCATCTGCATCTCCAATATGGCTATGGCTGCACAGGCTTAAAGGGCATTTGTGTGGGCCTAGATATTTTAAGGAAAAAGTTGCCCACAAGGATTCAGCAAACAGTCCGAGGCATATTTTCAGTAATAACGGATTTCATGAAGTATATTCTGTGATGACCAGCAGGATGAAAAGATCTCGATTTAACGAAGGAAAAATATTTTTAAAAAAGAAAAAAACGGTCACAGACAGCGAGGCGACCGAAATGACTTCCAGGGCATCCCACATCATATGCCTCCATGCCTGTCTTCTGTCACAACTACCTTTCCATTTCTAAGTAAGTGCATTCAATGTTTAAGCACTATTTTAGCATACCTGAACTATGCAATGATGCACAACCATGAGTCGAGCATTCCCCTAGTGTGTGCATCATCCCCAAGAGGAGGGGTGTGTTCCTTAGCTGTCAATTAGGGCAGACATGATCCTCAAGATAAAAAAGTTTGAGAGCCCATTCTAGTGTTTCGAGCAAAAAGAATTAAATATCTTGGGGGGAGAAGGGGGGGGGGGGGGGGGGGGGGGAGTGTCAGGAAAAAGGAAAAAAAAACAGACGTACGCAATAAATAAACATGAACTCGTGAATTCTTAACTTCATTGCACATGTATTCTGCTATCGGAATCCCTTTGTTAGAGATTTATGTCAAAACAAAAATTTTGCATTTTTGCTGCAATAATGCAACAGCTATCATATATTTTGATTTCCTTTGTTCTCTTTGTTGATACAGCTGACTAGAAAAGTGTATTGCAACACTATCGCCGTAACACGATTTGTTAAAAACTAGACTTCATTTCCTTGCTCTGCAAATTTTTGCAGGCACGTTAGATATTGCTCGCAGTTGCTTTTTACCGAGCATCTTGCCACAGTGGCACGCAAGCTAGAAATCTCAGACTGAACCGGTCAAAGTAAGATTACTTAAAAGGGCAAAGGACAAAACAGTACATTTGTATGAATTACACCTCGTCATTGACACATTTTCGGGACTGGGTGCCTGAAAGCATATGGGTTTTACAAAAGGCACTTAGTATACAGAATTGACAACCTGGTGCGTGTGCTTGCAACTATAAGCATTCCCTGCTCTAGAATGTAAACGTTTGGCAAAGCCATCTAGCACAACCACTACAAAGTCCGATGACTTTGTGTATTGCAAGCCATATGGTTCTAACCTCTACACACTGTGCTTTTCATTTGCTGCTTCAAGCGGTCCTAGGTGCTTGCCAAGCATGAGTTTAACATAAAGAAATGCTCATATTCGGCATCATTGCATTTATGCCACCTTCAGTCTGCCCACATATACATTGGAATGCAATGATGCTAAAAGTGTAAAATAGAAACAAGGTAGTTTAAACAGCAGGATTTGAGCACGTCATTCAAATCTGCTCTTGGAATCTCGGCAATGAATGAAGATTCGGTCCCGCAGTTGACAGTATGGCACCGGTACAGAAAAGATGACTGTTCAGTACAAACCACCATGGTACAACAGAATACTTTACAATATGTAAGCAATGAAGGGAGCACGCCAGTGGCAAAGAACCATGGAGGAAGCTCATAGGTCAAGCATGTGAACTCAAGTTCTACAAGCTTCTCATCATTCATAACCAGTTGGAAGCTACAGTAACTTTCTGTAGCCTTGAACCAGTAATACCAGTACACATGCAAGCACTAGCTAGTACAGGTATGGGTGCAGTACACCAATCAACATACCGTTACATCAAACAATCACACCGACCAAAACAGTAACGCTTTGTGAACACGAGGCGGTCATCCGCTTCTGAAACTTTGAAGTGTGCTTATAGTACCAGCAGTACTGCACGGTGTCAGTAGCAATGTGAAAATAGTACCACCACCAACGCAGTAGAGATTAGGAGCATTAAATAAATAGCAGTAGGATGATGCCTCATTCATCTGCAATGGGGCACTAATCAGTTTCACAATTTCAAGTCTGCTTTCGAGAGTATAAATTCAGATCTATGGCTTCAAGTGACAGACAGATCCAATGAAAACACAGTACAAATGTATGGTACCACAATATGAGCACAATGCTTCTCCAGTTGTATCGAGGAAGCAGTATCATTGGGATTGCTGGAAGATAAGCGATCAAAGGGATGATGTCTATCAATCTATCTGCCAACTTCACATTGTTGCATTTAACAAACAAACAACAGGCATCATCAAAGCTGACCCTATTTGCACAGCATTGATATTCATCCCCTGGTTTGCAAATGTCAAAATCTTAATGGAAAATAGGATTTGGCTCCAAGCGCTAGCATAGCATTTTTCACCTTATATCAATCAGATGTCAGCTTCAGCTTCAAAACTCGGATGTTCTACTGGTAACACCAGTTTTGAACACTACCAGCAAAGCACTGACACCAGACAAACTGGTACAGTCATTAACAGTGACATTAGCATGATTACTCCACATCATTGATCAGAACCAATACAAGTGTCAGCACCATTGATACCACTGCCAGACACTACTGGCATCATCGCAGTGCTCAGCCACAGTTAAAGTCATGTCTTGTTTATATGGACCCCATTAATATGGATACCCTGCTACACTATAGACCACTTACAACGTAACCGCTTATAGTGCAGGACCAGGTATAATGCGGCTTTTTTAAACCACCGGTTCGCCTCCCATAGAACTCCATGTAATTACATACCGCTTAAAATGTAGGTGCGCGAAGAGAAATACTGGTTATAGTGCGGTTTCTGGAACAGCCCGCCAACCTCGCCGACCGACCGGTGCCGCGAGCATGCTTCCCTGTGCGACACTAGACAACGGCGCTAGCCGCAAGCGGCACTCGCGGGGCGAGGAGGTTGCTCGAAGAAGCGGGGAGAAGCGAAGAGAGGGGCTTCAGTAGCCATAGCGACGGAGGGACGCACGCACGTGTCGTTCACATGCGTGCGTCCACAACCACAACGACAGACCAATTGCAGGTCGAGAGGTGTTCGCGTGCATTGCATGCCAGTCGCGGGCCGGCTTCTTCTACCCGCAAACATGGCGTCGGTTGTGATCGTCGACGTAGGTTGTGATCGTCGACGAGTATGTGGATCTTCCCAGAAGGGAAGATCCACATACTCGTGCACCGATGTCGTGGCGGCACTCTCAAGACGGCAGAAACGCCCGTGTCGTCGTGTTTGTTTACTTCGACTACAGTGGTGCTTTCCAAGCATTTGTGTTTTCGAACACCGCCCGGATTTCTCATTTGGAACATTTCATGCATGTGCTCAAGCTGAAGGTATTACTGGCGCGTACTGTATAAAGGATGCAAATTTTCACGCGTTTTCATCACCGGAGAAAAGTGATTAGGGTTAGCAATCCTGAATGCTCGCAACGTCCGTCCGCAACCCGCGACGCCGTTAAAAGGCTGCGCCAGGCAAAAGTCGCTCATTTCTTTCAAAATGTGTGACATACTTGAGAGAGAAGTGTACTAGTCTGGTGAAATACAGACTTTCCTCAAACTAAGCTTTATTTTTCATCTGACATAAAATAAATTATTTCACAAAGGTAAGTTGTCTCATGGCATGTATTTTGGCCTGAAAAATTGATGTTTTGGTTATAACACGGTACCGCTTATAGTGCGGATTTTCGCGACTCCCGCGACATACGTTATATGCGGTCTACACTGTATATGGACACCATTTTTGGGAACACTGGAAAATACACTCATTTTTGTCTCATTATTATGGATAGCTCACAATATGGAAGATTTTTTGGGGGAACAAAGGTGTCCATAATAACAAAACATCACTGTAACTCTCACCCGTCTCGCTAGTACCAGCATTGTCAGTACACTAAGCACCAGAGCAACCACTGCTACAACTATTTCATGCACTCGACTAGGGTTGTGCGAATATTCGAAATTTCTAATAGTAGTTTCGAATAATACACTATTCAATATTCGCTTCGAGAAGAACTTTACTATTCGCATTTTTCGAAGTGTTGATTGCGGTGGGTTAGCCCCGTTGAGTGCGCTTCTTACCGAGCACCGGTGCACTGCGGAGAAGCAATACCCGCGGAAGCAAGCTCTGCGGGTGTTGCTTTTCCACATTATATCGGTGCTCGGTAAGAAGCGCACTCAACGGAGTGACCCGCCGCGATAAACACTTGAAAAAGTATGAATATCGCAGTTGCGTGCTTGGACGATAACCATACGTTCAAAGCGGGATGGTGCACGCGTGCCGGCTGTATATGAAAATAAATAAAAAACTTTGTGAACGTGTATACTGTAAAACCCTTTATTTTCGGGGCCCCTATTTTTCGCGAATCGGTCATAGAGGACATATCGCGGCCACTAAATTTCGCGAATTCCAGAAACCTGCATTGAAATTCTTTAAGACCGAATTTTTCTCGTGCCTTTAAGTTTCGCGAATTTTTCAATTTGCGAAAATTAAGGGCTTGCGAAAATTAAGGGTTTTACAGTATCTACATTGTAGTAAAAGTTTTAAAATTAAACTGACTGTTTTGCAAGAGTATATGTTGGGCAAAGATGCCCTTACAACCTGCATTCATCATGCGCGAGTCATTCTTTTTTAACTCGAAATTAAAGAAAGAATATTAAAGATTTGTAAATTCACTAAATTGGGTATATTTGGCCATTTCCATTGGATTCATTTTATTACAAACTTGTTGTTTACTTACCCTCCCAAGACATCAGAACTTCTGAGGTCACAGTTCATAAATATATAGATTAAACATGGCTTATAAATGAACAGGTGGAACAACCTTCACAAGTTTCGCTGGGGTTTTGTCTAAGCATTATGTTTTGGTAGTGAAAGGCGTGGAAAAACTATTCGATATTCGATTAGAAAATATTCGGCCAAAACCACTATTCGCTTCGAATTCACTTCGAACTCAAAATTCACTATTCTCACAAGACTACACTCGACAGTAAACCAGACCTTTCACTATGTAGTCCTCTCTCAGCTTGGAGCACACTACAATCTCCAATGTTCTACTATTTTTTTACCTTACAAAACATATACATCAGCACTGCCCATGCATTCACAAATGAATCCATTCACTGCCGTATAGGCGGGGTCCATCCATTTTGACATCCAGGGACAACATAATCCTAAGACGATCGCCATTTTCCCAAACAATCCCGAGACTCGTGACACCCAACCAAGTCCAGATGTGAAAGACATAATAAAAAAATGGTCCAGACACGGCATCTAGGGTGGCCTTCAATAGAGGATAGTCCCATTCACGCAGTAAGATGACTTTGCAAACGTGGCACTGGGCTGCACGCTTCCGTTGCCGTTCGGAAGGTAGCCCGGCGGGGAGTTGTAGTGGCCCCCGGACAAGAGTCCGGCCAAGTGCATGACCGGAGTGATGGCGCCGTTAGTGACCGCCGGAATGGTCTGTACGGCGGCCGCAGAGGGCGCCGGCTTAGGCTGTATGTTGTCCAGAACGAGCTCAAGTTCCTGGTAGTCCGACAACCGTTGGACTTCCTTGTCTTTGCGCATGATGGTGTTGGGAAGCTTCCGCAGTTTCCGGACCTGAACACAGAAGTAAATATATAAATAGCACGGCATTAGAAAGAAAAGAATTTCCAAAGGAAGTGCTGCCCTGCGGGTATCACAATTCTTCGAACTAAAATCAGATTTTTGATCGGGAATTTAGGGCCCTAAAAAGCCAAGAGCCGAGTTAGAGTCAAACTTGAACTTCTTTGGCAGAGTCCGGGTAGCTAATTGGCTCTAACTCGCCAAACAAGTACCAAAGTTAGGCTTCATTGTTCGTAGTTTGGCCGTAACCCGGCATCTTTGGGCCTACACTGCCAAACAAGTTCCAGACTTAAGCTTCATTTCTGGTTGTTCAGTTTTTCATGTGGCAACTTTGGACCTAAATTACCTAGCAAGTGTCAGATTTAGGCTTCACTGCCGGTTCTTCGGTTCGTACGAGGCATCTTCTTTGGCTCAAGTCTGGCACTTTGGAAATTATATGCCGAGCCAGAGGAAGTATATTATAACTAATGCTTCAGAGCCAAACCGTATTAGGCCCGAGTAAGGCCTCTAGGATTGCCAAGCTTGTGCCAGGTTGGGCGTATTTCTGGCGCGCTACCTGGGCATGCACACTGTGTTATAAGTACAGCTTGCGTTATAAGTGCAGCATTTTTTTTCTCGTGAACGACGCTAGAGTTTCAGAGAGCTACTGTAGCCTTGAACCACTAAATAAGCTACGCTTCAGAGTAACGACACTTAGTCATATTGTGTCTTAAAATCATGGTTGCCAGTTATCTGAAGCTTTATCTGAAATCACAGGAAACGCTTTTCCGCCCTCCGCAAATGTTCAAACAGTTTGCGACAGAGCAAAACATAATTACTTGACCTGTCTAACACCGAATCTAATGCTGAGGAAGTCACACTTTTGAATAATGACGATCGGCAGTTGCGTCGATCTGCTCTGCATACGAGCCAAAATGGCGGCGCCCACAAAATGTCGGGGAACGGAGTGCCGATACTCGAAGCGCAGCTCATTTAGTGGCTCTACTGTAGCCCATTGCCAGATAAGCCAGTAGCTCTGGTACTTTAAGCTTGGCTTGTTCAGTGCATACTTCAAAGTTTACGGCATCGACACACGTCTCGTTTCTCAAAAGGGAACAGTGCCGTTAAAACTTTGGATGGCTTCAATTTGTAGAGCGAAACCATTCAAAGAATCGCCGTAGCACGCATTACACAATGGACACCTCTGTAGCAATTGGACTCGCAGCTGCAGGAGGACATTTTCGTATGCAACTATTATTCTTCGACGTAAGGCGATAACTTCCGCTTCTGTCCACAGTTCAGGATACGATTTGAAAAGAGAGCATGCAGGTCAAACATTGTGACCGGAGTTATAATTATAAATGGGTATAGGGAAAATTGCAATTCATAACAGCTAGTGTCTTATGAATACAGCTGATTTACCTTTTCCACACACTTAATTACCTTTGAAGCCCGACAAGTTCGGCTGCGATCACAGCACGCTCAAAGCGAAGTTTCCTCGAAACCTCGATCACTCCGTACAAATGGCGGAGACTCAATACGACTAATTTAAGCCTTTGCCAAAAAAACTGTCCTCGTGGCTACTGGAGCAGCTTTCTGACGACGTGGGGCCTTAAAGTGGCCGATGCACAGAACAGGCCGAAAAGAACAATCTGTTAAGGGGGAGAGCCCACCCTCTTCATCTCGGCGCCGAGCTCATCGCAGCACGTGCGCAACAGGTTGGCGAAGGTGAGGTCGGTGCGCGGCAGTTCCACCTCGATGAAGTCTGGATCGTCGAGGTAGGCCACCCTCACCTTTAGCACCAGATCCATCTCCTCCACTGCAAACGCATGCATACCAGAGTTAGGGTCCCTGGTGATTTGCGCTTGGTCACCCTCCAGTGCACCGAAGTTATTTAGAAGCTAAGGATCGTTTGCACACCTGCTACTGCTTACGACCGTGTGCGTTCAAACCTCTTAAAATCTCTTACGGCGTGAACGTGTTAGAGCAATCTGTCGGGCTTGGCGTTTCTGTATAGGCATTATTCCTATTTTCTTTGGGCATCATCGTCTCTTTTTTCTTGGCTCGAAAAACTTATGACGATGTTATAAGCAATCGTCTTTCGTAGACAGTATGTACATTGAATGTCGCAGATACCGCAAAACCTTAGTTCTAGTGAAATACGATTCCAGGGTCGCCTCATAGATGGCAACAGCCTGTCAGTGTTTTCTCATCATAAGAGGTTGCAAGGACTCGGTCGTAAGTAAATGCAAGTGTGCGAACGGGCCTTAAGCATGTATGGCACACACGTGACACCGAGATAAAAGAATGTGCACATTTCACAATCCTGGGTGATTTCTAGTATTTCGGCTGCACTGGACAGACGGATGAATGCTGATGGCCATATACCCAGTGTAACGGGAAGTAACTTGCGCCACCTAGCCTAGAAACTATGAACCAAATGTATGATTCGTACCCTTGCCCTTCCAAGCCAATTCGATTCCCCTGGATCAACCGATTCCAGTGTGGCCGACAGCGAGGAGCACCTTGGAGGACCAATCAGTAAACCAAAGTTTTAGCCCTAGCGGCTGCTATGGAATGCCATAGTACTCTAGCAACATTTGTCTGACCACAGTGACTCCAGCATCCAAGCTGGCATCCACTGCCTTACCCTGCTGTCCACTGGAGTAGTCCGACTGGCCATTGTCCTGGGGGAGTCCGTGCTTTGCTGGCAAGTCGGAATCAGGTCTGATGGTCCGTGAGAGCTCCGATAGATCCACCTTGTAGTCGGACAGTGCTGGATGGCTCAGGAAATGGGGAGTGATGGGCAGTGTCGTCTGGGGCACTACCTCCGCAGGGCCGGTGTCTGCGATCATGGCGTTCCAATGGAACTATGTTAACTCAAGAAAGTAATTCTTGCCAAAAGAAAATTAGCTTTGAACTTTTGTACTATAACTAACTTTTAGCTGCAATTAAATGTACCAGATAATTCACGGCATGATCAACATCAATCGGGAGAGGTCCATATAATTTTCTGAGCGTTCCAATACATGTAGCCACCATGAATACTATATTATAGAGCCATTAACCATATAATTCCAGTATCAATTTTTTTCCTCGCACCATCAAAGATTGGAATAACCTACCCACTGAAATAGTAACTGCAATTCTTTAACCCCCTTCCTGGACTGTGTAAGAAAACGCTTTAACATTGAGTGTACTAACTTTATTTTGCTTGCATGTCTTTTTGTTTGTGTCTTCTATTGATTTGTGACATGGTATGCTATCACAATTTAGATTGTCTGCCATTTTGACCATGTATTTGTTTCTGTATTGTCATTTATGTGCCATTTCCACAACGGTCCTGAACAAAAATCAGTAGTATAAATGAAAAAAATTAAAAAAAGATACAGTTCATGTATGTTATTTGTTTATTGCTGCACCGTATGAACATAAAAACTTGTGTCACCACTCGTCCACTGTCCTTGTAAACAATCACACTGCTCTAAACAGCAGCCAAGATTAAGGAAATTCAGGTACCATCTATCATTCGAAGCATCTCTACACCCAGACCTTGTTTCTTATTATACATACACAATGTAAGATGCACGGTTTACAAAGCAGCCAATAATTATGACACAAAGGCTGTTCTAGTCACAACGGCGGGGCCAGTACCCCTGTATGTAGAGTTTTCGCAACGGATCCTAGCACGGTAAATCGCGCCGTAAAAATCGGTGCCCGCACACAGAAAGCTCGAACTTTCACCGGATGTGCATTTACGTGGTGGATTCCACTTGATGAAATCCTAAGACGTAGTAGCTCCCCTCCTGCGAAGAAATGAGACCGAACAAATTTGCCAGGGTCAATGGCGGACGTGTTCACAGACGACCGAGTTAGCGACGGATTGTGGCAACATCTCCCGATAGGCGCAGCGAGCAGACGGCGCACTCTATCGTCTGCTCGCTGCGCCTCTTTCACTTACGTAGCTAAGCCAGTGCATCGAGCAGACCTGATGACTCTTACCACCAATGAGTGCCCTGATGTCCTCGTTATCCGTAAGCATAGCCGGAGTTTCGCCTTTCAGCGTCGTCAACGTGGGGTCGGCACCCTGGTTCAGCAGGTACCTGACGATTGCCACGTGACCCCTCTTGCAAGCCCAGTGCAAAGGTGTCCTGCATTCAGACCATATGGTAACTTGCTTGAAGGGAGCATTTGGGAGGCCCTCTATACTGGCATTGACAAGGGCTATTGGTTGGTTCTTTATGTCCTGTGGTGTTTCGTTGGGTTAAATGTAGTATTTAGGAACTGTGTCCATGAAGCAATGACGCATATAAAGGCAAGCGCCTTTCTGAACATTGAAGAAACATCACAGGTGCCGTTGACCACGGGTGGAACTCTCCCAACTTCGTACGCCATAACGTCTCCTGGGGGTCAAGAATAGAGCACACCAATTGGTTGGCAGCAATAATGCCTTCTGGGGTCAAGAGCGGTGGACACCAATTGGTTGGCGGTCACAACCATGTAAACGCCACGAGATTCAGTTGAGCCAATGTTACTAGATTAGCTCAGTTGTGGAATTGCCGCAAAGGTGCAGTACCTTGCTCCCTCCCTTCAGTTCGCTTCTCATCGTTTGAAGCGCCGTCTAGAGCTTTGTTTCAAAACTGTGTATTTTATAGAGTACGGTGAAATGCTATATATAGATGCTGGACTTCAAAAGGTATGCGTTTCATATACACTGCCGCTACCATATAGCAGCCATACCCAAAACGATGGCGTGTGCAGGGCAATGGGCAATTGCAAAACTGAGTTGATCCATAGTAACGTTATGTTGAGCTTAGATAACAGATGTGAAGCATACTTATTTCTCTAATTATGCTTCATATGCATATATCTTATTCTAGCTTGCAGATTCATTGCCTTTCAATGACATTCTGCTTTGATTGATTGGAACTTACATCTGCCGCAATGAATGAACGAAGGAACTTCTAAAATGAATAGAGGTTTTACAGACAACAATGTGTACTGTTGATCACGTTACTTATTACACCGTTTTCGTTACGCAGACAATATATCTTTATAAGGGCTGGGCAGTTGAAAGATTAACTTTCCGATTAATCAATTAATGTTTTCATCACTATCATCTTTTTCTGACCGATTAATCGGTTCAGTTTTAAGTAAGAAATTGGGGGGAGGAAGTAAAAATACTTGCTTTACTATTCGGTCCACATTTATGTATTTTAGGAGGCAGCACTGCTGCATTCCACTGTAAAACACTTCAGAATTTCCTATGATTGCAATCCAGGGTGATTATAAGGCTTATTTATGTTGTGAAGATATTTTATTTTTACAATAATCCGCCTTTTCTTTTTAAATCGGGCGTTATCGTTTTCAAATGAGGCTGCGCGTTCCACTATGGCATAGTAAAAGTGAAAAGGAAAAAAAAAAAATTCTTTTGAGACTTTTTTTTCGATATTATGCTTGGAGGTTAATGCAACAGAATGATCGATTAATTAATATATTAAAGTACAGCGATTAATCGGGTTAAAATATTCCATATTTTTTTATCTTAAACTTGCATTCGAGGAAGTGTAATCCTTTCTTCCCTGAATTGGTTTAAGCTTACACCTACACCATACATTAATTTTTATTCATTTTAAGTAGAGGACGGTTAAAAATATACGTCACTTATTAAAAACCTCGAAACCCAAGTTTGTAATCTAACGATTTTATTGGAGACGAATCGAAAAGGTCAATTGAGGTGCCGCCCCTTTCGAGTCGCGGTTGGCTTCGCAGCACTACACGCATACCTCGTGGTGAAAGCCTGCTTCCGAGGGCACGTTGCGATATTTTAGGCGATCTCCACGAATTTCAGTAACGTGCGCCCAGCTCGGAACAGTGTGAAAACATCGTTAACCGCTTGGATCTGATAATATTTGAACAGTTTAAGACAACAACACTCACCATCCGTTGATATCGTGCTGGGAATTGATACGAACATTCCGCTCGACAAGCGTGATAACAGCCTCTTCGTCGCCGTAGCAAGCCGCTTCTCGGAGTTTTTCCTCGAGTATCTTGGCTTTGTTAACTTCCATTACGGGGCCGCGGGTTGCTAAGCTATTCACTGTGATGACAACAAAGCTCGCGTTTCCGAAATTGCCGTCCTTTCAGAGCGATAGACAGCACCACGGATGGGACACGCACAAGCCTACCGTCTACATCGTACCATCGTACCACATATGAGACGTTGTCACTGCGCTTGCAAAACCTAGTCCCACAAGCGGTCTTTACACTAATTTACAATTTGGTAAAATAAATTCGATTTATAGAAGCCTACACGCGGTCTAGTTATGTTATAGCTAGATACTCTGATGTACGCGGGGGCAAATTTAGGATTAAAAACTGCGCATACGAGGAGGTTGTTTTGAGTTGTGTTCCTACGCCGGAACGCATGGGACTATTTTCAAGCACAACTCTGGGAGTCTTGGTGGGGGTTTCCGATGTTGATTGACCAAGTTTGCGGTGTTTGTTTACCGTTATGGATGAAGTAAGCCCGCTGGGCGTTTATTTAGTGAAATCCGGAAGTAAGGGCGACCGACTGCTGTTTCGGTATCCGTATGCCATCGACACAGAAAGTGACACCCACGGAAACAGTAAGTGAACCAATCTCGATTGATGATACCAAATGTAGCACACTGATATTTTGCGCCGTATAAAACAAAAGGGTGCGCCCGTGCAAAAACCTGGCGAAATGTACACTGCCAGTTCTGCTTTTCTAACGTTTTTGTCTCTAATTCGCAGAAAAACGAAGCAACCCGTACGCACTCATTCTCACCGAGGACACCCTGAACACAACCAGGTGTGCGATTGCCGATTGCTGACTTGCAACTTTAAACTACACCTGACAAGTGTATAACATCGTTTTCTAACGGGAAAACTTTGTCGTTTTCCTTCCTCCCCCCTTCTTTTGCACTCGAACTTTTCCAGAAGCCGAACTTGTTCTGAAGTCTCTGACAAAAACTTAGTGCTGTAAGTAGCTGCTACAGCACCCGTGCTTTATTGACTGACTAACTGCACTAGCTGTAGTCACAGGGGCGGGGCAGCTTGCACAAAAGGTCTTTCGTGGGCTTCAAGTGCACCTTGTAGCACTTAATTATTCAACATTAAAAGGAGGAAATACCAAACTGTCAGGACGCGGTGTCACAAGGTTTTCCACCATGAAAGATCTGCAAAACATTTTTCAGCAAGTCTGAAAATCCCCTTTGCCGTACTCTCTCCCCGACCTTCTCTCACTGGTCACGTGAAGGCAGGGACCTATGTGCCGGCTTCTTGCGGATATTTTGTCCACAATGAGGTATAGAATTAACCATGCTCTAAATCACCAGGTGAAGTGGCTAAAGCCAGCACCGTCTTACTCTATTTCACCTTACAACGAACCAGAGCAGGCGCTACGAGCCACGTCGGTAAATTCAGTGCTATGAACTTCTCACGTGACTATGCACCCCTCCCGAAGCTCACATGACGCTCGCACGGTGTTGGATTGGCTTATATTGTGGATGGCTCTTAGCGTCCTCTGCGGTTCTATCGTCGGGTGGAAACACTGATCTCTATGTCTATTTGCTGGACCGCGTTTTCCCGCTCTGCGAATGCGGCCACTGGCGACAATCTTTTTGGTAGAGTTATATTACCTCTAGCCAATGTACAGCTGGTGCAGCCACTATCATCCATCCATGGCAGACAGCGTTGTGGCAAAAATAGCCGTGGGCAATATTTCATTCTTGATTGAAATTGTTTGACGAAACTTATTGTTAAAACCCGGCATGAACGGTAGCCCTATCTTTGAGGACTCTATGAAAGTTTTACGAAATCGCAGCGCCGAGGAAAAGCAGCACAGCACGCATCGAAAGTCTCATCGAATGAAGCATTGAAAGCAGCCACCGGTACGGCGTCTGCTTTCGATGCGAGCTGTGCTGTTTTCCCCCGGTGCTGCGCTTTTGTAGAACTTTCGCCGGGTCCTCAAAGTCGAGGCTACCGTTAACGCCGGGTTTCAAGAACCTGCTTCGTCGAACAACTTCAAGTTAGCATGAAATATCACCCACGGTACAGTGTACTAGATCCACGGCTATTTTATGGCAGCCTGCCACCATAGCGCTGTCCACCATATTACTATGATGTCTAGAGATAATATAACTCTACCAAAAAGATGGCCGACCGTGGCTGCATTCTTGTCCATAGGCGGAGCTGGTCAAACGGAATCCAGCAAATAGACATAGAGATCAGTGGGTGGAAAGCAGTATAGATGACAAGGGCATAGGGCTGGATTTTTTGTGTCGCCTCTGGCGGGTCAATACAAGGCACAAGTAGGACACAAGTGCCGTGTCAGCATTCGGCCTAATCTCGTGTCCTCGTTGAATAAACATGAGTTCCTGCTGAATGCTGGTGCAGCACTCGTGTTCAATTATGTGCCGTGTGCTGGCCTCGGTTAGGTGCCTACCAAAGGATGGATGGATGGATGCAAATGGTTGTACCTTTTATCGCAAGCTTGCACCACCTAGCAGGGTGGTGCAAGCCCGCTGTTGCCGGAGAGGAAAACAGAGGATGGCGAGGAGGAAATACTGGGTGTGTCTGAGCACGATTTGGGCTTAAGAAAAAGTGTATAAATGAACTAACGAATGGAGTGCATTGAAACTTTTCACGAAGGTGTCTTCAGGTGGTGCATTTATCCTACCTAAGTGCAGGCTTCAGGGAAAAAATTTAAGCTTAAAAAAAACTTACTTTTTTTTTTCTATGCACAGGGAGAAAAATGGCAAAAACCGTCAGGTCGTGACACTGCTATTCACAGATGGCTATCACACACGCTCGAATTTGCTACTTCTGCTTTTGGGTATTCATCTCTTCAATAAGCTTTCACGTTTTTGTTTTATGTTGTGCCATCTGTAAGTAGGAACATCAAACAGAAGTAGCAGTATCAAGCAGACAGTTTTTGCCGTTTTCCTTTTTGTCCTTAGGAAAAAAACAGGTGTTTTGGCGCTTAACTTTTTGCTCTGAAACCTACATATATTAAATTTGGGTATGAAAAATGCACCACCTAAAGACACCTTCGTGAGAATTTTCATTGCCCTCAGTTCATTGCTTTATTTATAAAAAAATATTTTATGCCCGAATAGCGTTTTGAGACACCCTGTATCGTGAAAAAGGGGGAGGCCAAACATTAAATGTAAACAAACCGTATGCATTTCTTCTTTCCACAACCAACATGCACGTGAGACGTTTCTCCCGCCCCTGCATTTAATTTAGTCTGTGCCGCGAATGGAGTTTCTGCTGGAAGCATTCGGTCACCCCTAAAGCGCTCCCTCCACTGGGGACACAGGATCTCGGACAAGGCGCTGTCCAACCTGTTTGCCACCAAGAGTGAACTCTGTAACCGCAAGTTTGAGCTCAAGGTGAACGACGTGCGGTTCGTGGGGCACCCCGTGCAGCTCTGTTCCAAGCGGGAGACGTCGACCTTCCTCATGTTCAACGTCGTCTTTGCTCTCAAGGTGTGTGGGGCTGGTCCCAAAATTCGACTGAAAGGGAAAATGGGGGAAAACCCAGAAGGAAGGAAAGTAAAGCCAGGAAACTCGGCTAGGGAAAGATAGGAGTAGTTAAAGGGCAACTCCGCTCAATTCTGAAAATATTGGGGTTATGAGTGATTTCACGCAGAGAAGTACTAATGAAAGGCTTGTCTTTTGCTTAACGAAAAATGTTATATATTTTGTGAAATCTTACTTTAACATAAGCAGAAACCAAAACTTTGGCTCTATTGCGCAACATATGCCTCAGGCCGCCAAAAACATGGCTACCATGTGGTACGAGTGGTCACGTGATCCTCTACGTGACGGCACGCGGGATTGGGGCGGGCCACTGTTGGGGTGGGCATGTGCAAGGTGCAAGGGTTTTTTGGACCGCAGTCTTCATCATGTTTCGGTGTCTACAATATCCGACGACGTTTGCACAACTGCAGCATCAGTCTGCGCATGTAGTGTAAACGAATCTCCAAGAGACAGTAATCACAAACTGCGAAACAGCAACGGCAATTGTGACGCGAAAGGTGGTGGTAACGGTGGGACTGCCGGACGGCTCTCAACGACTGAGAAGCGCCCTGCGCAGGCACGTTGCGCCAATCATCTGAACACCGCTGAGGGCCACGAGGAGATGCTGCTGACGTCACCCGTTACGCTTACCCGGAAAAGTAAAAACGAACAAAAAGTAGCTGTGTTGATGATGTTTAGTTCAAAGTTGGCTACTTCAACATTGTAGCCTTGACTAGGCTGTTGATTGCACCTTAACCCGCCTGCTAGAGTCAGCCGATTTCGACAACTTGGTGGGTTCCAAGGTCTGCTGGGCTGTTCAAGAAATATTTCGACAGAACTGCCGTAATATCTTGAGATACAGCCCACCTGAAAGCGAGAGCAAATCGTGTGAAAATATGGAGTAAGCTGTCTTTTGGTGTGCAATCGACAAAAGTTGGCAAAAAATGCTCGTTTTTTTATTTTGTGATTTGCGAAATTTGGGATTGCGGGGAGGGCCGATGAACCCAAAACGACTGTCCTTCCTAGTCAGCAATGTTCATGTTTCTCCTGTCGTGGCTAAGTAACGCCATTTCTGCCGAGGTCGCCATCGACCGGGGCCCTGCAATCACTAGAAGTGGGTTATCTTTCGGTGTTTCTGAAAAATAGCAAATCCTACCAAAAATGGGGGTGGGTTATCCTTCGGGGGATGCGGCATCTCTCAGGACATTACTGTAGCTCGTAATATTTGATGTGCGGTCTTCTTAGGTGATACCGAAAAAGATTGCATTGATTTTTTCAAGAAGAGAATTGAAGTGGAGTTGCCCTTTAAAGGGAAGCTGAAGTGGTTCTGTATTTGGAGAAGAACACCTAAATCATCTTCATTTGGCCTCCATGATCATGAATATCGAGATTATTTTCAATTTGGTGCACGGACGCTGCAGAAATTAATTTCAAAGTACCGCCGAAGCCCCTCCTTTCGGGGACATGACGTCATATTTGGAGATTTCGAAATCTCCACTTGTGCATTTTCAGCGCCTATCGAAGCTATGCATGCGCACTCTTGCTATTTTCAAGAAGGTCAGAAAAAAACGTCACGACTAGTGTCAGTGCGGGGGATATACCTGGCAAGCTTGCGATCGCACGCACTGCCCAGACGAGCGACACGCGCTTTGCAGCCTAAAGATCTTAATATGACGACACGACTGGTTCGAGGTTTTTCATGTTTTCTCACGTTTAGTCACATCCTCGGGGAAAATGAATGTGATATTTAGATTTATGGAATAAAAATATGCGAGAATTCACACCATCTCGGTTTTTTCAAGTAGTGTTTCAGCTTCCGTTTAAGGAATGTTTGGGAAAGATTGAAGTATAGTGGGGGACTATATTACATGAGTGTAGGAAAATTTTATTGTTAGGGAATGACTGGAGTACAGTTGGGGAGACGAACGATACGATTGAATTTTAGGTAGTTCTTTTTGTTTAGCATTTTGTTTTTGGTAGTAACACGACAATCACTTACTGACGTTTATTTATAGTGTCTTTCCTCCAATGAATGTGCTGCTTTTTACCTTCCCTTGCTTAAATTTGTTTAGTAGAATTGTCGTATGATGTTTTGGGGAATCGTTATTATATAACTATTTCGAGCTGCTGAACTTTAGGGGTCAGGGGCTTCGTCAGGTCTTTATCTTCGTCCCCTATGCAACACACCAGGAAAAAAAAACAAAAAAACGTTGGGGGAAATATTTTTGCTTGCTTTCAGGACTGTAACAACAGTTGATCCGGTGCATATGTTCTGAAACCGGGCATTTAGGAGCCCAGGGGCTTCCCAGGGTAGCCTTATGGGTTTCCCCAAGCTCCCAAACTGCCTCGACCACCCCTCCCCTAAGCAAAATGTATTTCCAGTTAAGCACTATTTTAGTGGGTCTGCTGAGCCACTTATTGGTGCGTAACTGTGAGCCTAACACTTCCCAGCATGCCCATTATTGTTCGCAAGGCCTGCAGGCTTCTGTACCGCTGTTTTCGACGAGTGCTGAGGCAGGGAGGAGTTCTCCAGTTGCCATTCGAGGCAGATGCGGGTTCCTCAATACCTTGAAGTTTCAGAACTCCTGATGCGGCGCGTGGTTACTGATGTTTTGTTTTTCAACGCTTGTGTTTCCAAGGCCAATGCGAGTCATGACATCGTCAACTTCTACCACGACTTTACGCACAAGGTTGCCATCGCGCTGTCATCGGAAGAGAGCCGCTGTAACTACCTGAGTGGCGAGCTCAAAAGCATGCTCCAAGCACACGACGACACCGTGGCCATGCCCGAGGGTTAGCACACCTTTGATTTTTCTCATATTTATTTTCAGACCGATGTGCTGCTGTGTATTCAGCATGCATCGAGTGCAAAATAGTTTATGTACCACTTTTGTCTATAATTTTTAGGTCTTGCAACATTCAATTAAGGTAAATAAATTTCAGGTTTAGAGTAATTTGTTTTCTTTGTCTCTCTAGTTAGAACTAAGAACATTGTTACTAGAAGAAGCTATTAAGCTGTACTGTTAGAATTGGAGAAAAGGTGGTAATGTTAGGGATAATTTTTTTTTTTGTAGTAATTCACAGACTGTCTTAGTCTAGACATGTAGGTTGGTGTTCATTAGTACAATTTTCATTTCTATTGTAGTACTGAACGGATGTTAACTTTTGTGTGCTAGTCTTCTATACACTACATTAATGTGAAATAAAACTTTCTGCACGTAATATGACATGGTAGTATTTCTTGCATAGATCTTTGGGAGGAGTATAATAATAAAATTGTCTTAGCTTCCCTTGGAATCAATTCCACTGGTTTAATATTCTGGGGTGCATTTTCTTGCCGCTTTGTAAGAAAGAAATCACCATTTCTAATTAAAAGCTGTTAGTGTTGCTTCTTTGATGTCAGCATGCATTTTTAAGTAAAGCCCATGTGGTAAATACGATTGTTTTGATGTAAATATGATCTTGCGCATCTTTTGTTTGACTTCTGCGGACTTCAGACAGTGAAGAATCTCCGTACTACCTCATCCTCAAGCGAAGTCAATTGGCCAGAGACCTGCAAAGAGCCTACAATGAGTAAGTTCCCACCTTGCACTTTTCAATTTTGTCCCTCTTTGCATGAAATATACAAACTTGCATATTATTAACCTTTTGAAATTTGAAGGAACATCTGCTAGAGTGTGAAATGTATAGTAATCACCTACTTTAATAGCTTTTTGAAGTATTATGTTGTGTGACAGAATTCTTTTAGAAAGCTTTTTTCAGAGGTTCCAAGGCGTTTATTTTTACTCCTCTGCAAAGATTTTAAACCGCACCACTAGCGAAGCATCACATCCATGTTTCTTCACCGCTTTCAAGACGAGCTTGTTGCGAATGCCTAAAAGTTTGGTACTGGTAGAATGTACCTTGCATTTTTTGTCCATCTGTTATTCTCAGCTTTAACCAGACTGGGCGGACATGAGGACCGTTAAATTATTACTAAATTTAAAAGCTGCTGTATAACGTATTAGTATCAACTGAATCTCATATTGCTACGTCCATGTACGAGATGGAACGCTTATCTGTACTTATAAAATACTTGCGTTTAATCTTGCCCTGAGTGTAGATAAAGAAAACGGCATGATTTTTGAGTGTCAGTTTTTCAAGTGTTTGACGCCCAATAGTTTTAGGTGGAACGTTTGAGATACCAAAAATAAAGAGCCCAGCGTGGTCTTGCCGACTCACTACTCCCGTGGTAGCCAGCTGTTACGCTGACACTTCTACGCTCGCTGCTGTTTTTTCGACTCCCATTCTTTCCTTTGTTCCTGGCGCAAGCTCGCAATCAGTGGCTAGAGTGCTTTTCATGCTTCATCTCTTGTAGTGTGCGCGATGGGAAGTCGGTGACAGATATCCTTTTGCCGCCGCGTTCCAGATTGCACAGCAGCGGTTCCGTGCACCTGCGGATAAACAGGTGGATCAACGTGTCCTTCTGCCTTCCGCACAAGGTCCACAGGTTGAGGCTCACCAGAAATTCTCTAAAGGTGGACTTCTGGTTTCTGTACAAGTTAGACTTCTTTCCGTTTGTGGAAGGTGTTCAACTTAACGTTGTCACATTGATTTTTTTTTTGTTCTTTTTTGTCTTAAACAGGCAGAAGCCATCCAAAAGTGCCTCATGCAGCTCAGGTGGTGTCCCCTGTCTTTCAAATACTGCTGGGTTAAAAAAAAAGTGACCAGAATTTTTTTTTTTCCAGTTTTTTTCTTTTATTAGCTGCGAAAAAACTAGCAAATTCAAGGAATTTATCTGCTTACAAGTGCAGTAAGAACCCTGGCTAAAAATGCAGACAGCTACATTTTTGGTGAACATGTTTTCCTACTTTTAGGGAATTGGTGCCTTTTTAAATAACTACATTGCAAAGGAAATATGGGAAAACATGTTTGCTTTATTGTTTTTACACTGCAAAGAAAAAAAAATGTCAACAAACTGGGAGAGGAGAGGAAGCACCGTAGGAAGAAAAATAGGGAAAACTGGGATGGCCAGGGCATTTTGATTCCCTTTTCCTTTCAAAGAGAAGTCAAGGGAGCTGGGTCATATGTTGAAAAGGGAGCCGTGGCACACGTCACGGCCTTTCAGTAGGGTTTTGATGACGCGCACCGTCCTAAAACTGGACGTCAACTTGGGCTTGCCTGTCTTCCACATCAAGGCCGTACCACACCCTCCTGCTGCTTGTGGATCCACGAGAACTTGCCGACTCGCTGCCCAACGACTCGTCTTCTGCTCTGGTACGGCTCATCTTTACAGCCAGCCCGATGCGGAGCCTTGTCCAGCTGGCCGCAGACACGGACCTTTCCCTCAAGCAGGCATGTCTCTTTCTTGGGGGCTCCACCCCTCCTCTGTTCGGTGCTCTCGCGTTTTAGCGCAGACTCGCATTCTTACGGAAGCCAACTCAGACTTTGTGTCGCGCCACTACTTGACGCCGTGTTGTCACGTGTCCATGTCGCGTCATGTCAGGTCGCGTGACACCACATGTAATGAATTGGATAAAAATTTAAAAAAAACAAAAATATCAAGAAAAGTGAATGTTTCTCGGGCATTGCAATTCTGATTCAAAAGTTTGATCGAAAGATCAAAATGCAGCCACTAGTTTTTTGTTGTTTTTGTTTACGTACTCCAGCCGGCAGTCTTCCACTTGCCGGGTTATTTCCACGTTTTAGATGGGGTGGTCAGAAATGTGGCTACCGAGTATTTTTTTCTGAAGGGATGGGGGTCACCGAGAACACGGGGTAATGAGGAAACCAGTGGGGAAAAATGGGAAAAAACAGGGAAATCAGCACACAAGTTGGGAAAACCAGTGGGACAAAATGAAAGAAAGAGCGAAGCCTGCAGGAAAGCACTGAAATCGGCAGTGAGAACGAGTGAAGTGGACAGAACACAGAGAACTTACATTTATCACCTAGTTTCAGTAAATCTGGAAGAATGTAAGTTGTTGCATAATCTGACCAAACTGTTGCCTGCACCAAAACAAAAAAAGTTAATTGCAATTCTCTTGCTGCATGCACCTTCTAAGATACAAGCAATGGAGGGGTAGGCACTGCTCTCCAAATGCAGCGATGCAATGCAAATGTCGATGAACTCTAAGTATGAACACCACCTGTTTCCCTTATGGCTTTATTTGTTTGGCCCGAGAAAAAGCCTTCATGCCGGCTCGATCGTGACAGTCGTGATGAGGAACTCCTCTTAACACAATAAAAACAGCACATAAAAGGACTGGACAAAGAGAAGGAACGTAAAACAAACAGGTGCTGACTCAGAACTGATGCTTATTAATGAAAGAGAAAAATGAGAAAACATGTGGTGAAATAAAGCAAGGTTTTCGTTCCTTGGCATCTGTTCTCTTCAGGTGTTCCAGTTGGCAGCACATCTGGTGTACTGGGCCAAGGCGACCATCATCTATCCGTTGTGCGAGAGCAACTGCTATGTCCTCGCTCCCAATGCGCCCACCGACACGTAAGGCCCGCTCCCATCTCGTGTCCATCAATAGAGCAATGTCGCTATCCAGAGTGGCACCGGTGATCTTCGATTACACGCTAGGTGGTGCAAGCTGCCCCCCGATTTAAAGGGTTCTTATGTGTCCATCTATCAATGCATTCAGGCAGCTTGAGTGATGATGGTGTTTTGCTGTGATTTTACTATGTGGTTACGTTACGGTGAGGACACAAGCAAGGTGCCCATTTCGCGTTGATATCCTGCTGACGGTCACAACGGCAAGCAACAAGAGCAAATTGCTTGGCTCATTTCAGCATGGCCTTTGGTGTTTTGTTGGGCATTGGGTTGGAGAACACCTCCGCAAGAAGCCAGGTGAACTTGTGCCGCGGTGCCTCGCCACAATATGCTTGCTAGTTCTCCGACCTCTCGTTGGCGGCTGGGTTTTGAGAACAATAGGTACCAGCCTACAGAAAGCCGATGGTTCATGGAAGTTGTCAGTTAAAACTGGTACAGACAGGAAGTTTACGATATCTGTTGGAGGCGACCACGGTCTTCATAAGGCGTACCATGTGTATTAGGGATCCGTGGCATACCTACCTCACAGTTGCCTGAGCACAAAATGCAAACTTGCCATTCGAACAGTTTCTCGTCAGTGGCTGGTTTTTGAGAACAGTAGATACCACTCTACAGGAAACTGACGATTTTCAGAGGTGATTAGTGACAACTGCTACAGAGTTCACGATATTCGCTGGAGACGAGCGCGGTCTTTGTAAGGCATATGCCACGTGTCTGGGATTTGCGGTGTGTGTGACTTAGTGATGGCCGGATGTGGGCGCAGCAACTCTCCGGTCCACGAGCGCTTTGCCGAGATGTTCCCTGGCGTGTCGCTGCCGGCGTTCATGTCCAAGTTCTCTCTGCCGACCACCCTCTCGCAGCTCAACGACCCCATGGACCTCAAGAACGAGAGAGTGAGTAGAGTGGGTCACCCACCATGGGTGACCACCACGGGTCACCCAACTCTCTTAGGGGTCACGTGCGGACCCCCCTTTTGAATGTGTTTACTGTAAACAACTTAATTTTTGTGATTCGAATAGTGTAAGAAAAAGCTGGTCTCATGTACATATTACGCCACGGTAAAGAATGCATAGCACACCGCTGCAAGTCGCAAACTTTAGTTCCCCTCGAAATAATCCCGATACCCACACCTTAAAAATTCCCAAAAAATATTGAGCCCTTGAAAGTAATGTTGCTTACAGTATCGCACAATGTGTTGCAAGCATCAAGGAACTGATGTTGCTGTAAATCTGAGAAATTTTAAGTTGTCAGTCCTGCTGTGTACAAATCACAATGGTTGTCTTCCGCAGCCTGCAGTTGGGCCCACATCTGTGCGCTTTCCATGAGAAAATATGTAGAAAAAATTCACTCACAGCTAGAACTCGGCAAGAGAACACTGAGGCTCTTGAGAGCTCTCATACCTGCGAAGATGTTTGGTCAACCCGCTTTACCGCCCATACCCATCTGCGGTGGGTACGGGCATCTGCTGTTCAAGTGTACGCGGTTCGCTGGGAACGGGCTGTGGTCTGTCCTGTACTCCACGTGTACAGAGCATGTCCGGGCGGTATTGGGATGTAAAAAAACTAGCGTAAATAAACCAATGAATCGGGTGCAGTGAAACTCTTCACAAAGCTGTCTTTAGGGCTTGATTATATTGCGCCCATATTTCATGAGCGTGGGTTTTAGAAAAAGAATGCCAGCCTAAAAGAAAATCCTGTCTTTCCCGATGCACGGAGAAAAAACAAACGATAAAAACTGTCCGGTCGAAGCTGGTACTCATGGGTCGCACGAAACAAAACAAATGCGTGAAAACTTCCTTAAGACGAGCACCTGAAAGCGAATCCAGCCGATCCGAGTGTGTGTCGCAGCATTTGTGAGTAGTGGTGTCGACCGGAAGGTTTCCACCGTTTTCTTGCCTCGGAATGGACAAAGCAAGATCTTTTAGGCTTTTTTTTCTTTTTTTTCCTCTGAAACCCACATTTAGGAAATTTGAATACTATGAGTATTCGAATTCCACGCTCGAATCAGAGGTGAGTGAATTTCACTCACCTCTGTGAAAAGTCGCAACACACTCCGTGCGTCGGTTTATTTACGCAAAAATTTTTTTCATGCCCGAATCGTGCTTGGAAACACGCTGTAGACAAAGTTCCGTAATTTTTAGACTCTCGTTCCTCACACCTCGGTGATCGAAGAAGTTCCAGCGCGGTCCTTTGTGGCCTTTCCACTCTTTTAGAAGCAGCTCCTCCAGATCCTGGTGTGGATGCTTCAGGAGCGAGTGCTGATGCAGTTGCACACGTACGTGTACCTGGTGCCCACGGAGCAGCCGCACGGATTCCTGGGCTCACGGCCGTTTCTGGCCGACCCCCACGCGGCTCAGCGGCCGGCCACGAGCCAGTCGGACTTCAGTGGCTCCGGTGAGCGGAAGCAACCGCATGTGTCGCCTCCTCCCAGCCGAATAGAGTGCAACGCGCCTATTAGCGGACATTGAAGTTTTGTAGACTGTTTTTTTTTAGGGGGAGCTTTGTTATAAGTGGACTAGCATTTACACGTAAGCCTGCTTGAAATTTGTCACCTCTTCCATATGTGTTTTTTTATAAGTGGAACTGTTGTGGGTGGGCCGCACGGGATGCACTGCATGAGGAACCCGTGCACCATTGCCATTGGGCAACGAGTTTACACCCGAGGAGTTTTCTTTTTTTACACTGCCCATACAGAACCAAGTGTGGTGTAAATCTAGATGTACTTCCAAGTCGTCAGAATTAGGTCAATACTATTCTGTTAAGGTACTTTCGGTGTTAAAACGAGAAAGGAAGCTTAAAATGCAGTAAACATATGAGTAAAACTAGCCCAATCTTGTGTGTGTCTCTCGTGTGCTTCATCTTTCTAATTTGTAATTAATGTCCTTGTCTCAAACAGTGTGCAGATGCTGTTTTTGCCAATCTTCCTTTGGTGTTGTGCCGTTATCACAGCACGGCTTCCGTTGAGATAGGAGCCCAGTGTTGCGTGGCAGTTGCTGCTTTAACTTCACAAAAACCACTTGAAAAGTGTGTTGTACAAATTGCAAAGCAATATGCATCTAGGATTAGGTATACAAATGTAAAGGTGCAGTTTTGGACCAGTTGCAATGAACCAATAGAGATTTTTATTAATATTATTTGGAGGCCCAGGTAGCGACTGACGTTCAGGGATTGGGTGCAGTGCCCAGCGAGGACTCGATGGTGGGCAGCCCGAGCCAATCCAGCCAGTCGTCGAAGTGCGCCTCGGACGAGGACCTGTCGCCCGCCGACCCCCTCTCATGGGAGGAGCAGGAGGCGGTCAACAGGATACCCGCCTACCGAAACCTCGAGGATCGGCAGCTGTTTGTCAGGTGGGTCGCAGGGTAGTCCCTGGGCAGTGCTTAAAAAGACTGACGTAAAATTCCGGAGCCTCTAATTGAGTTGCACTTCAGAATGACGACATTCGAGCCATCTCGGTGCCTGAAATCCTTGTTGCGAGTTCTCCGAAGCTTGATCCGAGATCGCGGCAGTTGCTCTTCCGTCCTCCAGAAACGTTTGAAACGGTCCACGACAGAGCAAGCACGATATCGCCAAAGCTTCCCGATGCCGCAATTAAGGGGCAGCACGGCTTCTAGAGCTTTGTTTATATAACTTGGGATTCAATTCAAATGAAATTTACATAGCTTATCTGCTTTTACAATCTGACTAAAATTATGTACTACTGGGTCTTGATGTAGCCTAACTAGCTTTGTAAATATTAAAAGTTTCATTTGCAATGATCATGGGAACGATTAAGACAACTTAAAATACTAATATTAAAAATATCTATATATCTATATCTAGGTAAACTTAAAGGTTTGTAGAATCCAATAAGCTATAAGCGAAAGCTCTAGGATAAATCAGTTGTTAGTCCAGCGGTGTGAATGGTCTTTTCTTTATGTGTATGTTTTTTCTTGTTCAGCTGGCCTTAAGTGAACTATGAACCAACTAGCTCAGCTCAAGCCTGTTACAGATTACCTCTAGGATAAACTAGAAGTTTTTTTAATGGCAGTTTTGAATTTAACAGTTTAAAAATGATTTTATGCGGGAAGTACAGAAAGGCATCTAAAAAAAACCTGATGCTATATTTAACATATTTGTACTCATAATTGGACACCTCACACATACACTTACTGAAGAAAGAAAAAATGACGAAGATTGTTCAAGTCGAGATACAGCTTTCATAGAATGGCAAAGTGGGTAAATATTTCCTCCTGAAATAATAGCAAAAAAATATGTGCAGATGCATTCTATTGTATTTTCAAGTCAATTATTAAAGATAAAAGAGACCTATTTCACAAAAGACATCAGGACAAGATGATAAGTGCCTGTCGACCTTCAAAAACACAATTTAAAAAATGTGTCTCTTTAGCATTTTTTGCCTCCCAGAGCAGTGTTTCCCCTTAAAAAAACCCTTAAAAGAAAAAAAAAAAGATTTCTTTTTTTAACAGTCTGGTTGGGACATGCGTGTCAAAAAATAAATTCTATGCAAAAAAAATTTTTTGAGACCAATATTGACGACGCGAGACACAATTTAGTGGGCAATCGCCTCCTTGCCACTTGTTTTCTCTCGGCATTTCGGGTGCGTCGAGGAGAGGTGGGTCGGCTTCGCCTTCACAACCAAGATGGTCATTCCGGAATGACCCTTGACGTCATGAACTTTGCGCGCAGAATTTCAAATAATTCTCGCCGGCAATATTGCTCTAAAAGATTTTTTTTTTGCGTAAAATTAAATTTTTTTACACGCGTGTTCCAACCAGATTGCTTAAAAACACTTTTTATTTTTTTATTTTCAGGGGCCCTTTAACACCCTGTACATTGGTTGTTTCACCATGGCGACAGTGATCGACAATTAAAAATCTCGACAACCAATGCTTTGTGTGATAGAGGACTCAGTTTAAACCCAAGTTTGGTACTTATCAAGAGTTGAGCAGCATTAACGGGATAACATAAATGAGCAGGCTTTGCCCATTGAAAATTACACCGTTTCTCAAGATATGTGGGTGGTCTGTGGGAACTTGGTGACACCAGGGCCGGTTTTCTCGAAGCGATGGTAAACCCATTTTGGTAAACCACGGTGCCTAGGAAGGAAAAAGTACCTAGGTACTGTAATAAACGGCTGGATATAGAACAACAATAATTATTTTTGATTGGGCAATAAGATGCGCCATCTATCTGTAAAACAAGCCAGTCATTTTGTTTATTCTCTTTTTCCGCTGTTTGTTATCGATCTAGTATGGTATTTTAAATCAAAATATAGTAATGTTGTACTTGAAGACCAATTTATTTGCTTCCGATGGTACGAAGAAATTTTAGCTACTATGCCATAGTTTCTCGACGAATATTCGAAAGTCTAAAAAACATATCCTTAAATATGTTTCGCCATAAACAACGCATAACTTTCCCGTGTTCCTTCCAGTCTGGCAACGTCGGTGCTGTATATAGTCTCGTTTTTGTTACATGCAACGCACGTTTCTGCGATTCCTGCTGATCTCAACTGTTTGCCCTGTCTTCCATTTGCCCAACCGATCCACCGGTGACGAAAAGCTAAGCTTCTCGTCACCGTTGAATCGCTGACCACCGGGGATATGTAGAAACCTCAATGCTGTCGGCATACTCTCGGCGCACTGCGAACAAAAAAGAAAAAAAAAGCAGTACAATGTCCCAGCTGTTCACCAGGAACAAAGATTTTATCGTGGATAACCCCCTTTCTCCGCAAAGTAATCGCTGCTCACGAGTTGGCATACATAGTGTAACAAATTAAACGTGTTAGAATAAATATACACCAACACTCGTTCGCAAAACATTTTTTTACTCACCATAAAAACACTTGCAAGGCTTATGTACCGTCATATGTCTTGGATCCCGGACTGCTGAAGAGTGATGCGTTCGCGGAATGCTGCCGTCGGTTAGTTTAGTAGTCCCTCTTAACTACCGCTTTGCTTGAAGTGCTAATAGGTTGATGGTGCATCATTAATATAACAGCCGGATCGAAATGAATGTTCAGCAGTACCAAGCAGAATTATTACCCCTCGTTGAGCGACGCCACGGCCATTTTGCTTCTAGGTACTGCTCCTCCCTCGGCGCCCCTGCTCTCCAAGTCACGTGACCTAGAATTCCCCTTTCTAGGGACAATAGTTAACTTCAAACCACGGTTCGCGTTCGAGAAAATGGGCCCAGGGGTATTCTGAAGGGACACCACCATTCATTCCTCCTTTGTGACGCAGGTTGTGCCCGATGTTCAGGGGAAAACACCATCTTGAAGAGATTATGTACGAAGAGAATGTGAGGCGCTCTCATTTGCTGGCCCTCCTGGACAAGTTTAGGGAAGTGCTGTTCACGGTGCAGCATGAGGATCCGACTGTGGCCATTTTCTACAGCTGAATGGGGACTGCCATCTGTGGCAGGACAAGATGCAAGAAGTGGTACGCCTGCCTCCCGTTCTTCCTTAGTTGGCTTAGTTTGGGGAAGCTTCTTCCCAGCTGGGGAAATAATGGGGAAGAGGCAACTGGAGAAGCCATTTTCCACTGTGCAGTTCTTTTGTGTGGAATCAATAGGGGAGAGGCAACTTGGGAAGATGTCTTCTTTGTTGCAGACTAATAGGGAAGAAGCAGCTGTATTAAAGAAATAATGGGGAAGAGGCGACTAAGGAAGCGGTTTTCCTTTGTAAAATAATTACGAATAATTAGGGAAATGGTGGGAAAGTGGCATTTGGGGAAGCCGTTCCCCGCTACAAAATAATGATTGTCATAATTTATTGATCCTTGAGGGCCTGTGTGGGCACTACATAAGAGAGAAAGAAATTAGTACATATCGAGATGTATGGAGATGCTGCACGCCGTTGGGCGTGCAATATTGTAATTCTTGCTCACTCCCTCGTGTCACTCAGCCGGTGCTGAAAGTTATGGTGTGCAAAATTTTCTTTCCTATTCTAGACATGTTGAGCCTTTCTGGGGAAGCACTGCCGTTCTACCGTGGACTAACCTACCTAGTCGAAAGGTCGTGCCTGCCTGGGCAAGAGTACGGCTCAGAGCCGAAGAGGATAAAATGGGTGAAGTGGTGCAGAAGGAACAGAGCGGCTCTGGTCGGGGCATACTAGGCGGCCCAACACGTTGCGTCAGCTGCATTGGGTGGCAGTTCTTGGACATAACGACGGGGAGGGCAAATGCTACAAATAGGGAACTAGTATGCTTCGTTTCACCTTAAGTCCAGACGTGTCCGACGCTATGAGCTGATGGGACCAATCAGACAGCGTCAAAAGGGCACCGTCATGGTGTTCGTCATGTTTTTGTACGCGTTCTGTAAAATAATAATTCCACGATATCCCAATCATAAACAAAAAGGCCCAGTGACTTCCGCTTTTGACACTGCTTGAATGATCCCATAAGCTCAAAGCGTCGGGTGCATCTGTACTGAAGCTGAAACGAAGTATAATGCACTCCCATGGGACATCCACAGGACCGGCGTGCGTGAACTTAGCAGCAGTGAGAAGGAGTAAAGCGAAAACATGTTGCCACGTTTCTATGGCAACAGGACGGTATCTTACCCGTTTGGAAACAATAGGGAGAAAGCTGTTTCCCAATGGGAAAAATAACAGGGAAGAGGTTAGTTTGGGAAAGTTGCTTCCCACATAGAAAAACAACTGTTCAGAAGTTTTTTTGTTTTTTTTTTAACTTTGGCAAGCGATGGGAAAGAGGCAGTTTGGGGATCTTCCTTGGGGAAGAAATGGAGAAGTTAATTGAAAGTAAATGCTCAAGCTGTGAGAACCGTTTTGCACTTTCATTTCTGACCACTGCATAGGGTGAAAGCTACTTGTAATTTAGGCTGGATCCTTCCGAAAAGAACTGGGTTTTGTTTTCATCCTCTTAATGGCATTGCAGTCACAGTTATTGGGCATTATGTGTTAAACTGAATTACTTCCAAAGTCAAGAATTTGGGCAGGATGGTGAATACAGTAAAACCTCGTTATAACAAAATGGGATATAACAAACTAATGGATATAACAAAGCAATCATAATTTCCCTTGCTTGCTAATATTGGGAAGAAATGGACATTGGCTATAACAAACTAATGGTTATAACGAAATAATTATGACCGCTCCTTCAACTTTGTTATAACGAGGTTTTACTGTATCACCAGAAGTGGAAGGGGTTGGCTACGGTGGTATGAAAAGGAGGGAAAAAGAGATATGAGAAATAAATGAAAGAGTTTGTCTGTTCATTACATGTAAGCATGCTGTATTGCATTTAAAAATGTTTAGCATTGTTTTTTTATATGCAATATCTGAATGGGTCTAAAAAAATTAACTTTCCAATTTTGAGAGGGAAAACTGTAGTTTTTTCCTTGTCATAATTGGAGAAAAGTGTGAAACTCTCAAACATTTATCACTGCCATGTGTTGACGGAGGATTTTGCCTCAATTGGACATTACAAACATGATGCCATTTTGTCTGGCCAAGTGCGCAGCCTACTGAGACACTTTACTTGGCAGCGTAAAAGGCCAAGCTGCCAGCTATTACCACAATCATTATAGGTTCATTTCTGAAATAGAATGTCAAGCAACCGATGGCTGTGCTATTTGGTAGATATGGATGAAAGAGGGCAGGTGAAAGGTTTAGTTGGAATATTTTTTATTGTGACTTCTTGGTGCAAATAAGCAAGTTTTTTGTCCACACTCAATTTCTTTGTTGTGTGTGTGAGATTGATTCATTTGAGCGTATTCCATGATTTATAAACCAATCGTATGCAAAACAATTATCAGGAGTTGCTGACTTAATCCATTCCCGGCTCTTTTTACAGTCGACTCTCATTAATTCAAACTTTCTTAATTCAAACTTGCGTATAATTCAAACTAACATGCTGGTCCCATCCTATGCGTCTCTATGGGAGGAAATTCCTGATAATTCAAAATTTGCTTTAGTCAAATTTTCGGCCCCCCTCCAGTTTGAATTAACGAGATTCGACTGTATTTCATTTCAGGATTTCAAAGCTGTGCCCAAATCTTCTAGATACAATTTTTCAGAGATGTTGCTCCTCTGATGTCCCTAACAAATGTAGGCCTAGCTTCCACGTAAGGCCTAGCGGCCGTGCCGAACATGGGCTTAGATTCTGCGCTATTTCTCGATAGCTCCTCAGAGCAATGGAATATTGGCCATGATGGAACTTAACCCGAGACTGGGGTAGAAACAGAAACTTAAAAGTAGAAGGGACAGAGACAAATGAAGAAGAGAACGTCTCTTCTTCACTTGTCTCTGTCCCTTCTACTTTTAAGTTTCTGTTTCTACCCCAGTCACAGGTTAAGTTCTATCATGGTAAATATCCACCAGCTCGCCTGTACTTTAACCGTTTTTTTCAGGAATATTGGCCTAGCTTTTTGCTCGCATATTCCATTCGCACGAAAGCGGGTTCCCGTCAATGCTGTAATCTGACTGCTAGTCTGACTGTTGTAGTCTGACTGCTTGGGATTTACTGTTCCCGGCATGTTCTTTTGTTATCTTCCGGTTCAGAATAGTCATTGAGCGAACGGCAGACAGAAGTGATGCCGAAATCAACGTTAAAATCTCCCCGCACTTTTCATGTCACATGTGGAATTTGCAAGTCGAGCAGGCAGTCCAAAATAACATTAGCATGCAGGGGTGGATGCATGTGTTTCCAGAGGAGGGGGGGGAGTGGGAAGGGGGAGGGGGGGGGTCAGCATATGAAATGTTTGAACCCCCCCCCCCCCCCCCCCCCTTTTGCCCTGCACTACAATTTTATGCACATGAAATTCATGGCTGGGGGGGGGGGGGGGGGGGGGGTAGGCGTCAGGACATCCGGACCCCCCTGCCCCCCCCCCCCCCCACATTTTTTAATCTGCCACTGGTAGTATATGTTTCTCATTTATTTTTTCGTTTTACTGGAGCAAACTTCCCCAGCATTCATTTCACTCCAACCGATTTCTTGTAACCCATCGGGAATGGGTTGCACTTTTCGAATTAAAACATCTGTCATCACGCTTTCGGTGTTGCCAGTAAAACTTTTCCTTTTTTAAAAAATTAAAAAGAGAGCAGTGAGGATTAAGTGTGAAAATTCCATAACTTTGTTAAGAACTGGCGACCGCCAGTGTTGCTCAATGGCCTTTTGAAACAAGTCGGTTCGGCGTACTATAGTTCGTTGCAACCTAAGAACGAAGGGCGAGGGTAAGACGGGCCGAAGAGGAGCAAGCAGACGGAATGCTAAAGAGAGGAGGAGGTTCTCCCTCTCTTCTCCTGCGTTCCGTCTGCTTCCTCCTCGCCCTTCGTTCTTAGGTTGCAACGGACTATAGTTCAGCTGTGCCTATTGATATGTTCAAACAATTCTGAGGCAAGTCAACAACCATCAAAATTTCGACGGAGATTCCGGCGAAATTGTAAACAACGGGGCCTTCTTCCGTTGAAATCGGGTAGGGGATAAGGCTTAGCCTTTGCGTCGTGCTTAAGCCAAACACAAATATTTTTCCTATTCGTTTTTGCTGGTCGTGGACAGAACGGCGATGGGAACGACGCGCTCCTGGACGGCAGCGGGCTCGGGCGACTTCTTGGCGGCGCGGACGACGAGCACGCCGTCGGCTTCGGCCACGAACTCGGAGACGACGTCGTCGATGTTCACATCCGGCGGCAGCATGTAGCGCCGCGTGAACTCCCGGCTCACGAAGCCATGCTCGTCCTGACGTTCATCGTGTCGGCCGTGCACGACAACGGCGTCAGTGCCCACCAGCTTGACCGTGATCTCGCTCGGCTTGAAGTGACTGACGTCGAGCCGAACTTCGAACTTGGAGTCGTCGTTAACGACCTCCGAGACACCCGTCGAACGAGAGCATCCGTCGCCAATGGCCGTCGTTTGCTGGGATGGAGGAAGAAGTGATGTGTGGATCAAACGAAGGTGCCAACATTTTTATTTTTTAATAAATGAATTAAGTGACGTCTGCACAGTGCTTTCAGCTTTTTTTTTTTTTTTAACTTTGCATTAGTTTCGTAGCTTTAGCATAATAATGTCCGATCGACCACGTAGGTGTCTGAGAATAGCATCCTGCTCTTAGGCATGCTACACATTAAATATTTTTACGCCTTTAAAGGGGTAGTAAACAACTTTCTGCAGTAGTCTGTTTATGGTCATAACTCAATCTATGGACTCCAAGCATCCTAAGAAACCAAACATTACAACAGGGGTGGAAGCGCTGCGCCAATTGCGCCACCCTGCGCCAATTCACTTCCCTGCGCCAGCCTGCTCCAAAACGCAATTTCAACTTTTTTTTTTGTTTTTTTTTGTTTTCTCTAAATTTGGCGGAAAACGGTTGGCCACGGGCCACCATGTGGTGTGTACTTTTGCTTAGGTGTCACTGCGGGTGACTCGTACCAACTCGACTGGGGCTCCGAACCACGTGTAATCTCAGGGCGAGGCGTCGATTTTAGTTCATCGAGAGTGCGATGTCGTTTTTTACTACAAAGAGCTTGATATACGAACACATCGGTTTGGTTTCGGGCATAGTTGGTTGGCGCGGTTGGAGCGCGCATGCAGTTGCCCGTGGTCCCGATTTGCCGTGATCGTGGGAGTTGGTGCCTCAGCACCGGTGGGCTACCTTGGCCATTAACATGAGCAGAAGTAAGTGGTCTTTACTAGCTTTACATGTTATTTGGTAGCCTACCATATTTGGACGCTTAGCCGTGAAGAATCGCGAGCACAGGCACATCCGTTCTCGAGCTCAATTTATCTTGTCAAAACGAAACCAAAACCATCATTGTGTGCGCGAATGTGCACGCTGCCGTGTGTTGTCTCCCGCCGTCAGACCACTGGCGAGAACAATACCCGCGATCTTAAGCGAGTTGGTTAATTGGCAGTGCTACACAGTTTTTTGTTTCTTTCCTTTAGCGTGGAGGAGTGGGGGTGACGTCAGAAATGCCGTACAACACTCCCGCGCTGCCGATTCCTGTAGTGAGCGCACCTTAACTTGCTATAGCCACTCTACTCGTACAAGTTTCGGGTATAGGTGTATCTGGTTGGGGGGGGGGGGGGGGGGGTTGGGGGGTTGGGGGTTGGGTAGGGTAGAGAGAAGTTGGTGGGCTTTTTGTCACGTAAGAAGGCAGCCTGCCCCGCAGGGATCAGCGCCTGATCAGCTACATCTCATTTTCAGTCTCGTTCAAACTGTCTTCTCTTAAAGCGCTTCTACTGAGTGTACAAGAACTCATAAGCAAGGGTGAGGCAGTTAAGGACATGGACAAGGTGGGGAGTGGACACCTCCTGCTAAGTGATGTGAACTCTTAACTGCCCAAAGTACTCGAGCGCATAAAAGAAATTGACTCTGCTCTTCAAACTGTGAAAAAAAAGGTGAACTTCAGTTGTTTCTAAATTACACAGATTCAGCTTAGTCACAACCCTTTTTTTTTAACATGGAGCCTGTGGGCTCTTCTAGTCAGTGTTTATGCTGCATATGTATTAGTGGCTGTGATATTTTTAAGACAATATATTTTTCCATCTAAAGTAATATAGATATAGCTTTGTATGTTAACTTGGGTGTAGGGATTACTGTATTTTATGAACACGGATTAAGAACATTTGTATTTAATGAAAACAAGTCAGCAAGGACTGCTTTATTCTGAAACATGTTGTGGTACCTTAATGTTTTTTATGGAGACACGCAATGCACAGCATTTTATGGAGTACATAAGGTTGCGTTGCTCTTCTAGTCGATGCTTAAAGCTGCATATGTACGAGTGACTGTGGTATTCTAAAAATATAAAATACACATTTTATTTGGCATCTGAATTTTTGTCAAATGTCAGTAGCCTTGTATTTTGTTACTAAACTTGATATAGGGCTTTTAAAGCACTGATTGAACATGTGTATTATTTATTAAACAAAAACTGTAGTCAGCGAAGGTAGTTTATCTGACACCTTGCAGTGGTTTAGTTTTCTGGATACATGTTTACAATTGGTCTATTAAGTAGACGGTTTTGTACTGGCGTGGCTCAAGTTAGGCTTTTATTGTCGGGGCCTCCCATATAAAGTCTATCATGACTCTGCCTGCTGCCGGAATGGTTCTCAAAGCCTTTCCTTTGCATAAATTGCCAATATTCCATATTTCAATGCAATAGAAATAGAAAGGTGTGTATGTATGTTGCTTGAAAATTATTCTGGGATGTGCATGCATATATGTTTGCTACATTTTCACATTTAGAAACAACAAATCACTTTTAGATACCTGTTTGACCTCCGTGACCTGCTCCAAAACCCACTTCTACGGCTACAAAACTTATTTTTGCTGCTCCCGAGCTGCTCTAAAGCGAGCCTTTTACTGCTCCAAAACTGCTCCAAAGTGGGACTTTTACTGCTCCCAGCCCTGATACAAAAGGCTCTAGCCCGCTTCCACCCCTGTTACAATCATGCTTGGCCGATTTATTTATCGAAATCGGTATCAAAGATTGATGACCTTGGAACTATCGCAGACACCGGACAGCGGCATCGGACGTGGAGAAACCCTTCTTGTCCGACGACGCCCTCTCGTGTCTGCTAGTTCTGAGGCTAGTTCTGAGGTAGCCGATCTTGATAGAGATATCAGCCCCGTATGATTGCAATTTTTTTTTGTTTTTTTTATTAGGATGCTTAGATTTTGATCGAGTTATGACCATAGGCTATCATAGAAAGTAGTTTAGTGCTTTTTTTAAAGGGGTTATGACACGAAAAGTAAACGGATAGATTATTCTTAAAATGAAATGCTCATAGGCTACTTAGTAGATACACCAAGTTACGCGATTTTAGAGCCCTGGTAATTGGAATATTCAATTTACGAATTTTTATCATTTTCGTCTGGCGACCAGGCAACACTGCCCAAGTTAGTCACACCAGAAATCAGAGGTCAGAAATCCTGGCAGGTTTAGAGATAAAGCAAAGGAGTGTGGGTAGGTTGGCATTGGGGGCACATGGGAATACACCAAATAGGGAGTACAGGGGGATATGGGTTGGGCATCTTTTGAGAGTAGAGAAGCGATCAGTAAAGTGAAATTTGAACTAAGACTAGCTGAAATTGAGGATACACGGTGGGCAGCGGAAAAAAAAAAGGGGGGGGGGGGGTGTTCAAGTTCCTAAATATGAAAAGTCTAAATACTAAGTGGACAAACCGAACCCGCAAGCAAACGAGATGGAGCCGATCAGAACATATCAGCAGAAAAGGGAGTAAAGGAAACTGAGAGGAAATTGTGGGAAGAGAGAATGCAGGGGAAATCAGCTTTAACAATGTACAGGGCACAAAAACAAGAAATAAAGAAGGAACAGCTGTATGATAATTCAGTGGAGAGCTCTTTGCTGTTTGAAGCTTAAACGAGGGTGATAAGGACGAAAACATATAGGGCTAAATTCCAGGAAGTAGGCACGGATGACTACGGATTTGGAGGGGGCACTTGGGGGGGGGGGGGGGGGGGGGGGTGTTTCCGGACATGGATGGACGAATGGATAGGAAAAGAATTGCGGTAACTAAGGGGAGATTGGAAGATTGATGGAAAAGATATAGAGAAGTGTAAAAAAATACAGATAAAAGTAAGCAATTTTAAAAAGGGCGGGGGGGGGGGAGGTTTCTGTTATAACAAAATATATACTAATTAAAAAAAAAATAAGATATGACGAAATGTTATGCTAGGTGGCGCAAGCTGCCGCCACCATGGTGTCCATATACCACGTGATCATGAAAGCTCATTCAAAGCGCTCCATGATCTCCCAAGCTCTCCTCGCCGCGGCAGCCGCGTTACACCCGCCGGCAATATGGAGGTGAACACCTTACCTGGTTTCTTGCCTGTTTTACGGCTCCCTAAAGCTATATTAACTCTCAACGTCTCAAATGGTACATGGCCTGGGGTCTAATTTTTGCGTTCTAGCCCTCTTCTGGAACAGAGCTTGTTCCAAAACTTGCAGGAGCGTCAAAAACAAGAAGAGGGCTGTTCACCTTCATTTCGCTCACGGGTGTACGATCAAAACCGCTCACGCGACTCGGGAACCCGAACGCTATTCTCGCTCTCGCCCCGGGGCCGTTGACCTTCCACCCTGCATGCGCCTGCGAGATGTTCCCGGACGACGGTGACCACGGCGAGTTGGAGCTGGTCTCTAGCGGGTCGCAGTTAAACACTCTCAGAAAAAAAGGTGTAATATTACACCCCTTGTCCCATATAGTACACCCCCAAAACTTCAATTCGACGTACAGCGCCCCATAATCGAACAGGCGGCCCCAAAGTTTACGAGGAGCTTGATAGCCGTGTGGTACAACTTATTAAGATAGCTGATGTACGTATTATTGACTACAAAAAAGATTATCTGAGTTTTCTTCGCCGTACTGCAAAAGCTCCGTGTTTTCTTTCTTTGGTTTTTGATACGTACTTTAACAATTTAATAAGTTATATCGCACCGTTATCAAGCCCCTGGTAAAATTTGGTGCCGTCTGTTCGACTATAGGGCGCTGTACGTCGAAATGAATTTTTGGGGTGTATTATATGTAGAGTTCCGCGTTTTCGGTTTTTATTTTTTCAAAATTCGGCGTACTTTTTTCGGTGTTTATTTTAAAATTCGATTTTCGGTTTTTTTCGGTGTATATTCATTCTCAAAACCTTTTACCGGTTTTTTTCGGTGAACATGAAAGAAACACCATCGGACACGGGATCAGATGATCACTCAAAGAATAACGGCAGATATATATGCGTCGTCTTCGCTACAACTTCCGCCAGGACACACCTCAATATCGCGGAATTCGCGGGCATAATCTTCAGCACGCTTCTTTTTCCATCCCATTCTGACGGCGTGACCGTCTGAGGTGATGACCGTACAGAACCAGTGAAATGGCAAAACAAAATCTATTGTATTTATGTTTTTGACCACAGGGAAGTTTGAGAGAGGGTGATAAGAAGGTATCAATGGCTTTTCTCGATGTCTTCTGAAGTGCACGACACCCGAACTTTTTTTAAGAACAGGGACTTGACAAACTAAGCCCGATCACAGAAAGGACACAGATGTCCCGCGAAATCCAATCTAAGACCTCTTCTGTTGCATGTTGAACCTTGGAAGAGGGCAACTACGAAGACGTCGCACAATGTTGAACCTTGCAAAGCCCTCTCTCCCCTCCCCTCTCCCCCACCCACCTCGACGCGGCCCTAAGAAACTAACCCTTTTTGGTTATAACCGAATTTTAGAAAACGGATTAGACGTACTTTTATCGGTTTAAACCTAAAACGCTGAACCCACAAACTGACCTTTTTCGGTTAAAACCGAATTTCCAAAAATGAATTCGGCGTACTTTTATCGGTTTTTATCGGTTTAAACCGAAAACTCCGAACCCTAATTATATGGGACAAAAGGGTGTAAGGTGATACCCTTTTTTTTTTAGAGTGAAATTAACAGCTTCCAACATCTCTTGAATAGCAGTCACTCTCATCGCTGCTGCGATCAATGTCGAACACTTTTGACAAGGCGAGCGATGCCGTAGGCGTAATCGTCACGGACCGCATGCTCGAAACGTGGAAGGTAAACGAGAGAGCTGAAGCTTGAGACGCCAAGGGAACCGAGTCTGGAGTGCGTGCAAGGGGGCGCCGCGGGGGAGGCTGGCTACGTCACCAGCCTCCCAGCCACCGCAGCCTTTTCGAAAAGGGGCGGATCCGAGGGACCCGCATATAAATCGATTCATTCACAAAACTATCGCGCCATTTTCAAAACAAATTTAGCAGAATTATAGGAACATACAATCGGTCCTAGCAGTATAGTTATCTCCTATTTTATTTTTGGCGTGCCATAACACCTTTAAGGGTGTAAATCAGCTTGCCCGAAGCCTAACACTCTAAGTGTTACAGTAGCGCTTTTAGGATGCTGGTGAACACTAAAATTAGTATGCTGGCAATCTTCATATACTCCTAAGGATAGCTTTTTACATGTAACAAGTTTACAAGCAACAAGCACCACATACATGCACAGAGAGACTAGTACAGGCGTATCTCCAAGTAAAAACTATCGGGACAGGCACTAACTAATCGGCGCTAAAACAACCAACGCTAAAGCTGTTTGAAGCAGGTGTCAGTATGCAAACACCATTTACAAAGGTGTTCGCCTCACTCCACTGTAGCTCCTCCCGATTACCCCCCCCCCCCTTTTCACCCACCGCAGCTGCACCACAGGTGCGTAAAATGTGAAATTAAACGTTTCTTCAATCAATCGATCCCCTCGAAAATGAATGGTCTTTTATAGAATAGCACCTTGTTTTACGATTAAAACGGCTGTATTTCTTGCAACAAGGGTGCTGAAATGGCGTGGCCACGTGGTAAGTATCTGAAACATAATTTTTACACCGTTAAGGGTGTAAAAAAGTTTCTTTACTCCGTTTCACGAGAACTTGGCGGACTGCGGAGGCTGCGGCCCCCGCGACCCAATAAGAGCGTCGGAGCAAGGCACGTGACCACTACATGGTTAACACTAAACTCAAATGCTCCTGTGACGTAGTGTGATGTGCCTCACTTCGATGCTCTTACTGGGTCGCGGCGGCCCCACAGTTAGCCAAGTTATCATGGCCAACTTTCTGGGACATTCCGTGGAATAAAAAGCTTTCAATGAAATATCAATATTCTAATTGATTTGCGCTTTATGATACCCGGGCAATTAGAATCCCCAGGATACATTACGATTTTTCGTGAAGAAAAGCAGAAATCGATAATTGTGTGAATGTAACCCATAAGATTCAATGCAAAAAAAGAAAAAAAAAAGGTAGAGCCATGGATTAAGAACTAGCAACAGGCTGTGGTTGAGCTTTTTACTAGTTAATAATATTATAATATTATTATTATATTATAATAAGAACTATACGCGTCCAAAAGTTGAATTACTGCTTATTTATATTTAATGACTGTCATCTAAAATATTCCCGCGGAACATTGCTAAGTTTGTTGTTCAGTTCAAGGTAAAGTTGTTTCTGACGTGATGTCTTCTATTATATTCTTTAGTAATAATCTATTCCTGACCTCTACCTCGGCAATAGGTGATTAATAATAGAAAACACGCAGAAGTTTCAGTGCCCTTTACGAAAATCGAACGTCACACACCTGGGTCCGGCGTGGGGAAACTGCTCCGAGCCGTCTCCTGAAAAAGGGTTCTCGATCGAAGAGGTCTTCGTCCCGAAGGTCCACACCGAACTTCTGGTCGAAGATTCTGGGAGGGTACTCCCACGCGTCCCACCAGTCGACCTTGTCCCGATGCCGGCCGAACAAACTTGGCGCCAAACTTCGCCGGAAAGGCATCTTGATCGAGGCCGAAAAAATTCGGTATTGACCGAACCTTTGCAAGGGACTGCGTACGCTGCTTGCTCGCGGCGCCTTGGCCGAAGTAACCCTACCTCGTATTTTCGGTATCCGCTCCTGAAAACGTTGTTTCGGAGCTGGCTGGGGTTCAGAAACGATCGGTTGTTTTGTTTTGTTTGTTTATTGCCTTTTTGCCCGCGAGTGTGCGCAGTTTTGTACCGTTTGGCGTTGGCAGGCCCGTTGGAGAGAGGAGGACAGGTTGAAAAACTGAGGGAACATGGAGTCCTGAAATAGAGGAGATGGCGAGTCCCTCTGAACCGGAAGTGACGTTGGGGCTTGCAGTCCCGCGAGGGAAAGGACCAATCAGGAACCAGACGCCGCCGTTGTGACTGCCATAGGCTACTTGTTTTTTGTGATTGTTTTTTTTTTTTTTTCTGGGAAAATCGGAAAGCCCATGTTCTAAGCTTATATTGCAGAGTTAGTGAAACCTTCTTTTCTTTTAAGAAAAAAAAAAAAAAATTAAAGACTGGGTCTGTGTCTTGAATGGGCCGAATCGACGTCAGACCTAGGTCACGTGGTTCTAGCTCGGAAGCAATTTTCGTATAGTGTTTTTAAATGCTGGCACCGGCACAGCTAAGATGGAGAGGTTTCTGGAAGAAAGTGGAGGTGGAGCACGCGAGCACTCCTTGCGGCGGACGGGCAGTGACGTCATATGATGTCACCTCCTTTCATTTTCTTCCCCCCTGGTTTTGAGAGAGAGGAGTTCTGCGCCGTTTTAAAAATAGCGGGAGACGCACCTTTCTTAGGTTTCCGAATTCCGTACGCCGCGGCGTGTGTCAAAACCCCGGAGTCTGACTCAACCGTTGAGTCAGAGGGGCTCGCCTTCTGATTTCTGGTTCACTGCACGTCCGTTTGTGAGGCTCTTAATATCTCTGTTTACATCACGTGGTCCGTCTTTGAAAATAATTAACAGGAGATGAACGCAGACGAATAAAGATGATTTTATTGTTCAAGTTCGTCGTTGCCTTACAGGTGCTATAGTCATCGTAGATGGGAATACCTGGACGGTCTTGAACATGTTGCCGTGTCGAGTCGAATTGAGTGCGAGGGTTGCCATGGCAACAGCTGCATCGGCTCCAACAAAATCATTTTTTACCCCGCTTTGTTGGAGCCGACGCAACTGTTGCCATAGTAACCCTCGCACTCGGTCAAACTCAACGCAACTGTGTGAATCGGCCTTGATATTCATCGATGTAAGAATTTTAAAGGAGGTTATAAAATTGCGTTATTATTGCGAATCTCACATGAAAAAAAGAGAGAGAGAGAACCCTCACAAGATTTCCAAGTTCCACACGATTACTGTTTGTTACACTATAAAAATTAAAAGATGGCAGACAACAAAAGTTAATCTCCAGTGTGGCGTTCTCGAAACTGAACGCAGGCCGAGTTTTATCAAACGACTCTCATTTATATATATATATACACAATAAAGCGTTCGCGTTGTTGACACAAGCGTATGAATATCAGAGTTTACGAGCGTTTGTGCGACAGGCGGGTACGAGGTCTTAGAGCCTCTCAAACTTGATCCATGGCCCCAAGCCCGGCGAAGACACCATGCCGTGGAATTCCATCTTCATGGTTCCCTGCAAGTCGATAGAGCTCGTCAAATCTTTGATCTGTGTATCGTCCCCCCCCCCCCCCCCTTCCAAAAAAAAAAAAAAAAGAAGAAACCTTTATTACGTTCATCACGATTAACCCCAAAACGTGACTGACCCTCGAAATTACTTCCTAATGATTTCAAGCCTAGATTCGGCACACTAGAGATTTTCACACGCTTTTGTTGGTAAAAATGCATCTGCACACAGAAATGTTCGTTCTGAAGAGGAGCGTCGAAATAATCCAATAACTGAAAGTAAGTACCATATTTCCGGTTCTAAAAGTCGTTTTTTCTCCTGTCACGTGACATGTGACAGTAAGTTTTGCTATGCGGAGAGCAAGTCGTCTGCTGCTTGCGCAGTGGCTGCGGTGACGTCAGACGCCGAGATCTGATTGGCTATGATTGAAAGAATAGTGGGTAGACCTCAATGCTGGATGCCCTGAGGCCTACCCACTATTCTTTTCAATCAACCAATGAGAGCTCGGCGTTCTGACGTCATCGCAACCCCTGTGCAAGAAGCAGACGAACTTGCTCTCCGCGTTAAGACGAACCTTAGTAAGTCTCCCATTTGATATGTCCACTTATATATCAATGACAGCTTAAGAAACTCAGGGCGTGGTCGGGGGTTCCCGAGGGCATCTCAATATTGCTCGACAGCCAAGGAGATTGCCGCATTAGCCGATAAGGACGCCAAAGGACCAATCGCGAAGCCGGATCGACATCACAAGCCACGCCCTGCATGGTCGCGATTTTCTCTTTGCTACATACTTCAGGTCCCTGCAAACGCAGTGCACATCGTAGCAAACTTCTAAGGGACAGGTACACCAGAATGATCTGATGGGCTTGTTGGTTATACATAATACACACTGCAGCGCAAAGGACAAGGACAAGTAAAAGACGTAGACAGGACAAGCGCTGACCCTGTCTACCTTTTTTACTTGCCCTTGTCCTTTGCGCTGCGGTGTGTATTATGTACAGGTACACGAATATTTTTTTTTCATAGAGGAGAATGTGTGCGCCGTGTTGGCTGTCGGTGAGCTCAATCTGTATATGGAACGCGGTTTTGTGCCATATTCTTTGAATAGGCATTTGAAATATTTGAAGTTCGTATTTGAAAAGGCAATGTGTAAGCATATTTATTTTCATTTTATATCGTCTCTTTGTCTCAACGAACATGGTTTTTGTCAAGGGCGTTCAGTGGAAACAAACCTCGCATCATTTTTGGAACACACTCTACCTAAGGTCACGTCCCGTGGGCAAGTTGATGTTATTTATTTCGATTGCTCTAAAGCTTTTAATCTCGTAGATCATAAGTTGTTACTCGCCAAATGTTCAGCATTGGGCATGACTAGCTCGTTTTGCAGTTGTTTGTTTAGTTATCTTGGCGGAAGACCTAACAGAGTTCTGTATGAAGGGTGTTTTTCTGCCTCATACGTTTTAAATACTGGAGTGCCTCAAGGGTCCAATCTGGGGCCGTTGTTTTTAAACATTTTTGTGAATGATTTGGTAGACAGTGTGCAGCATTCAAAGGTGCTGCAGTTTGCAGACGATGTTAAGATTTATCGCGAAATTCATTCAACCACTGACTGTCTAAAGATGCAAGACGATGTTCAGGCAGTTCTAAACTGGTGCTTAAAAAATAATTTATTACTTAACCCCAGTAAGACCAAGGTTGTTTCCTTTACCCGTGAGACAAGCTGCATTGAGTATCCGTATACCATGTTAGGTTCAGCTGTCGCGAGGTCCGATACTATTCGTGACGTGGGAGTGCTGTTTGATTCCCGCCTTTCGTTTACTGAGCATGTTTCCAAAGTTTTGAATGATTCTTATCAGGTGTTAGGCGTTATTTCCCGAATGACGCAGAATTTTAGCATGATTCATTTATTTTGCGCCCTTGTTTTGTCCAAATTTGAGTTCTGATATGGAACACCACTGGATCGACTCAATCATGTATTTTAGAAAAAGTGCAGCGTCGTCCAGTGCGTATTGTTTACGATCGATGGATTGGGAGGCGCATTTATTTTGAATATGAATACTTACTTACTTGACCTGGTACCCTTGCATCAAAGAAGATGAGCGCGAGACATGACTTTTTTGTATAAGATAGTGAACGCTACAATTGATGCGCTTTTACTTTTAAGTGCGATTTCTTTCAGTGTTCCCCCAAAAGCGGACCAGATTTTCATTTCTTTTCTACCCGCAGAAAGTTTGTGTCCAGTCCCCGATGACACGCCTTCAACTCCTTTATAATCGCGATAGGAGGGATTTAGAATTGTTTTCACCCCTTTTAAAGTTTAGAAGAGCATTGTTGGCCGCTTGACAAACATCTGTGCTCTGTTGTTCTCCATTGTTCTCCGTAGTTTAATTAATGTTTTCTAAATCACGTCTTGCTTGTTTGTTTGTCTGTATGTGTTCGTTCATTGTTTGTAATATGTGCGCACTAATAAGACCTCGAGCTGTTTGTGGGCACATTAAGCAGGATAAATAAATAAATAAGTAAGTATGACCCATATGGGTGCCACCCATTCCAACCTCAAAGTATTGTGAGGGTTTTTTGTCCAGGGCTCGGATCCAACTTGTTCTGGAAACTATCACCTTGAAGCGATTAACAAACGGACAATGATATGCGGAGGGCACGTTTGTCTGCTTCTTGCGCAGGGGTTGTGGTGACGTCAGAACGACGCCGAGCTCTGATTGGCTCCGATAGGAAGAATAGTGGGTAGACCTCGAGGCAGCTAGCATTGAGGTCTACCCACTATCCGTCCATCAGAGCCAATCAAAGCGCGGCGTTCTCACGTCACTGCGACCCCTTCTCAAGAAGCAGACGAACTTGGGCTCCGCATGCTAACGAACCCTACATTATAGGTTTTGTTTTGGGCTAGTTGGACGATCGCTCCAGTCCAGCTCTATTTCGCACTTTCGAGATCTTTCAGTTATCCCCGCAGCTGCAACCTGTCGAAAACCGGTCGTACTAATATAGGCTGCGAACAAGAACAGAAAGAAAAGCCGAGCTTTCCAAGGTCGAGAAGGTGATTGCGTCCACTTTTCCTCGTGTGCGGGTTCACAGGACGAGATGCCCGCTTTGTCCGACTGAATTATGACGAGTTTTCCCGTGACGAGCCGTCCCGTTCACGCGAATGACTACCCCCCTACCAGCTATTGTCCCCTAAGTTCTTCTTATATTTTCCTTGCTTTATGACGAGAAACAACGATTTCGACATAAGTACGTTGTCACCAACGAAGTCAGCAATGCCGCAGTGCTGGGTTTTCTTACGCCACGCCATTGGCATAAAATCCGGGGGGGGGGGGGGGGCAAGGGGGGCGCTTGCCCCCCCCCCCCCCCCTCAGTTCTCAGAGGGGGGGCAAGGCATGTGTTTTGCCCCCCCCCCCCCCCCCCCCCCGAAACAGCCGCCACTGGGCAGGGCAAACAGTGGCCGGCGCCGCCCAAGGGGTTTGCCCCCCTCCCCCCCCCCCCCCCCCCGCCACTCAGAAACAAGTTGGTACGCTACTGCGCCACGCACAAGCGGTCAGGACGGGGCACAGGTTGGGCAAGAGTGCTGCGAAGCGTTCGGCTAAGGCTGGCGTTCATTCAATGAGGACACGAATTTCAGCCGAACGACAACGCAGAACACCTGTCTAAGCGGTGTCCTGCGCTGGCCTCCGGTTTATGACGCAGAAAATTCAGCACTACGGCCTTGTTTTATCAGTGAGGTGTTTGCTGGCCGCTTGTAGCTGACATAGGACACCAATCACTACAACCTTGCAGTCTAAAAAAAATCGTATGCCAAAGTGCTGGGCAATTTTGTTGCATACATGAAACGTTCTAGCATCCCATGACATGAGGTCACGTGACGTCAATTTCCCCGCTAAATTTAGCGGGGAAACTCAATTGGCGCGTAGGTCACGTGACGTTAATTTTCACGCTAAATTTAGCGGGAAAATTGACGTCACGTGACCTCATGTCACTTGACCCAAACACCAAATCAACTTTCCCGCTAAATTTAGCGGACAAACTGAATTGGTGTACAGGTCCGTGGCGTCCCATAACGCAACACTGCGCGCGTTGCATTATGGGACGTCACAGGCCACGGCTTTACGAATTCCGGAGGAACTAGCCAAAGAACTTTTCACGTTAAACGTGTGTGAGCTTACTTTCCTGCAGAACACGCGTCATGACCGATCGTTGCGAATAATGGAAGGGTCTCAGCGAATGAACCATGCTCGCAATACGCTTAGACATGAAGAATGCCACGTGCGCAGGTACAGTGGGCAAGTGAAACGTCGCGCTTACTTTTGTTTTGTCTAATCGCATTGTAAGCTTCGTCATTCGCTGTGGTCCTTCTCTTATTCACCGTGATTGGCTGTCTTCGTGTTCTGCAGGAAAGCAAACTCACACTTTTTTTTAGAGCGCATTTCCAGAAGCTGTGGCGGATGAGCGACATTCGACAGGTCTGCCGTCTAGCGTCCATGGCATGAACACGTGAAATACACGGCAAGCATTTTTCGCCAGGTCCCCATCGCTATCGCCATGTATATGACGCACCTTCTGAGACTCTCCGAGCGTGAGTTTGAACTTCTGGACCATACGGGCCCCCGTGTAGATGATCTCGAGGAGCGCCAGGCGCTTCCCGATGCAGTTCCTCGGGCCGTCTCCGAAGGGCTGGTACGCCATGGCGGGTCGCTCGGCCACGTTCTCGGGCAAGAACCTATAGGGGAAAGCCATTAACGAGCCTTTGGTAAAAGCAACGCGTCACAAGGATCATAGAAAGCTCACAACGGGCTATCATCAATGCGAGAAATGGCCGATCCTGTGCGCTCTAAGAAATCTGATCCGCTTACTTTTCCTCAAAGCATGTGGGAGAGCGAATCGCTGTAATCTACGCAAGGAGCTGGGCGAATGGCGAGGAGCCGGTCGGCAGGGTGGTTGGTTCCTTTCAAGGTTGTCCGGTGACCGCGCCATAACTGTGAAGAGCGAACTTGGCTTGTCGAAGATGTGCTCAACAGCTGAAGTGAATTCCTTTTTGGTCGTCGTTTCTTTTTTTTTTGTTTCATTTATTACTTTTTGTCGCTGCAGTCTCAAAATATACAGGGTGTATTTCTTGAAGATTTACAGATTTGTTTTAAAAGAGCCGTGAAAGTTAAACGTATACGGTTGGTGCAGATGAGTTATACGGCCAGGGGGACATAGTGTAGAGAGCTAATCGTAATTATCAGTCGGCTAATTAATTAAAATTTGTTAATTAACTTTTTAATTAATGAAAATAGATATATGGTTCCAATTAGAAACTTGCTGAGTGTCATCAAAAACCACAAAATCAGTCATTTTCAGAAAGACTTTGAGCGCGTGAGAAGCGTAGTAGTGCAGTAAAGTTGCCACTCGGGGAGCAAGTACAAGGCTAGCGGTTGCGGAACGCAGATGATTAGATTATCATCGTGTTCCGCCACTGCCATAGCTTTGCGCCAGCTGCACGAGGGGTAACTTTGGCGCGCCCCCGAGTTTCCCACGAGCTTCAAGTCGTTAAAAAAAATTGATTTAGTGGTTTTCGATAACGCTCAGTAAGTTTCTAATTAGAACCATATGTCTATCTTCACCAATCAAAAATAATTAAACCATTTTAATTAATTAGCCGACTTATCGGAAAGAATAGCCACCCACATAATGTCCCCCTGGCCGAATAACTCGCTTCCACAAGCCACATAAGTGTAACTTTAACGCCTTTTGGTAACAAATCTGTAAAGCTTAAAAAAAACAAAAAAACTGTATATTGTTTTTGCAGTTTGAAACATGCATCGGAGAAGAATTTTCTTCTTCAATTAGCTATCTTCATGTTAATATTCGATCTGCGAACAATAAATTCGTTGGTCAATTAAAACGCCCCCCCCCCCCCTAGGTTTGTGATTTTGACGTTATAATTACGGCCGGGAAATTGATCGATTAACCTAACGATTAATCGATTAATGCTCTAATCGCGACTAATATTTTTAACCGTTTAGTCGGTAACATTTTGACGAAGCAAACGAAAGTAAAAATTACACGTTTTCACCACGCAGACGTGGACGACTATACAACTGCGTGAAGGGCAACCTCTCTAGGTAAAATTTTAGCCTAAAGTGAACTGTAGGGGGCAAGATTTGTAACTCCTGACAAGGGCGTGCAGAAGGGTACATGTGTCCCCTCCACTTCAACGCAGTTCGAGTGTTCGTTTAGCGAAGCAGAGACTATTCTGAACGGTAAAAAAAGCTCGCTCTTGCCGGAGAATATCAAAGAACCTCTTCGCTCGGGCAGCTGAAGTAATAATCTGTCAGAGTGAGTATCTTACCGAGGTTGATTCATAATCAAAATTTTATATGGCGCCATTCATTACATATTCATCAAAGTCAAAGGGAAAACATTATTTTGGAGTTGATGAAAAAATTATTAAGCATGTAAATGAACGAGACCGATAAATCGTTTACTTTATCGATTAAAGTGTGGCGATTAATCGGGTCAAAACTATTAATCGATGCCCAGCCTTAGTTAATATGTTTTTCAAAACCTGGTATACAGATATACCCAGTGTCCCAAATAGCGACCAGGTTCTTTAAACCGACCGCACAAATCGGTTTATTAACCTATCGCGTTCCGATTTTGTACAGCGTTGGCCATAGGTGGTGCATTTTTTCTATAAAATTCGCAAAGAGCGAACTTACCTGAGAAAAAAGTTAGAAAAAAAAAAAGCCTTAACTCCTGTGGAAACGCAGCGAAGCCACCGGTCTTCAAACTACAGGGCGCCCTATGGTTTGAAGACCGGTGACTTTATGCTTACTCACTTTTGGGTAAGCATAAAATGCTCAAAAAAGCTCAATTTGGATTGAAGAATCGTTCTACAAAACTCGCATTGCATGTATTAAATAATATATATTTTACGGAGTTTTGACGAAGCAAAAAAGTGGCGCAGGGCGTATTCATTGATTTCAATAAGGCATTTGATTATTTAAACCATAACTTATTAATAAAAATAAAATTGAGTTTCCCGGTATTTGGGGTATAATACTTCTGCTGCTTCAGTCATATCTGGATAATCTAAATTATATACTATGCTTATTTAAATGGATATTCGTCTACAACAAAGCCCATTGTCTCTGGTTTGCCACAGGGGAGAATTTTTGGGCCTTTGATTTTAACATTTATATTAACGGCGTTGTTAACATAGATTTAGGAGCTACATTCTTAATATATGCGTATGGCACGAGCCTTCTATTTTCAGCTAAAACTGATGGTCAAATTAGTCGTGCAAAATAGATATTAGGAGCGCTGGAAAATTGGCCTTGGGACCACGGGTTTAAAAAGCAATACTAGTAAAACAAATTCAATCCTCTTTCGGCCCAAGAATAGAAAGAAAAAAAGTGTTTACTACAAAGAGCCTCGTGTTAAATTAATATATTATAAAGATAATAGAGCATTTTAAAACTCTTGCCGTCATATTTAAACAGTACATGTTTTGAGACAGTCACGTGAACTATTTACTTTCTCGATTGTCCAAGTTCATTGGACTCGTCTTTTGAAACAGTACATTTACCTACGAACGTAAAGTTACTTGCATATCAGACCCTATTAATTTTGCACGTAAATTACTGCCACCTAGTATGGGGTACAATCACTTGTTCAAAGATAAGGAAGATATATTTATTGCAAAATAAATTTGTTCGCCTTTTTGAGAATGCGTCATACAGTTCTAGTGGCCATAGCTTATTTACAAAATATAATTTCTTGCGTGTTTTCAATATACACAAGTATACACTTATAGGTCTCTTTTGAGTTAGAAATTAAATGAGTATACCTTAGCAAACCTTTCTGAGCTAGAAATATCAGGTAGTAACCTATCCAACTCGTTCGGCGGAACATTGGACTGAACCGTCTTGCCATAATAATTATTTAGTGGAATCATTAAAGTACACACTCCTTACTTCACTTAATACTTAACTGTAATATCGATATAATGTCTATTAGAGAGGAAGATTTTCTGGAATTGAAGTGAGTTAATTTGTTTTCTGTTTGTATAAAGTTGTATTCTATATTATTAATGTTTATATATAATTTGGGTGGAAAATGAGTGTGTATTTGGCTACATTTGGGTAGAAAATAAGCGTTTCACGGTGTAAAGTTTTTTTTTTGTTTTGCGGCAAAAACTATGGGGTACACAAAGTATTTGTTATTTAGCTGAATTACATCAATAATGAGAGATAAAAGTGGTTCCATTCGTGATTTTGCTTAAGTGCCTCGAGAAAGGTGCTAGAAACCTCAATATTAGAGGCTTTACTTTAAACTAGTTGGTACATAGTAGTGATGGGCCGGCTTGACGGAAGGGACAAGACAAAAACAGCTGTTTTGTCTTGTCCAGTACTTTCTATATCTGTTTCAGTAAGTTCAAGCCGACCCATCAGAAACTTCAAGAGGCGATTTCTTTTTCACGCTTTTTTGTTTCATTTGGTACCCATATTTGACTGGTCTAAGTGATGTTTTATTGGTCATCAAACAGTTTGTGTATATAAGATAATTGTCAACTTTCGAAACGTAGGGAGTGGTGTCTCCCGGTCATTTTACCACCGCTCCTCTGCCGAATGAGAGCGCTGCATTGGCCGATAAAACCCCCAAAGTTGTCAATGACAATAGTAGACGAAGCCGAATTGTGTTCACCTGTCAGGGTCGAACTTCTCCGGCTCTGGCCAGTACCGGGAATCCATGTGCACCTGGATGGTAGGAGCGATGACACTGGTCCCTGCCTTGTACTTGATGCCGTTGTACTCAAAGTCGTTTACAGACGCTCTGGTCGTGAACCTTGGTGGAATGAAATCGCGTCAAAGGGTTAGCTAGCACTTACTCGTGTGGACAGGACGACGAAGGGTTGCGACGTGAAACGTGAGCCGTGCGCGTGCGTATTTATTTGGCGTATACTGCGAGCCCCAATCAGGAAGAGACAGGATTGGGACCCGCGTATCATAAAAATACAATTATTCGGAGTGTGTTCACGCCAATAGCCATATCTACAACGAAGCTACAGCGGATAATCCGTGCAGTTTCTGAATTATCGGACAGCCAACTGTGTAACAGCCTGTACTGAAAGTTTAAAATTAAAATCTTGCGTTAGTCGTCATTGTGCAGTTGTAGTTTTCAATATTAGTGACTACAGAAAAGCACTTCCTGATAGCCAAAGAATAGCTGAACGCAATTTACTGCAAAGCATCCCAGTGCTAGTGAACGACCACATATGGCTTTCCACGAGTTGTTATTTTGTGCGACGAGATTAACAAGGAACGCTTTTGTTTAATGGTTTTCCCTTTGCAAATGAGATAGATTCTTCCATTTCGCTTTAAAGAGAGTCGGTTCAATTGTCTAAACATCTGTTTTGTCGAAGCTATTGTAATGTATAGGTTAACTTCTATGCTTCAAAGATTAATTGAAACTTTTTTTTTATATAGGGTTGAATGTTGTTGAAACTTACGTGACCACAGGGGGGAAAAGTCGCAGCGTCTCATCGACGACGTTGGCTGTGTACTTCAGTCCTTGAGTCACAGCCGTGTAGTCCAAGGTACCCTACGAGGAACGTATATATTTTTGTTTAGACGTACCTTAAAAGCAAAATTGATGAAAAGCGGCTTTTCTTCTTTTTCTTTTGAGGATGCAGTTCTTTTTGGAGCAGGTATATATACCTGTCAAGTGAAGGTATCAAATATTGACCGACACGCCGCTTTCAAAGATGTCCGCGTCTACCAACACCAGGTATGGGCACCGCGCATGCGCAAAACCAGGATTCGCGCAAATTGACGCTTTTGCGCATGCGCCGTGGCGACGATAGCGCCACCGCAACGAAGTGATGTCCAATGAGCGTGTTCGTGGGATCCTGCTATTCTTAACCTACGTGAGGCTATGTAGAGTTGAAACAGCGCGAGTTCCCTCAAGTATCAGAAGGACCGATTTGAAGATACATGCGCTTAGTATTAAGGTAAAAAAAAACAAAAATAAGTAAAGAAATAAATGATGCCGAAGTCCCTGGTTTCGCTGCGGTGATTCTCGATTGAATGCGTTAGCATTTATCGCAGAGCTTCCCATCCAGCGAAAGATGGGAACCTCGCGACGGTCCGCACACTGTTGTGTTCGGAGAGCCGGTCTGTTCTTCAGGGCGTCGACGGTTTCGGATGCAGCCACCGCTAAAGTTCCTACAGACAAGAGCATCCTACAAGTAGCGACATTCTTTGAAGTGCCGACTGCATGACGGCGCAAGTTTTAGGAAGCGAATGGCGGCGCACAGCGGACGTCCGAACTGAATGCCGCCATTTTGTTCCAGCGGAATGTTCTCTGTCATTTGTGTCGGTTGTCGTTACTTGTAAAAAAAAAATAGCAAGGGACTTGAGGCACCACAGCTTTCTCCCTCTCCCGCTCCCGCGGTGTGTCATCGGAAGCGTGCCAGGAGACTCTTTCCCTCTTTCGTAAAAGGGAAAATAGACTTAACGAGTGAAAGAACTGAGCGCACCGCGCCTCGGCCTCGGGAACCTGTCCAGTCAAGTCCAGTCCAGTCCAAACCAAACCACGACCGTCCGAACGAAAGACGCCTACATGTACCAGGGCAATAAATCATAACGTATTTAATAATAACTTGATTACTGATGTCTCAGCGAATTTGAATAATATTCCCCGTTAATAAACTCAGGGATCCCGTCGCCAGAATGAGGGAAGGCCCGGAAGGAGAGTCGAAATATATCCGATAAAAGTGCCATCTGCCAGATATATATATGGGTGGTTTCATCTCAAATCGTGCAGGCAAAAAGGGTCGAATTTTTAATTTCGACGAAAAAAATATATGTTATGGCGCCGTTTCTAAAACCGCAGTCGACACAAACCGCAAGTTCGTCGGATTTTTTGTTCTCGACTTATGAATTTTTAAAGAGGCCGCGGCGAAAAGCATCGTTTTTCACACCCGTCGTGGGTCGGATGTTTCGCTTGATCTCCCGCCATGGATTTTTAGTCCACATTATATTATCTTTTTTGAAGCACTCTGGGGACACATTTAAAAGGCTCCAATACCATGAAATAATTTTAGGCCTTTTGCTTTTTTTCTGTAAAAATGTCAAAAACGCCTCCTCGGTCAATTGTTGACGAACTTTGACAATTAATTACTGGCGATCTACTTGGGTTACACCAATATTTTTTATGTCCGTGGAGAGCCCAAAACACGCTCTTTATATTTATTATAAAATGCCTTGGCTGTATAAAATATCCTTTGCGGTACGTTTACGTTAATATTATGCAAAAACCAAAAAGTACCATTTTTGAAATTGAATTTTCTCAAAAAACCCATTTTTTATTTTTTTTATTTTTTGTTAAAATGTAGATATGATAGTTGTCTACACGAAAATCAAGCCTAGAAAGTGTATATTTTGTTTGTATGTTCTACATTTAAGCATCAATATCGTACAAAAACGTGTTTTTACGGCTCGAAATATACTTGCGAATTGCGCGTCTTCACAAGCTTGGAAATAGTTTTTTCTTTTTTTCAACGTTCCCACATAAAAATGAAATACAGTATTTCCACCCTGATATATTTATTGATTATTTAAATTTTATTATAGGCGGCAAGCTACATTGGAGGAGTTCCAAAAAGAGAAAGCAACACTTCTTAACAGACCAGCAGGTGTCGTAAATTTTTAACGTGTAGGAGTCGGCAGCCGTCTTATTGATTCGGGGCCCTCATTGGCCTGCAGGAACGTCCCGCCCTTTCGGAGCCAGCAGATGACCACGACCTTTCATGCTCGTTGTGTTAGATAGGACGGCCCGAGACAGTAAAGCGAGCAGCGCACCCTGTGTCACGAGGAGTGAAATGGTACGATTGTGTCGTTGACGCGGCGAGCAGTGACAGCCACCCAGGAGGAGTCTGTCAGAGCATTGCACAAGGGAAAGTAAAGGAATCGTTGCCTGAAAGAATGAGGACACCACGGCCATACAATGTCGACGGTCAAGAACTGTTCTGCCAGCCAAAACAACGCCGCGTGCGCGCTAAAATCGGCGGCGCGGGACAAAAATCCCGCAGACGCACACACGAAGATGGGCCGGTTTCGTTAGGGATGTGGGGAAATTTGAAACCAGCCATCCGTGCATGCGTGAAACGATACCGCCTGTTTGCCCTAGCTTCGAGCGCCCTATCCTTACCTTGAAACGGCCGTGCTCTCTCTCTCTCTCTCCGGGGAGATTCGATAGCACCGAAGGGTTATCTATTAAACTTGAGGAAGAAAACGAGAAGGGAGTGTTTAAGTTTAATTATCCCCACCAACCCACTCGTTCTGTCCTTATAAAGGGTTATCTCTTTTGGAAACAGTAAAGCCCGGAGACTGACATTAAAACGAGCGTGTTGGTAAATATACTTGTGTTTGTATTCTGCCCGGAGACTAGTTGGGTCGAAGTCAGCCTCCTTGTCAACTATAGCCGTTTGTGAAGAGTGGGCTTCTCCCGAGATGAAACGTTAGCGCCGGCTGACGTGTTCTTTTGAAAAAGGGAAGGGGAAAGAGAAAGTTTGAGTAACTGCAGAAACTACCTCGAAAGCTCCTCTCCCGATATGAAGCTTGAAGCATAGTCCCGGTTACCTTCTCGCGCATCGCCTGCTCGAATCTATTCTTCACTTTCTTTCGTACAGCCACTGTTCCGCACAGCCGTCGTGGATGTGCGTAATAGAGGGAGGAACAGATTCGAGCATCATCTGGACGCCGTCATCCTGCCAGACTTCAATGTCGTGGGACCGACTCGTGTGTGTTTCTTCGCCCCGCTGAACTTTGTTTCTCGGGTGCGGTTTTTTCTTAACGTTTTTTTTTAATGTTTTCTTACTAACTGCTTGTTAGCACTGTTCAGTTGTTGGGTTTATTTCGTCATGGCGTAGCGGCCTGGCGGTGATGTAGAGAGCGTGTTCGCACGCATTTGGTTGCGTCCCGTTTAGGGAATGCCCGGGGGAGTTGGTTTTTGTTCTTGCCATGTGCGGCTGAGTTTTCCCGTCTTTATTAAATTACAGATTTTGTTTTTTTTGTTTTACCTTCACGTGCCGTCGACTTCTTTGCCTGACTCTCCACCAGGCGTGGACCTATCGCCTTGCCACCGCTCGTACCTAAATACTTTTTTTTTTAACGCAATTTTTGTTAAGATCGGAGTTGGGCAATTTAATTCCTATTTATTTATTTTTATTTCCTACCCCTCTCCATGACACACTCTCTGTGTGTTTCGGACCGTTTCTGTGTCACCACTTTTGTGTATTACGGAAGTGAAAGGACATTCCCTGGTGACCTCTGCGATGTGCGGTGAACAAGCCCCAGTGTTTGGTTTCGTAAAGAATTGTATATAATATATCGACGATGTGGTGACTTTCTTGGTCTTAGTAATATGACAGCTAATAGCTAGTCGTGCTAGTTTATTTTGAAAGGTTTATAAATCGAAACAATACAACGTCTGTGCCTTTTGGTTATTGAAAGTCTACTAGGCCTGCTGATTTGGTTAGATATGTATCTCATGGTTCCCGCTCTTATCAAAACATACATAAATATTCAATACCACAAAATCCGTATATAATTGATTACAAAATGCAGAAGAAAATCCAAGAAAACGTTTTCACAATTCATAGAGACGCATGGGTCGCTATGTCTGACTTAGGTCTTGCAAAACAAACACGTCTTTATCCGATATTGAGGCCTAAATATAAAACATGCAAACAAAATATACACTTTCTAGGCTTGATTTTCGTTTAGACAACTATCATATCTACATTTGAACAAAAAATAAAAAAAATAAAAAATGGGTTTTTTGAGAAAATCAATTTCAAAAATGGTACTTTTTGGTTTTTGCATAATATTAACGTAAACGTACCGCAAAGGATAATTTATACAGCCAAAGCATTTTATAATAAATATAAAGAGCGTGTTTTGGGCTCTCCGTGGACATAAAAGATATCGGTGTAACCCAAGTAGATCGCCAGTAATTAATTGTCAAAGTTCGTCAACAATTGACCGAGGAGGCGTTTTTGACATTTTTACAGAAAAAAAGCAAAAGGCCTAAAATTATTTCATGGTATTGGAGCCTTTTAAATGTGTCCACAGAGTGCTTCAAAAAAGATAATATAATGTGGACTGAAAATCCATGGCGGGAGATCAAGCGAAACATCCGACCCACGACGGGTGTGAAAAACACTGCTTTTCGCCGCGGCCTCTTTAAAAATTCATAAGTCGAGAACAAAAAATCCGACGAACTTGCGGTTTGTGTCGACTACGGTTTTAGAAACGGCGCCATAACATATATTTTTTTCGTCGAAATTAAAAATTCGACCCTTTTTGCCTGCACGATTTGAGATGAAACCACCCATATATATATATATACTATACCGGGAGGCCAGTCGAAAGATCTCACGTATTTTTTCACGACGGCTTCCACTTCGTCTCGCACTTTCTGTTGCACGTCTTGGTACTTGGCCAGGGTGTACGCCAGGTAGCTCAAGCCAGTGGCTGTCGTCTCGAACCTGAGGAGTTGGACCAAGACACGCTTGTTTCAGTTCCCTAATCTTCCCTATAGTTGAAGTACTGCACTTTATGCTGCGACTCCACTCTAAAAGAAGCATTGCATTCCCCAGCCCCCCCCCCCCCCCCCGGCCCCCAAACACCACACAAATAAATAAAGAAAACTACTATACTTTATTATAGGTAAAGGGGCAATAAACCACTTTCTGCGATAGTCTATTGCAGACTTGTACGTAACGCGTTACAAGTAATTGATTACTTGTAATCAATTACAGTTAAGTGTAATTTTGTAACGCTTCAATTACATTTGTCAAGCTGTAACGCTCGGAGTAATTCAATTACTTTTTTCTGTAATCAATTACAAAATCAATTACACAATTACCAATTACATTTTTCATTCCACAATTTTTTTTTCTCACAAAAATCAACATAGTCACTCAGCCATGGAGCAAAAATGATTGACATTTTTTTAACATCTAAAAAAAATAAAACTAGGATTAGTCGGCAAATCCTTTTTTCTTTTGCGCCATGCTCTTCTACAAGCGCGCCACCAGCCTTGGCTGGGGAGTTCCGGATCTCGTTGCAGATTGCTGATAAAGTCGACGGGAAGCGGGAACTCGCTATTGACTTTTTAGTGGGCTTTGTTCCTTAGGTCGACGCGTCAGCTACACGACAAGGCCCGGGTCTGAAAACAAAAAAGGCAACAATAACCAAACAAAATTGTGTACGCAATATTTTACTGTGTATTTGTGTATTTCTGTCATCGCAATAAGAAGTAACGTGAAAGTAACTTGAAAAGTAATCAATTACTTTGCAGTAATTGTTCAATTACTTCTGGGAGGCAGTAATCAGTAACGGTAATCGGTTACTTTTTTGACTGTAGTAATTGTAATTGTAATCAGTTACTTTTTTTCAGTAACGTGTACAAGTCTGATTTATAGTAATAACTTAATCTGTGGGCTCTTAATCCGATAGATCGCTCAATAGGTTGTGACTATATTTGTTTATTTTCTTTGTATCGTTATTGGCTATCTGTACGTGGAACCCTATTTAGGCGTTTAAGCTGTTTGGAAGCACCATAAATAAGTCTAAATAACAAGACCACACATTAGGTTCATGCGTAGCCGATTTCTCTAATCAAATCTCTATCAAAGATCGATTACGTCAGAGCTATCGCTGACACCAAATGGTGCCGTCGGACGAGGAGAAACCTTTCTCCCAGAGAGCCTGTATTACAGAGAGTTCCTAACTGCTTGATAGGGGTCACGTGGTGTGTGGGTCGCGTTCGCTATACGAGATGCGAGGAGGTTACGAGCGCAACGGTCGTCTGCAAACGTCTCAGCCCTTCAACCCGCTTTTCTCCTTGCCACCCGACAACACAGCGCATGCGCACTTGCAACCAATCTTCGCAGGAGGCATCCGCCATTAAATTGCAAATGCTCCCCACGGTTTAAGTTGGACCCTCTCTGCAGTCAATAGGCTCTCCATCTTCTCCTCGTCCGATGGCGCCCTCTGGTGTCAGTGATGGTTCCGAAGTAATCGATTTTTTATACCGATTTTAATAAAGAAATCGGCTAGGCACGAATGTAATGTTTGCTGTTTCAGAATACTTAGAGCCCATCGATTGAGTTATGACCATAAATTAGCTATCGTAGAAAGTGGTGTAGTGCCTCCTTTAAACAAAGCAGGTGAAGCTCCTCCCGCGAATCTCTCCACTCTTTCCACTTTAGTAGAGCGAACGCCGGAGTAATAATGTTAATAGTAATAATACTAATATTAATAATAAATTATAGTTATTCAGAAACGCAGGACGTGGCCAGTGCCGACAATATCATTATCGCTATCATTATACACCATAATCACTTGGCAATTTCGCTGTTCATAAATCATGACCACACAACATAATCTGATGATGATGATGATATTGGGATTAGATAACAGAAGAACGAATCACGGAGCAAGGAGTGTGAACATAAAAAAAGCCGTTCCTTGCGCTTCTTAGGTTATCAGTTATAATAAGTACGGATGAGAGCTCGTCTCATCCATTCATAGTATGAAAGATGTCCTGTTCCCATTTTCGTCCTCGCTGTTTTATACTTTCAAGTTTTGTAGCTCTATTCGAAGTCACTCACCCAGCGATGAACAGGATCGTTGTGTTGATGGCCACTTCCTCGGGACTCATTCTCTTGTAGAGTTTGGCGTCAGCTAACGAAAGAACATAAAGCATTGCTGATTCGCGTGGGCGCCCCTTTTTTGTTTGGCAATAAACTCAGTGGCGCCGTCTACTGGGTAGCTCCGGCACTCTTCCGGTTCACGTATATTTCCAAAGTTTTTACTCATTATTATTTTATCATGAGAGAGAGTTAAGTATGACAGTGCTATAAGAGGTCATTTCCAGAAAACAGCGTGTATATTTGATTTCGCAAATGCTGCGAAACCCGCCGTCTAGTTCAGAACGGGAGTGGTTGGGGGCTATTTGCACACTGGCGCCACCACGGTTTAACTCACGCGAGAAAGAGCAAATATGGCGCACACCCTAGGATATCCGGTGAGTCTGCTTTCCCGCAAGGCACTTGACATAGCCAATCGCTGCTACCTACCGAGGGTGCTCGGCGAATGACGATGCTAAAATTATATTTAAGAAAAAAAAAATATCGATCTGCCCTGTGATATTACGCACGACCTTTCACGTACTTACAACGTGCCCAGACTCACAACTCGGACTTAAAATTTAGTTCTAAACGCATTTTCAGTTTCGTCATATACCGAGCCCTTTCCGTGCAGCGATGGGGCTCCCCCAAGTGGTTTACGGGGAAGCAGGCGCACCGGATTTTTCGAGAGTGTACACGAGTCCGCCTGCGGATCCGTGCGATGTTGTAAAGGATAGGTCAACGTACCATCGAGGAGCTGAGGTGCTTCGGGAAGCTGTCCTTCTTCAGCCTCCACATCCAACATCGTCTGTAGCATGTCTGGTTTCTTAGCCTGCATTATAGAAAAAGAGGCTACTGTACGGCGAGCAGGTGATTCAAAATGCGCCTTGGCATAGCCTCCTAATACTGACAAAGCCTAGCTGATCGCCATGAGAAGAGGCCGCCAAAATGGAAAAGGTAGAGCGGCAGACAACGGATGAAAGGAGAGCCATGTGACTGGCGCCCCGCTGCGGCGAGACGCCGAAACACACTTCTCCCGAGCGAACAAGTGTGTTTCGGGTCCTCGCCGCTGCAAGAGCTGTGCGCTGACGTCCAGGTTCCCCGAGAAATAGCTCTTTGATGCTCTGTGCTACGAGATCCTCGCGCTCCAAATCTGCGACCGGGCAGTCTATGGCTGCGTCGTCAAACTGCCAGGCTTTGTGAGTATAGAGGAGGCTATGGCTGAGGTCGGGGGAAAAACAAAAGCACGTGGGCGAAATCGGCGCGTATACACAAACGCGCGACGTACGCAAGGAGCGGACCAAATGGCACGCAGAACACGAAAGAGTTTTAATGTTGCACATAGTCGTCTGCAAGTACGGCCTCTGGACGCCGCCATCTTGTTGTTGGTGTGGGTAGATCGTCCGATAGTGAAGGATTGCTGAGGCCGCTGAGGCATACCCACGGTTTCTATACTGGCACCCAAACAAAGCGTTTCCCATCCGCGGTGGCCAGAGTAGCTCTCGAAGCACGGCTGCTTACAAATGTTATTGTTGCGTGCTCCACGCTGCGCATGTGCGTCGTCGTCGCCAATGCCAATCTAAAACACAGCTTTGGGGCTCCGCGCACGCTCAGTGTGGAACACGCAAGGCTTACGCTATCGCGAAGGGTTTGCGTTTGCTCGTATACGTAACTCTAGAACTCACTCTTACTGCCTGCATAAAGAAACGTAGTTCTTAGCGAGTGGCGTACATCTTACTATCGCCTTGGAAAAAAAAAAGTACTAGCGCAATTGGGTTATGTATTGCCGAACCTGGCAACTTCTACGACCAACCGCCAGGGTCACGACGTCCGACAGCGTGACAATTCGGCCTTTGTGACGTCATTTGTAGCCCCCTTCCGGACCACTTTCGATGTTCAGCTAGTCCTAAAAGTGGCTTCTCGATTCCCGCCCGATGACGTCAAAAAAGTGTCACGCTGTCGCTGGCCGCGATCCTGGCGGTGTCACAGCAACGTTGGTGCACATGGCAGACGCCTGTTCGCCGCTGGTCGCTTCCCAACTTGACAGTCCAACGAAGCTTCAGCCTCCAGGACTGGGACGCTTGGACGACAGGGACGGGACGCTCGCGATCGCTCAAAATTTTTTGCCACTGACTTTTCTGCACCACCTTCAAGAATGCGACATCCGGCAGCAGGACACATTTGTTGCCACGAATTCGGATCCACTTTCGAACCATGGGCGGAATGGGACGCTAAACACACAAGTCGGGGACGCGTCCCAGGCTCCGTGGTATCACTCTCTCCCGCAATTATATCGAGCAGCAAAAAAAAAAACTAGTGCTTTCCGGAAAAAGCACTTGCGAGAGACAATCGCTGCAGCCTGTCTAAGGACGACGGCGAATGACGAGACTGCAGAAGCAGTCGGCGCCTTGAAACTCGGAGCATAGTGAAATGTCACATTCAGTGTAAAAGTGCCAACGAGGTAGAGGGGCTTAGAGCAATAAACTGGCAGCTGAAAGTGACCCCCAACTGGCCGCCGCCATGTCGCACATTTTTGACCACTAGACACGTGACCATATAGTTTTACGTCTAGACGTTAATGAAGTACCTCGCACAAATGATAGCTTGTTGATCTTGAATAACAATACCGACGACATAAGTTATGTTTCGTTTCTTTTGAGTCCAAATTGTGCTTTTACGACAAAAACTCGGGCAGCTTCGCAATGCCTCCGCTAGACGCCGTCAGCGGCGGTGCTGTATTTTGGTACAGGAATGAGTTGAGCTAGTTGGTCATGATACATTATGGGTGGAACCAGCTGAACATTTAAGGAAGGAGACTTTTCTGTGTCTCCTTCCTTAAATGTTCAGCTGGTTCCACCCATACTATATTTTGGGTTTTTATCGGTGCTAGACACTGATCTCTATGGCCTACAGTATTAAAAAAAATAGTTTATTATATTTTTGTACAGCGATCGCAATAGAAACCTCGGCTCGGTTTTGCGTAAAAGCATAATGATTTGGTACGCTCACGTGTCTAGGGGTCAGAATGGTACAACATGGAGGCAGTCAAGTGGGGCAGAGCAGTGTATCGAGAGAGTTTGGTCAATGGGAGGCGCGGACATAGCCAGGGCGTGCACCAGACGCAGAAAGAGGGCTTGGCATGCTCTCTTGACCAACCAAAAGCCGAAAAGAATCTCCTAGCGGTGGTAGCGAGAAACAGTTCTGATCAAAGGTATATGTTCGTATATGATTTTAATAAGCGCGTAAGAGTGCAGTGTAGTAACTCTTCGTGGTTGAAAATAGGGTGCACGTGTTGTTTTGATCATGATCATGCAGAAAGATGCAAGAAACGAATGCGCCGCTCAACTCTGTTTTGCTCGGAAAGAGTGTGACCGCTTGGACGGCAGATTCCCGGCCCTCGGCGCTTGGCGTGCGGATTATGTCGATCATTCCGCTAGTCACACTCTTCCACCATCATTTTGGATGAGCGTGATTGAAACATCACGTGCACCATGTTTTCAGTCACCGAGAGTTACTCCGATGCACTTATCAGGTTTGTTTCTCGCGACCATCGCCAGGGCATTATTTCCGGCTTCTGGTTGGTCACATTCAAATTTCTGAAGACGCCCTGGAACACGCCCAGCCCGTTTTCGGCCAATGGCGCCTCCTCATTTGTCTCCTATACTTCCCAACGAATGGCCAAACTCTCTACATATACGGCTCTGAAGTGGGGATAAATTTTGCCTGGTGAACGGGATACCAGTTTATCGCTCTAAGCCCCCCTACCTCGCTGAGAATGGCACACTGATTTTTCAGGTCGAAACATATTATCAGAACTAAAATAAGTCATTTTATCAGCCTCGGATCGTTGGCCGAGCTCTCTCCGTAGATTACAGCGATTAGATATCCCAGATGCTTTGCAGGAAAACTGATGTACTGGATTTTGTATATGGCTGGTTCACACATTTGCGACCGCTTACGACCGTGTGCCTTAAAACCTCTTATGATGAGCGCTATCTATCGATCTATCGGGTAGCCTTGGAACAGCCGAAGTTGCCGTATGCATAGAGTTATCATAATGTACTCTAGGGGTTCAACTGGCGCTAGTGTGCTGTTGTAAATTGAAGCAGACAGCAACCAGTCGAAAATTGACTTCCTGTAATGCATTTCTATGGGTTAAAAGTGCATTTTCTCCCTGCGCTCGATTATAAGTGCAAATATCACGAAAAAGTCGTACGTACCAGGTAGCTTAGAATATTTCTCTGTCAGGCAGACGAAATAATTGATCAGTCGCGGCGTTTTTCTTTCAAATTCATTGCATTAAAGACGATGCTAAAACGGCTTCGTACATGTATTCACGTGCACTGTCGTACACTGTTAGCGCGAACACGACGTCGACGCTTTTCAGCATGGGAGATATACGTGCCAAACGAAAGAAGGACACCTGGAAAGTCAAGAGAGGCGGCAAGAGCTGTATGCGCAGTACACTGGATCGGTAGCTCCCTGTGCATGGACGATCCAAATGAATTGAAGGCCACGTAATATTGTCTGATGTTTAATAAGTAAGTACTACATTATTTTTTTTTCTGCTCTGTGAGAAGATATGCTTGCTCTAGGTTCTAGAAATCAGCCGCACGCTCGAATTTTTTTAGAAGTAGTGCCTTATAAAAGCTGCCCGGCATAGGAAATAATAAAAAAGAAACCTTTCATAACCAACGTACTTTTACGCTTTTGAATGTTTTAGCGCGCTCGTAAAAATGCAGGACGTGGTCATTTTCATATGGTGACAGGACTGGCATATTAGCAATGTATAAGCGTCACCGGAATGCTGGTAATCCTTGAACACTCCACATTCCTTTCGATTGTTGTTTTGCTTAGAATCGTCGTTTGTTTTAACACACCTGCTGTGAAACAGAGGTTTGGGCATGAAATGTAGCGAAGCCAAACATCGTTCACTGATAAAGAAAAATGCGCTAACTAAAGCAGTTACACTTTTACAGTGTTAATAAAGGTACGTACTCGGTGCGACCCAAATAACAAAAGTTTTCCAGATTATTTTTTGTTGAAGACACAAAATGCAAGCGCGTTTTCCTACAGGAATGCACAAAAGTACCTCGAAAGTAAGACGGGTTGTTGTCTGCTTCAATTTGCCTCCCGGAAGTCGCATAGATAGCTCGAGTTGAACCTCTAGCATACATCATAATAACTCTATGGCCGTAAGTTTTATATCTTTTTTTGCGCATCATTCTTTATTTCTTGGCTTGAAAACACTTTTAACAATGTTATAAACGATTTCGCGTAGAAAGTACGCAAATTTGATCGCGCAAACAGCGCAAAACGTTTGTTCTAATGAAATGCCGTTGCAGGGTCACCTCATAGAGGGCACCGCGTGCCAGTATGTTCTTTCGTCGTATAGAGATCGCAAGAGCTCGGTCCGAAGCAAACGCTCTTGAGTGAACGGGCCCTTAGAGGGAAAAGAGCAGACGGCATACGCACCTCGGGGTGGCTCTGTCGGAGCTCGACTACCTTCATGGTCTGTTTGTTGAAGACATCGTAGGTAAATGTGCCCAGCTTCGCATTCAGCCAAAGGAGGGGAGCCGTAAAGTAGGGAACAGTGGTCGTACTTTCTGAAAGAACAATCCGATGGCAAAACATTTGTCTACTCGCCCATTCACACGCAGTATAGGTTCGAAGAAGCATTCTTAACGCCCGTTCACACATTTGCAACCGAGTAGGACCGACCGAGACAAGACTGGCTTTTATTCCTCTTGTGACGGCGTATAGGACCGGATGCGCTGCAGCGGAGCAGCTTGTAAGCCGTCGCAATAGGGCTTAAACACCGGTCCTGTCGTAGCCGGTCTTCCTCGGTTACAAGTGTGTGAACGGGCCTTTAAATGGCACACCAAGGCCGCGATACCACGGATGCCGTGCTAATGGTTTACTCGTAGTTTCTACTTGGGAATTACAACTTTCAGCCTTTCTTGGCCATTCCAGAGAAAGACTCCCGCACTCAGAATGTGTTATGTAGGGTTGCAGAATAGACTCATGCTCCGTGATGTCCCGTGATGTTGATGGCTTCGCGTTCATGTTGCGTTTTAAAGCATGTCATTCTTTTAATGGAGCCATCCGTGCATTTCTCCGCTATGTTATGGGGAGAAATGGATGTCGGGTGACATATACACCGATTCGATTTCCCCGCTTGATTTGGGAGGAGAGTTGTCCTTTGCTTATTGGGTTTTGGCGATAAAGGTCGTTGCCAATTTTTCGCGTTGCTTTTTTGTGCTAGCAGTCTTTTTCAACACAGCCTCTTCTATAATTCATTATAGAAAGTAAAAAAAAAAAAAAGAACAAGGTTTCAAGTACCTATGGATCTGTCGCCCACCTAAAACTAAGGTAATGCTGTCAGGCGCCTTCGAAGAAAGTCTCGAGGTTGCGAAGCAGAACGGACGTGTTCAAGTATTCCATTTTCTTTCCTTTACGACGAGCGAATGTAGCAATCTACCAGTGAGATTGTGTCTATGACCTCCAGCACGGTTTTTGAATCTTCCGTTGAGTATTGATGTTTGAATTTATGCTTTTTTCATGTTCGCATTTTCCTCCTTTTTATTTGCATTACAACTGAAACGTGTCCATGATTATGTGAAATTACCCTATATTTGCAACTTTATTAAAATCTCTAAGTCCCGCCCTCGCAGTAATGCCCTTCAGGCGCTGTGAGGTAACCCAAATTAATAAATAAATACACAAGTCTTTACGTTGAAGACAACAACAACTTGGGGAGCAATATTTCGAGAGTTCCAAATGCAAATCTTACGGGCCAGGAAATGGAACGGTCCTGTCATGACTCCAGGAAGCACACTTTGAGCCGTCCTGAGAAAGGGATGTTTCAGATCCCGCTGGAATGTACAGTCGAAGCCGAATGCAGCGCGTCCGACGTAATCCATGGTCAGGCCTTGGAAGAGACAGAGCATCGGGTACTCTTTGCCCTCGTCCGCCTTTTCACCGAGGATTTCCACGAAAATGTCTGCCACCTGGGACATGTAGGGAATCATCTGCCAACAAAAAGAACGGGCCGTCATGTGGTGAGTTCGATTGTGGTGCCTGGAACTACGGCGCCTCGAACGGCGTCTACGACTGGGATGCTTAGCGTCCCATTCTCCACGTACGCGTCGAAAACGGTCTCGGAACGGCAACATATAACGTCACGGGAGCCGCGGTGTGTCTTGCTGTGGGATGTCGCGATCCTGGTGGTTGGCGGGTAGATGTTTTGGAGGAAAGCACGGGAGAACGTGAGTGTCGCTGTCTTCGCGGCGTTCGAACTCCTGACTGCCGATGCTTCAGCGGACTGTCAAGCTAGTGAGCGACCGGCAACAGAACGGGCGTCTGCCACGTCTACCACCGCAGCTGTGACACCGCCAGGGTCGCGTCCGATGACAGCATGGTACTTCTATGACGTCATCGAGTGGAACTCAAGTTACCGCTTTTTAGGATGCGGTATAGCACAAGTCGCAGACGCGTTCCAGGACTATGCGGGGCGCAAGTTTGTCTGCTTCTTTTGCAGGGGTTGTGGTGACGTCAGAAAGACCCTGAGCTCTGATTGGCCCTGATTGAAGAATAGTGGGTGGACCTCAAAGCAGGCTGCCTTGAGGTCTACCCACTATCCTTCAGTCAGAGCCAATCAAAGCTCGGCGTTTTGACGTCACCACAAACCCTGCAAAAGAAGCAGATCGAACTTGCACCCCGCATAGTTTTGAAACGCCTCTCCGCCTGGAGGGTTTACTGCGTTCTCAAATGCGGTCTCTCGATTTCTTGCCCGATGGCATCATGCCTTTGCCTGCCGCGATCCTGGTGGTGGTACAGAAGCGGAGGTGGATGTCGCAGACGCCTGTTCTGCTGCTGGTCACTCCTACCAGCTTGACAGTCCCCGGAAGCTTCTATACCTACTGCCAAGAGTTTGCAAGCCGTGATGACAACGACACTCGCGGTCGCTGGTGTTCAAACTTGCCAGCGCTTCTAGGACCAACCGCCAGGATCGCGACATCCGAGAACACGATGCGCACCGGTTTTTGCGACGTCATTTGTTGTCACTTCGGGACCAATTTGGATGCACGAGCGGGATATATGATGGCATACGGACCAGTCGAAAGCGCGTTTTACACACCGTAGCGCGATATCTGAAACGCTCTTGAAAGTACATGCTACCTGCTTGAATTTGTTGGACGTGAACGCGTACGAGACGCAGCTTCGGGTGCGCTTCCAGGGAAGACCTCTGGCGTGCAGGAGGCTTTGACCCAGGAATGGATGCTCCTCGTCAGTCCGCATCGTGATCTGCGTCATCAAACGAGCAATCAAGACTATGTTTAGAGCAAAAATCACATGTGGTCAGAACACACTGTTACTGATTGAAAAAAGGCAAGAAAAGTTGGGATCTCTGAACTTTCGCTGAGACAGATCACACTGCGCATGGGCTATTACTTGACGAATTTTCATCCGCGTGCTCTTGTCTTTGACTGAGCTCAGACTTGGGTAACATGAACTATGGATGAAATATTGGTGCTTAGGCGTACGAATCAATGCTAAAACGTGAAGTGAAATATATATGGCATCAACTTTTGTTTTGTTGGAGTTCCGAAGCAAGTGCGTATAAAAGGACTTGAAACGACATCATCAGGTCGACTTTATTGTTATTGTAATCTGCTTCTTGACCATAATTGGGTTTGTTACGGAGAGAAGCACAGCACATTGCTCAGAGCTCGACAAGCGGTGGCATTTACGGCGGGGATTAGGCTTGGCTTGTCAGTAGACCTTGTTAGGCCAAACCTTAGCAGGTTAGTAGCCTTTAGGCAAACAACCGTGAAGTTGGAACCAATGTGCTTTTGGATTACGAATGAGTTTACGAATGAGTTTGTTGCCCTTTTCTTTCCGGTGGGGGGGGGGGGGGGGGCATACCTCTATAAAAAAGCTTGCAAGTTATCCAAGTAAGAGGTTGCATTCATAAGTGACGACATAAAACATGAGTAAAATTCTATTTCATGAGAACGACAAGTGGAACTTGTTCAGTTCATCTGTTACCCATCAGAGCATAAACTCGTTTGTTTGTGTGACTTTGTGTCTCCAGTTTTAACTTGTAATTACATCTTCCTCATGACAAGATATTTCCATCTGTTTCAGTTACGTTTACTAACATAAGAAGTGTTATGAATAAACGAGATCAGCTTAACTCTGTTGTCAGCTCAACGAACGCAGACCTAATCTTTCTTACGGAAACATGGCTTAGTAAACATGTCTGCAGCTCTGAAATTTTCCAAGGAGATAAAACATATAATGTATATCGTTTTGACAGAGATGGTAGACATGGGGGTGGCACACTCATAGCCGTATCACAGAGCATACCTTCATTTTGCGTAGATGTTCCTTCCAATCTAGAAATTGTTTGGGCTTGTATCACTTTAAATAACACAAGAATTTTATTGGGCGTCTGCTACCGCCCCCCAAACAGCGCAGTGACATTAATTGATGATTTACATGACGTTATGAATTCTATTGTTTGTCAGTATCCCAGTTCTCCTATTTTTTTATTAGGAGATTTTAATTTTCCTGATATCATGTGGTCTGACCCACCTTCTTTTCAACGTGTTTCAACTCAGAGTCAACTTTTTTTGGATCTGTGTGCGTGTTTTAATTTGACACAGCTGGTAATGAAACCAACAAGGTATGTCAATGATACAGCGAACACACTTGATTTGATTCTGTCCACACACCCTGACCTTCTATCTTCCCTTACGTGTCTTCCAGGCTTAAGTGATCACTCGTTGTTAAATTTTGATCTCAAAGTTGCTCCCCCAATCAATAGTAAAAAAGTAAAGCTTATTTCTGATTACAATAAAGCCAATTTTGATCTTATTAATGAAAAACTGTGCAGCTATCTGGACACATATCTGCCAGAATTTGATCAGCGAAGCGTGCAGGAAAATTGGAGATTATTTTGTTTAAAAGTAAACGAACTGATTGATGCGCATGTACCCGTCAGGCGTATTCAATCTGATGCTAAAGCACCTTGGTATACTAACACCCTAAAACGTCTTTTCAATAAAAAACAGCGACTTTTTCGTTCAGCTAAACAACGTAACACGATTGATAGGTGGGAAGCATACTTTGCAGCTGAGGTCGAATATTCCCGAGCTGTATCTGACGTCAAAGAGAATTTTTTTAAGAACACTTTACCGGGTCTATTGTTGAATGACCCCAAAAAGTTCTGGAAGACTGTTAATATAAATGACGACGGCTTAATTTCTCTTAGCGATGAGTCTGGGGCGTTAATCCCTCCAGCAGAATATCCATCAGTGTTTAATAATGTTTTTTTAAATAGTTTTTCTGTAGCTGATGGAAATGTATCGTATGACGTTCCACGTTGTGAGTTTAGCCCTATGTTTCCAATTTCCATGGAACCTACTGGAATTGTAAAGTTAATTGATTCTTTGAAAGTATCATCGTCATGTGGAAGCGATAATATTAACTCAAAATTTCTAAGACAAACTAAAATGTACTCATCCTTTTTTTTGGCCAAAATTTTCCAGCAATCTCTTGAGTGTGGAACGCTCCCAATAGAATGGAAAACTGCGAAGGTGGTTGCACTGCATAAGTCCGGTAACAAGCATTCTCCATTAAATTATCGACCCATTTCACTAACAAGTATTCCTTGTAAAATAATGGAGCACATTTTGTACTCTCATATTTTCAATTACCTAGAATCCAATTCATTTTTCGCTCCTGCTCAACATGGTTTCCGTCGCTCATTTTCTTGTGAAACGCAGCTGCTTCATTTCACCCATTGTTTGCATGCTATACTGGACAAAAACCACCAGGCTGACTGTATTTTTCTCGATTTTTCTAAAGCATTCGACAAGGTTAATCATAAGTTACTAATGCTTAAACTTTCTTCATTAAGCCTAGATCCTAACTTGTTAACCTGGCTGGAATGCTTTCTAACCAACCGCTCACAATATGTAACTCTAAATGGCGTTAATTCATCCCTGACTGATATTGTATCGGGCGTACCCCAAGGTTCAGTTTTAGGCCCGCTTCTTTTTCTAATATTCATTAATGATTTACCAAGTTGTGTTTCTTCCTCCATGCATTTATATGCAGATGACTGTGTAATTTATCGGGAAGTTCATGATGATGATGACGTACGCATTTTGCAATCTGATTTAAATAATATTACTCTTTGGTGCAAAAAATGGCGTATGGAACTAAACCCTAACAAATGCAAACTAATGCGCGTTTCCCGGCAAGGCGCACGCCCTTCAAAATATACACTAACCGACATTCAACTTGAATCTGTAAACTCATACCGTTATCTGGGTGTTACTATATCGTCGACATTAACCTGGAAGCCTCATATTGATATAATAATCGCCAACGCTAACCGCATGTTAGGATACTTACGACGAAACTTCAGAACGGCCCCAGTTAACTTAAAACTTCTTCTTTATAACACTCTTGTACGGTCAAAATTGGAATACGCAGCCTCTATTTGGGATCCTAACCACACGTTTCTGCATAAAGCTCTCGAACTAGTTCAAAATAACGCCGTTCGTTTCATTCTGTCTAATTATAATCGAACAGCTAGCATATCATCAATGAAATCTAGTTTATTGTTACCCTCTTTGTCATTGCGCAGAAAGTTTTTTCGACTTTGCCTGTTTCATAAAGTGTATCATCATCAGTCGCTGCGAGACCATTTCTTTACATTGCCTAGCTATTACTCTTCCCGTCTGGACCATCGGAATAAAGTTGGAGTAACACGTTGCCAAACAAACACTTTTTTTTATTCATTTATCCCGCATACATCAAACGACTGGAACCACCTTCCAGCAGATATCGCAACTATACCTGATTATTCTCTTTTTCGCCAATCTTTGTCTACATTTCTGTTTGGTGAGCCAACATGAGTCATTTTATTTTGTTTATTTTTTTCCGTAAAATATATTGCTTGCCACTTTTGCCAATGGCTGTGTGTTTTTGATATTTCAATTTCTTGTTGTTTGTTTTTTATTGTTTTGTCAGTTTGTTTTATTTTTGTTTGCTTTGCCCCTCCCCTCTACAATGCTTCGGCGCTTGAGGGTATGTACAATAAATAAAAAAATAAATAAATATACGATCTATAACCTATACGTTTTTGAGAATATACACACCCCCCGACTCGTGAAGTCTTGGAAGTTCTTGATGAAGATGAACGACAGGAAATCTACGTCCTTGGTCACTATGGTTGGGACGTCACCATTGTAGAACCTGAAATATGGCTTCCACGTTAGAGGGAAATCGATTGACCGCAATAAGCCTTTTCGACGTTATTGAAAAGTTGCCTACCCGAAGACATCGCCGTACTTGTCACACCACCTGGTCAGAGCATTCACGAGACCCTAAAGTTAAAGGAAGGTTGAGCTCGCGGTTAGAAGACAAAATCGAGGATAAAGAGTATATAGTGATGCCGCACAATGCATGCAAACATTTGGGTTTCTAGTTGACGTTCACAGCAAAATACACGAACAAATGTCGAATTGAAGAAGAAAGTGTAAAAACAAATCTGATAAATATTTATTCTTTATGTTAATGGGATTTTGGTTTATGTGACATGCATATGCTGCTGATATCATAATAATGTAAACACCGATGAAGCATTAAAGTGAAGTTTTTTTTCCTTTCTTTTAACCAATACGAAATGGAGAAAATCGCATATGGTGGCACATTGTATTCATACGAAAATGAGATATTTTCAATTTTAGAGTTCTGAGCTTTATTTTGCATTTCTGCAGAATTGCTTGCCTCCTAACGTAATTTTTTGTGGCGTATATACTATAGGAAGCACTAAAATTCCTAGTCTTAATTTTCCCTAATGACAGTTCTGGAATTGACGTTCTTAACGCAGTATATATCTTATATAGGGAAGGTTTTTGGCCTTTGGAGCGTTGCGTTATGCGTACTAAGGCGGAGAATTCAAGCTGCGACTGTTCATCATCTTGTTCTAGCGTATCCGACGGTAAAAGAGAAAAAGAAAAGCTTTTTTTTTTATTTCCGCTTGATCACATCATAGAAGCGCCATGCTGTCGCCAGCTACAATCCTTGCGGCGTCACTGCAGAGGCGGTAAATGTGGGCCATGAACAATACTAACAAAAAAAAATGTTATTAATTCGACGAGTGCTTTACCTTTCCGTGGTACCCCACCAAGTTTCCCCACAGTAGGCTGGGCTCCGGGCCGGGAATCCCAATATCTTTGAAATACGAGAACGTCTTCTTGCGCCAACTGCGAAGCAAGAAAATTTATTTATTCGGGATCAGGAGCAACAGTATAGTAATACACGTCGTCATACACGCGACCTACTACGACCCACCTCGACAGAACCGGAATTGTTTAAGCAGCTCGTGACTGTTGACGACGGGCGGCACGGCAGCAGCGATGGCGACAGTAAGCGGTTTTAAAGCAACTTGAGTTTGAGTCGGTCGTAGTTGGTCGCATGTGTGTGAATCAACCTTTGGGATGCTACACTCGTTTTCACCTCAGTAACCATAGTAAAAAAAAAAGGTCGCACTCCTAGCGGAACATTACTAATTTCCCCCTTAATGTTGAGTGTATATATATATATATATATATAGAGAAAAAAACGAAGCGCAGGATGACGAAAAGTATATACGGAAGAAAACGCACTTGAGACGGTTGTTGGAGTTTTTAAAACATATTATTGGTAAAGTTGGTCGACGTTTCGGCCTGAGACAGACCTTTTTCAAGACTGGCACATGAGAGGTCACATTGACGCTCCTTGACCACGTCACTCAAGTGCGTTTTCTTCCGTATATATATATATATATAGCTTTAACTTTAAAGCAATGGGCCGGGAGCGGTGATAAGTAAAAGAAGTGTTCTCCTGGGAAACTACTACAACAAAGTTTATTACGGCGTTTCGAGCGGGGACCGCTCTTTATCAGGTAAAACATATACAGTTCGAGAGTGTTTATATATCGAACAACACAACCTCCCCCCATCCACAAAAAAAAAAAAAAAAAAAAAAAAAAAAATATATATATAGGGGAGAGCGAGAACACGTTTAAGTAAGAATACAACACAGATCGCCGTTTGAAAAAAAAAAAAAAAAATAGTAGTACAGCGCAAACGCAGGCAGATAAAGTTGTTCAGGGCCGCGAGGGGGCAGTCCCCTTGTCGGAAACTTTGTGGAGGACCCGGAGAAGATACTTATCGCATCGTGACTCCCGAAACATCTAAATCCCGTATCTCTCAGGATTAACTATCAGAAGATTGCAGTGTTTGTGCGAAACAAGAAGTCTTAGGAAAATTCAGTTTATGCCCGCTTGACGGAGCCGTTCGATCAGGGCGTTCCCAAAAGGTTTCCTTTGTATTCGTGGTAATAAAACCCGAGACTCAGGAACACAGAAGGGGACGAACACAACACAACACAACGTTCTGTGTTCCTGAGTCTCGGGTTTTATTACCCTGAATCACCACCAGCTAGCTTGTTTTTTAAGTATTACAGTTTTTCTTTGCATTCCAGGTTTTGTCGAATGAGTTATCAACAATGTTTAACGCTTCGAGGTAAAGGTCGTGTTTCGAAATAGTTTGAAAGACGGAGGGGACGATTGTTCTGCAATCAGGAAGGGGCTAGCCGTGCATTAAATAATCTTCCGGGGCTTTCGTTTATGCCTTTAAGTATTGAACTTGCGGATAAGATATGATTTCTTTTGTTCTCTTTCAATTGTTGTGCGAAAACTGGATTCTAGAATGATAACAGAAATGCTCTCGATGGTGTGCTCGGGCAGGTTTAGGTGTTTTGAGAGTGGAAGGTCGGGAAGCGCAGTGGCGCGACTTTTATGATTATGAAAGCGCAACCTAAAAGCCCGATCCGTTTGTCCCATGTACTGCCCGCCACCGACACCGCAGTAGAGCAGGTAAACAACGTTCGCATGGTGCAGTCGTAGATGCCTTTTACGTTCCACATAAAGTTAGAATGTGCTTTTGACGCACGTTGTTCCTGACGTGTGCTTGCACATTTTGCACTTATAGGTCTCTGGCACGGTCGGCAGCCCATGCTTTCGGGAATGGTGGGTTTTTATTTGACTAGTACGTCTTTGAGATTCCACCTGCGTCGGGCAGGGGCGGACCCAAGGGAAGGGGGGGGGGGTGACGGAGGCGACCGCCCTCCCCCCAACCAAAGTCGACCCCACCCCCTCCCTAAAAAAAAAAAACAATTCTGCGTTTGGATGTCAAGCATGCCATTTTGCCTGATTACGTCAAGCGCTGCGACACAGCGCAGACTGTCTTTCTACATCTAAACTTTTTCAGCCTTGTCGCTCTGTAGATGGGAGCGGTTGGCTCTTCCATATTCTTTGCATAAAAGATATAGGGCGTTTTCACCGACGCAATTTCGTCCGCCATTTTGTGGTCATGAGCTGTCTGGCACGTGCTAAATCTGAGTATTCCGGAGATTCGTACGTCACCCTCAAATTATAAATATATATACAAAAATTTTTTAGTCTCATCACGCCTCTGTTCTTTTTTTTTCTGGTAAATATAATATTCCTCTCACTCTCTAACAACAAAATGGCGGATTGATGTCACGTGAAAACTCTCTTTAGACGCTTCAGATTTCTTACAGCGTATAGGGTTGCTAACACAGGAAGCGGAGGGGAGGGGGGGGGGGGGTAGTGACCTGTTAATGACAGTGGAGTGACTATACTCTGTTTCACCAGAAACAAAAACCTGAAGACGCTCTTGATAGAAAAACAAAAACGAAAACAGTTTCCCTTTAAATTATCCGACTTTAGCCGGCGTTAGATTGAACGCAGACGATCAAGCAGCCCCGAGAGTGCGTCGTCATGCCGCTGGTTGTTTTTGTGCATTAGCTATCATCTGCTAAACCAAGCACGCGCAAAAAAAGAAAAAAAACTTGCCGGATCGTTGCGCATTTACTGCGCGTGGTTGTTTTAGTCGGCGATAATATAGCGAGCGCATAAAGGCGACGAGAGCATTCACGCGTATTTGATGATGGCAACCAGCGGATGCCGCTTCGCGGTTGCGGTTCGAACGTCAGTCTGAATGCAGCGTTAAAGCGAAGCGGCGTACGTGATCCTCTCGTGGTTTACGCAAACTGACCTGATCAGCCGGAATATGCTGTAAACGGCCAGTGCCACAGCGAAGGTCCACGCCGAGATCTTGAAGTAGGACCAGAAAGACAGCGACTCCATGGCGACTTGCTCGTTCTCTCGAACCGCTTCTTCTCGAAGGACTATAGCTTCGTTGAAATCTCAGTTCGTCGAACTGTTTTCCCGACTCTAAGTCAATATATTCCGCTTGTTATCAGTAGCAAATTATCGGAAGCAAACAGGCCTAATCTTCGACAGTGTGTCGGGTAAAAATAACGGGGGGGGGGGGGGTGTTGCTTTTTTCTCTCGCTTTCTCAGTTCACCGAAACACATTCTTTGCGGTGTTTTTCGAGTTGAAACATTTGTCGAATTCCCACAGACAATAAGCGTATTTTCTGTCGTTGTCTCGGTCAATCGTATAGGAATCTTGGCAGCGTTCTTCGAGATAAAATGCTCGATGAATGCCCCCTAGACAATAAAGGCCTGTTCACACATGCGGCGGAGCGCTACAAGCATAGCGCTGACCTTGGGTTAAGCGCGTCCTGACGGGAGCGTTCACCAGCTTTGTATCGCCCCGTCAAAGCTGTTGCTCATGGCAGACGATAAGTAGCTGACGACACGTGAGCAGCGCTACATGTCAGCGCTTCGCTGCACGTGAGAGCCGGCCTTTAGCGTATATCCCGTTGTTTTATCTTCCGTTTAATGGTGCCCAGCTGCCGCTCTCTTTGCCGCTAAACTCGTGGAACAAAACATTCTTTGCTTTCTGACGTAGCGGGGGGGGGGGGGGGGGGGGGGCGCTCAGCTACGCAACTTTTGGCGCAAAATCCCCCGCGATCCCTAGGCGGTGCACGAGAGCACGAGACATCGCGGGGAGGCGAGCGTTCACGCCGTTCGCTGTGCGTTGTGTTTGTGTAGCGCCGTTGGGCCGAAATTCGATCCCGTCATGCCTCGCTCAGACGAGGAGCGAGAGCAGACGACGGGAGTTCGTCTGCTACAATGAGGCATTCGCACAGCGGAACCGAAAGAAAAAGTAGATTTTCTGCTCGAAATCGCGTCCCACGGGCCACAAACTCAAACGCGAGCTTGAATTTTAAGCGTCTGATATTTCACGAGGGGAGGAATCGACGACCCGTGCTTTATTTGCAAAATTTGAGTCGCTATGTTGCCGTACAGACGCTGAAACCTAGCAGTGTGTAATGAAAGGCTCACGACAAACACAGAGGCCGCGAGATCTAGCATCATTTGTGTATGGATGAAAACTGGAACATTTTCGACAAAGCTCCCACAGCAGAAACGTGTGACGCATTCACTCAGCGTCCGGGAAAGCTAAACATGGAGACGTTGTCCGAGGCTTGAGCAAAGTGATATTTGAACGGCAGCTATCTTGCCCCGTCGTATTTTGTTTGAGAAAGCTCTCGTTCTCAACACCCTCACCAGGGAAATGAAAAGTCCTACGAAACGTATTGCGAGATATTCCAACGAACTAGATTTAAGCCGTATCCTTTCAGTGCTTCATTCATAATACCATGCTTAAAACGAAGCAAGCTCTTGCGCGTACAGTGCCATCAATTGTCTCAAGTGTATGCTGTTTTATAGTCAGCTGGTTTCGGAAACTTACGCCGTCTGTAGATGTCTCTGACAGCAGAGTTGCTTAATTAGAAGTCATCGCAAATGTAAGTTCCACGTTACAGCAACCAACGTTTATAGATAAACGATGGCAGCGACTGCACTCTCGCACTCCCACCCATCACGTCGAACAAAAGGGCGCTAGTTTCGATTTGAGGTCGGTACTTTTCTACAACATCTATGGCGACAGCATCAGTCTGCACTCGGTGCATTCGGTAAGTTCTTTCGGGGCCGGTTTTCTGTGCAGCACTCCGCGGGTGCAATGCATTAGAACTCTCACAGTGCAAGTCTGGATTGCGGATCGGGAGCCCGTCACTGGCATCACCGGCGGCCATTGCTTGACAACAGGCAATGGTCTAAGGGAGAAACACGCAAAAGTAGGAAGCTTGTACGCGGTGCCCAAGGGCGAGTATTTTATGACGGGCTGCGATCATTATATCGGATGGTTGGAGATCAAATAGACATTCGTCAAACGTTCAAACATCGATTAAAAAAAATCTGCCGGAGCATTAATGACTTTACCGACGTCGCTTGCTTCGGTTGCTAAATAAATGACACGTTCAGCAACTGAACGGCACGCTCCGAGTTTCCGTTTGCCACGGAAGCCCTCACAGCAGTTCAAAGAAAAAGCTTTCCCTAGAAGTACTATGTACAAGTGGTTAAAACGAGGTGAATTTCCCCAGTAAAGGCCTTTTAACTTATCGTTTGCTAAGCTCTCATGACTCCAAGATCACGTATGACTCCACAATAACTTTCGGTAATTGTCTCACTGAACACATCACAGTTAACGCGCAACAAAGTCGCGCTCGACCCTCAACCACACAACATTTATTTAAAAAAAGATTGGTATTCTAACGCGTTTAATATTCTTGCCCACAATATTACCTGTTATTTGCGGAAATCACGATAGAAGTTTCATGGTCGAGAACAACCTACTAACGCAATAAAATTGAGTTTTTCCCGTTTCTCTTATAGCATGCATTAGCTCGTGTCAAACGATGACTGCCGGTGGTGCCGCTCGACCCCAGCAATACAGGCCTCTATCCGCGATCCAGCCTACTGAGAGATCAGTGGTGCCAGTGCTATTAAACATGAATTGTTTATTTGCATCGGTACGCTGCTACCTGCCGGATGTCGGGACGAGGCGCAAAACCGTACATCCGGCCAATACTGGAGCCGGTTTTCGGCTGAAATTGCCTCTACACTGGCCAAGTAGCGACGTGCTGTTTCGGCGACTCGTTTGTGTAATTTATTTGTTCAGTCATTTTATTGGGTACCAAGCCAAAAAAGAAGTGTACTGTGGTAATTACACCTTTACAAGAAGGAGTATTGTAGTTTTACATCTTTATAAAAAGGTGTTGTGCATTAACACGTTTTAAGAAACGTGCTTAAAAAATCACACATTTTTAAGGGTGTGAGGTTTTCATTTTCTTTAAAAGGTCTATCGCTACACCTAATAGGGTGTTAGTTATGGGACACCTCACTCACATGTATAAAGGTGTGAAAACGTTTAATGTGTATACACCTCTAACTGAAGAAAATCTCCTTCATGTGATTACATCGCGTGCCGATGAAACGATTTGTCGATGACACGTCGTTCGGTGAACTGATTTGACCGCCAATGAGTGACGACTGCCAGAAGAATTTCGGGGACATAATTCTGCCGGCTGCCGGGAGACTCGACCCTACCCAAGAATTACCCCGGTTCTTGTTCGTTTTCCAACATTCTGAATTGTATACCAGCATAGTAGTACCTCTTCGGATATTACAGAGAAAACGATGGCAACCGCAAAAACTCTGACAGCCCGGCTCACAGTCATGTGGCAGACTGACAGGTTCTCGTCAGTCGCCACCATGCCTTGAAAGCTACCGGTTCCGAAGAACCGGAGCGCGCAGAGAACTTGTTGTTCCACGGTCATGGTAGACGCGATTGTCCGCCGCCTCGAAGTCCGGGCGCGGAACGAAGCTCGTCGCAGAGTCAACGCACAACGGCTTTCGATAGCCGGTACTGTCGCCGAAAGTCGTCGTCGGGGAGTTCAAAGGCGTCCCGGTGGTCTCGGTAGCGACGCCGGCGGTGGCGGAAGATATGCTCGGCCGCAGCGTAGGGCACCGCCATGTTGACAAAGTTTAACTTCGCCTCGATTCGAAGCGAAGATTTCGGGCTGAAACCACGGCTCTCGCAAAGTTGTGAAACGTCACATTGACGTCAGCGACAGCTTCGACAAACGAGGTTTCTAATCACTTTTTTAGAGCGCAGCTCTTAGGCGCCCGTTTCCAGCTCGAGTGGCGTCGCCGTCGCCGTCGGCGTAACCGCGCGGTGCATTATGGGTAAATTCCCCGCTAAATCTAGCGAAAAAATTTCCCCGCTAAATCTAGCGGAAAAATTTCCCCTCCAAATCTAGCGGAAAAATTTCTCTGGGCGGTCACGTGACCCCCCCCTCCCCCGAGGTCACGTGACACCCCCAGGTCACGTGACCCTCCTCCCCGAGGTCACGTGACCTTGGGGTGAGTTGAGGTGAGAACAACGTTTATTTAAACCAAGGACAAACGCCAGTCCCCAAAGCGGGGGCCATGCCGGTCCGACACCACACAAAAGACAGCCCCCAGACATATTAGAGCACGAGCCACCGCGAAATCCGTGCCCCGAATGTCGCGGGGCAACAAGTTCAAAGAGAAACTCGGCACGCGCCACCCGAACCACGGACACCGCGGCGGCTCGCGTCCGCACGCCATCCCCCGCACGATGAATGAGCAGCGCGACCCCGGCCCAAGCGACCGACGCGGCGTGGTCGCTCTCAAGCGTGGCGTCTACGTCCTTGGCGGAGTGAAATGATGATGTGTTTCATTATAACGAGGGCCCAAGTCCGCTCCGCCACGCAAAGTCGCAAGTGCCTGCACCTCGTCGACCTTCGAGAGACACTAGAGCAGCAGCTCGACATCCACATGGCCCGACTTGAGCCTTACGCTCCAGGGGGGGGGGGGGGGGGGGGGGGGGCAGTTGCTCGTTTCATTGGAGTAGCTGTAACGAACATAAACGACCTGCCGCCTAAAGCCTCCATGGGATCTTATTGATCTCACGCAACATGCCCGGCCTGTCCCGCGAAATATGGATGCCAAGCGCCACGCCAAGCGTCGGGAGCATTATGCTCGTCAACACAAGCCGAGGTCACCGCGTTATCTCAGGACCCTGCCCAGGTCATCGCGAATACGGATGCTGCCCTGCACGCATTCGGTTGGTCTGCGACAGCTGCAGTGTTCCAGTCCCATGATCCTGCAGAGTGCGATCCTATCGTTGTTGCAAACACTAACGTGACCCTTTCATCGCCCGAACAAGCCGAAGCCCGCGCCGCCCTCATCGCCCTCCAGACGTATGAGGTCAGGAATCCAGGGCCCGGCACGCTTACGGTGTTCACAGACTCTCAGAACACGATTCGCGCGCTTAAAACGCATCTACTCACATCGTTACGACGCTGCACTTCGCCTGTA